TGAAATCGGGCATAACAAGCTCATCTCGTTAGGCGAAATAAATTGAATCCATTACAAACTAAAACGCTGAATGGAATAAGGAGTTAGTCAACAACTGTTAGATAGTTTCGCGAGCGAAACTTTTCATTATGATGCGTCGAACAAGAAATGCCGCGTAATTCCAATTACTTACCCACCAACATAATTACTATCCTCATTAAGCTTATACAAGCGGGTTTCTATTAAAAAAAAAAAACTAGTAAATATCGCATGGGGGTGTTGCAAGCGAAGCATTTTCCGCTCCAATTAGGCAATTCCCCCGGCTTTTTAATTAACAATCGCGTCGCCAAACATCAAGAAAAATCGACCGCAAACTCCAATTTCGTCCCCGTAGAAATGCAGCGCATTTTTTTCTACCTGCACCGCAACGAATGAGTTCCACTTACTATTCATGCGTATCCTTTTCGAAGAAACCCGCCACGCACTAAACACCCACAACAACACAAAAAAACCGACCGAAAGTATCGGCGACAACCATCAATCAAAGCAAAATTAACAAAAAAAAAAAATAAAGTAAAAAGCAGCGTCGAAAATCGCACTGAAAATAATGCGCGAGCCGCCGGTGCGGAGAGTCGGTTAGGCAGGCATCCCGAGCGCGACTGGCCGTGGTGCCTACAGGTTAGAACTCGTCGGGCTCGAACCAGAAACGCCGCCAGTCAGCGCGAAGAACAACCGGACGCGGAGCGCTCGCACGCCGAACTACACCGGCGGCTTTCTACGGGTTTCTCTTCGCGTGACCGGCGCCCGTCGCACCGCACCGATCGCTGTCCGGCCCAAAAGCCGAAAGCCCCGACCTGAAAAGTTCTCTGAAACCGTCTGAAAAGCCTCGTCGGCCGCTCGCGAGCACTTTTTATACTGTCGTTCGAGCTCCGGCAACACCCCCGATATCGGGCTCTTATCGATTTTGCATCGATGTTGCATCTCGGTTTTTAATGATGTTGGACCATAGACCATGCATCGTAATGAATATGGTCTAAACGATGGAAAGTGGACCATGTGATGTAAGGAACAAACTATTGACTATCGAGATTGGACCATGAACCATGAAGAATAAACTATGGATTATAAAAAAATAGAGTTATGAACTATAGAGAATGAACCTGTGGACTACAGAGAATGGATCATGGAACCATAAAAGATAGACAATGGATCACGGGGCATAAATAATGGACTATATGGACTAATGAGAATGTACCATGAATGTAAAGAATGGACTATTGATCATAAAGAATGGACTTATGAACTGTAATGGACCATGTGGATCATAGAACTTTGGCTACAAGGCATGGATTTTACCAATACAGGATATCTCAGTAATTTCAGGCTTTGATATAGGCAATTTTCGACAAGGAATCAGGAGCTATAATAGGTGCCCAAATTCCAGTGTAATAATCCTGCAGGAGCCCCAGGCAAGGTTGTGTAGATATTAATTAGCAAAGATCTCGTTGGATGTTAACAATCGCTGAAAATTAATATTATCCACTGGACTATAATAAATACTAAATCCTTGTCGGCCGAAACGGCGTTTAATTAGCGGCGGTAATTATCCTTCGGAGAGCGAAATGCGGAAAAAAATAGCCCAGGCTAATAAAGAAAGCGCGGGCCCGGTTCGGTGGATGTAAAACGCGAAATAATACGCCGGGCGGATTATAACAGATAGTTTCCTTCATGTGATGCATCGACGAAATGAGCGCAATTAGGGCGAATTAATGTAAATTATTACGATGCTCGTTCATATCTTCGGATTCTTTATAGGGAATAATGAACGAGAGCGAGACGTTGTGAGTTGTGAATTGAAACTTGTTAAACACAGTATGTGTTCGGCGATTTGTGAATGAACTATAAAAATTAAATTGGACTTCTAATGCTTTCTAACACAATCGCATATTTGTGTGAAACAAACAACGAAAACAATAGGAAAATTACACTCCCCACCGCCGGTTGTAATGGTACGATAAATTTCCCAGTTTATTCCCGCTTTGTTTTTCTAAAATCACCGGCCAGGAATGTAAACTTTCATTAGCGAACCGAAGCGTGTCATTCACGAAAGTATTTGTAATCTTTTATCTGTTTGAAGTTTCGAAACGTTATCAGATTCAACCTGCATGTTTTCACGAATTTGTCCAACGTGTAAATAACATTAAAACCCGGAATACAGTCGCAGTTTCGCTCTTTATACAACACGCGAAAACACAACTACACATTATAGCTCAATCGCTAAAATAGCGCAGCGCATGAACTATAAGACATTCGGACGTGTCTACTCGACCTAAAGTGTCTAATCGACCGATTTAGATGACTTTTTAAGAGAACACTCGGGTCACAATAGGCCTATTTCGCCCGGAATTTATTTATATCCGTTCCCCGCTTTGCTTTATTCGCAGCGGGGGCGGTTTCGCGGACGCGCATTCACCGAAACCGAAGCGACGAACGTAAAACAAAAGTGCAGGTAATTCGATGTCCTTTGTGTCCCGGCCAGGATGCAATATGGGCTAATAGAAGCGTCGCGGAATTGGCTCCCCGTATGCCGGAAGTCCCGGCGACCCTTATCGCCCCCCGGGCGGATCTGTCGCTTGTCGAACGGCGAAAGTCTGGCCCTAGTGACATTTAAAGAACGCCACGTTTTTGTAATTCCTTCAAAAGCCGGGTAAATTTCGGTAAATTACCCGTACGCTTGATTTATGAATGGCTCGATGATTAAAATTGCTGTAAAGGAGCCGTCGAATTTCGTGGGTTTATGTAAATTAGGGACGTTATTTAGCCTTATGATCGAGTTCTATTGTTGGCTGGTGAAAAAAGGCCCGAGTGCTAGACCGTAATTAAATATGATCTTTGAGGCTTTCGAGTCTTTTTTAAATTCGAAATTTACGACGGGCTTTTATTAGTAAATACTGTCGTATTTTGTCTAACAACCGCGTTATACGAGCCTCTTTACTTGTGTATAGAAATATGGTAATTCGATACAGCCATTTAAAAAAAATCACCTTTTATTTTAGCCACCCTATGTAAAACATTTTTCAATCACTCAAAATCCGCCTCTTGAGCACCTACATCGCTGCTTTTGACAAATTACCGGAGGGAGTCGGAGTGAAATGCGCTCGAATCCGTCTAGTATTAGGTTCTTGAATAATTAAATTTAAGAAGCGCCTTTTAAATTCTTCTTTTAAAACATTAAACCATGCACTACAGAGAACTTTCATAATGAACTCTCATTAAACTTTACCAATTCCGCTAACTAAATTAATTTTATGGCTTTCTGAATAGGAGCACGTTTTTTACCCTTTCGTAATTGCAGATATACCGGTTGTTGTAGAAGATAGTGGTGAAAGGCGAGAGTACCGGTTTCGGGGGATCGATTCGCCCCCAGGTGAGTTTCACATAAATCATGTACAGGGGCGAGCGAAAGCAATTAGATCGCAGAGCTTTCACCGATTCTCTGCGACGGCCTGAATTATGCAAATCCACCACCCCGATTCTAGCGTGCTCTCGGCCTATTCACTATAACGGGGGATTATTCGGTAACCGGGGAAAATCGGTTGTAGATACATTCAATTAAAGCTTAATTTAATGAAACCGTATCCCAGGCACTTGATAAGTCGCGCATAACGCGATATTTTAACCTTTAGGTGCGCCCGAATTTCCATTTAAATAACCCTATTATATGCAGCCACCCTCTTATATTTACACGCCTAATGCAAATTTAATGGCCGCTAAGTACGAGGCCTCGTCGCTTGTTCCGATGCATTTCGCGGGTAAAATTTGATTCAATATTAAAATTCCTCTCGAGAAATCTACCTACTTATATGCGCTATAGGTAAAATTGAGGCCAGCTTATAATCCCCTGGTCAGTAAAACGAAGAGACCATCTCTAGATACAGTAATAAGATAAATACGTGTGCAGGTATTAGGCTAGCTTTAGTTCAAATGCGGCCCTGCGTTCGGGGATTGCAAGCTTTTTTCCTCGAAAAGTTTTTTTAAGGCTTTGTTTGATTTATAAGGGAAACACGAAAGGGGTGCTCCGGAGATGGATGAGCCGAATCGCAATCGAGCGTGCGTGTATAACACGCTCTCTAGCCGGTTTGTTTGTCACCTGTGGCCGCGGTTTTTGCGAAGGGATGAAGGACGAGCGACCCTCTCGGGCGAATATTGCATTTGCGCTCGTCTATCGGGGATTATACTCTCGAATAAAAATCCGCCGGGATGCGCCCGGTGTTTTTTAAGCCGGGCTTAGACTCCGTTCGCTATCAGGTGATAGTATTTATACTTGTATGCAGAAGATTAAATAGATGCTAGGTTGATATGTAGCCCATTCGCTGATGTTTTAGCGTTTTTCGGAATAAATGGGTAGGATAGAGTTGGGTAACTTAACAAAGCTAAACAGTAGCTCATAAAATTTAGAGATATAACTTTTTAGTATGATTTTTGAAGATTCTAGATAGAAGAAAGTTTTCCAATACACACATTTTATACAGGGTGTTAATTAATTGAGTTTCCATACTCCAGGATCTGAATATTTGGTTGATTTTAAGAAGAAAAGTTCATATCAATATATATCCTAAACCTCTTAATTTTCGAGCTACAGGGTTGTTACAATTAAAGAAAAAAATAACTTTTCTATCATAATTTTCTTATCTCTTGATAGTGAACGGAGTATAATAGAGAAATTTATACTTAGTAAATGTGGAAATGCGGAATTTTCTAAACAGCACGTGGAAAAAATAATTCAAATTTAACAGTAAACGGAATCCAATCCGAATGGCGTCGTAAATCAATCGAGCGTTTCGCCGCGAGTGAAATATCGTCGATTTTCTAATCGTTTATTAATTAATCGAAAATATACGAAAATTAATACGACGCGGGCGATAAATCAGAGAAGATAAAATCGGAAATATGTAGGTTTTCCAACCGGTTACAATCCGAAGCCTCCTAACGAAAACTATTAAATCAAAATACCGCAAATTTTAGACATTTTATTTATTAATTAAAAAACAATACAAAAAACGCATTAAAAAGCTCTACCCTTAACCTGGCACATCTGATTGGAAACTCTAATCGCCGTTTCGAGATACTTGGAAAACAACACCTTCAAATCATCGTACTCCTGAAAAACCACGAAAACGTTAGTACAGACCGACAGAAATAGCCGGAGACGCCAGAAAATCGAAACCACTTACGTGAGTGTAAGGCTTTTCTACGTTCATTGAATTTTGTATGTCCAATTCGTCGACGAGCCTTTGAATGGCGTAAACGGGAAGGCAAAAGGCCGGCGATGTCGGAGCCAAAGGCTGCGAGAATCCGAATTCTTCTTTACCGTATCCCATTGCCGATAAAATGTAGTCTTTAGCCAATTCCACGGCTTCCTCCAATCGCCCGGAGGCGTGCAGTAACCTCAACAACTCGGACGGATTTCGAGCCTACGAATCGATAAATTAATTCGAAAGAATAATACAAAAAAATTACGAGAGTCACCTTATACGAAGCCTTCAACCAATGAGGCAAGTAAATCTGCATGTTGATGATTTTCTTGCAAACGACGTTATGCAAACACGACATCCTAGGCTCTTCGTATTTCTCCAAACAATCCTGCAGGAACTTCCAAACCACATCGGCGGCCGACTCTCTATTCACCGGTAAATCTACAAACGAAAAATGATTACGAATCGACTACGAATCGATTATCGATTACCTTGCAGATCGTTCTCCACCAACCAGTTCCAAGCGTTGGGATCCTCGGCTTCGGTGAGCATCACGCAGCGCTTCGTGAGAGCCTCGAACACCAAGGAATAGGGCAAATCGAAGGTCGAGCAAATCTCGAAGGCCGCTTTGAACATGCCCGAGTTGTTCAGCGAAATCACCAGCTCCAACGGATCGCAAACGCTAATGGAAACCGCCGGGTTGAATTGCAGCAATTTCAATTTCGCGCTGGCGAACGTCAGTTCTTTTCCGATGGTTTCGATGTCCACCACTTCGATTTGTTTCTTGATTTTGAACGTACGGATTTCCTGAAATACACGCCGATATGAAGCGAAGTTGTTTTACAACGCAAAACATTCTACATAGTATTTGAAGTATAGTATATTCGCCGAACTTAAGCGGTTGTCGGATTAAGATTGCAAGTAATAACAGCTGTAATCGACTGTAAATTCTTAACGCTTGCGTACGTTCGGCGAATGGACTAATATAATGGAATAATTACTCCGTTAGAGCCGGCCAGAGGTTGGAAAATGACATGTTCGTCTTCCTCGTCGGGATCCGCCGGCCTGACGACCCAAGCGTGCTGCGAGGGGCACAAGTGCAGGACGTTTTTGGCCGCCAAATAGCATTTCACTTGCTTCTCCAACGCTTCGACGGTGGTCTTCTGGCTCAATCGGAACGCTTGCTCGTACATAGCCGAAGCGGCTGCGACGAAATATACGAATTAAACACGAAACGGGCGGTTTTGAAACAACTGTTCGTACCTAATCGGAACGAAGGTGGACCTTTCTTGATTTGGTACGAGTAGAGAAAATCGTAGAACGCGTTATCCGAAACGTCGGCCGCTCGAGCTCTGGTCAGAACGATGTTCGCGAAGAACTCGTCCATGCTGTCGTACGTGAAATTCAACAGAACGTTGAGTTTCTTCTCGTCGAGCAACGTCTTCACCAAATCCCTGAGATTGTCCTTCCGCCGTTCGCCGTCGGGGTTCGAATTCAACGAGTCGAAGGCCAGCTGATAGTGCTTCAAGGCCAAGTGGTGCTTGAATTTGATCGAAAACAACGTCGCCTGAAACTGCTACTTTAACAGTAATTCGAAATCGATAAATTACAAACTTACCGCTAACGGATCGTCCCGTTTGACGACGCACAGGGCCGTATTGGCCACGTTAATCACGTGACTTCGAGCGTTACACAACTCGAACAGTTGGATCACCTGGAGAACGAGAAATTGTAGAAACACAAAATAGTAATTTAGCGATGTACCTTTAAATAATAATGAATGGTGGTTCTGGAATTACTTTCGTCTACGCTTTTGATTCTATTTTTCAAAAAAGCGTCGGTGAAAACGCCCTTCGCAGCGGTTTCGAAGAGCTCTTCGGCCTTGTAAAATTCACCGGTGGTCAGAAAAGACGAGGCCAAGAGGAAGTTTCCTGTCGACGAACGTTATTAATTCACATAAACCGATCGTAGCTGGACTACCTTACGTGTACAAGCATTCCATTCGCACCAATTGCTGAGCAATCGAACATATTGCTGCAACCACACGTGTTGTCCGCTCGATAACAGCCATTCCTCGAACACCGTGCAACCGCTTATGGGCCATCTGAGCTCGCGTTAAGAAAAACCTACTTTAAAATGTTCAATTTCGATATTAGACAATTCAAAAAGGATACATGAGATGTCTGATGTGATTCACGTAGGGCAACAGCGACCAATGCCAGCGCACCAAGGCCTCGTCCTTGCAGGAAACTCTCGCGAACGATTTCCTGGCGTCCTGCACGCCCGACGACGATATAAACACTTCCAACAAGGACGTGCAACGGGTAAACGGCAGCAGATTGTAAACGGGCGTCAGTTTTAACGGGTTCAGTGTGCTCATCGAGGAATCCCGAATCCTACGAAAAATAAATCACATATCGATTAAAGGGCTGATGTCGTTTCAAGGGCATCTTACGAGTCGCTTTCGAACATTGTCAGGCCGCTCAACCACAGCACGACGAAACTGGCTTGGGTCAAAACAACAATGTCCGGCATACAAACGGATCGAACGCCTTCCAAGACGCCCCAATTCAACGTCCTGTCCATCACCAGGAAGTTGCAGAGGAGCAACAGATTGCGGCAAATTTGAAATCTGCAAACATATTAGCGTTACTATTGATATTGCGAGTAAATTTGTTTGTAAATACCTGATTTCTGCTTGTTGTCGGAAACTTTGGGCCACCAACGAAGTGCCTAAGAGCGAATTGAAATAGTACATAGCGGCCGGGTTGATGTCGTTGTCGGGATTCGCTAAAGTGTTTTCGTATCTCAACAATTCGAGGATTTTGTGTATGGCTTTGTACAAATCGTTCACGTCTTTGATTAGATGCAATATTTGCGAAAAAAACTAGAAAATAATCGCAATTAAAACCAGCACTCGAGTTCTTCTAATGCCAATTCTTACATCGGAATCCATTTCAACGTAGATTTTCTTCAACAGATCTTCTATCACTACATCGGGCGATTGGAGATTGAGCAGTTCAGTTTCGAACGATTGCATGAAATCGTCTTTCAATTGTTGTTCGATGTACACGATCACTTTGAACACGTTTATGACATCATCCACAGCGTCCAAATCGTCGGCCAACATGGAAAAATCGAAGAACTGCTCTCTGTACAAATCGGTGCACAACGTCATGTGTTCGAGCGAATCGACGGGCCGCAGGAACGAAAACGCCGATTTCTTCAACAGCATGGCGCCCGAGACGGACGGCAGGAGCATCAAACCCAGCGGTTTCCTGCTGGCTATCTGGTATTGTACGCAGCGGGAGTCGAATTTCTGCCAGCACCTAAAAATTCTTTCGGTACTCGTAAACTGTACTATATCAGTATCTTACCACTCGGCGCATTCTATGTATTCATCGACTTCAACGCTGTTAATATCAGTCCCGTCTCTGTTGAACAGATTTTGTATATCGTTTTCCACGGCCATGCAGACTCTTTGTTTTAGCGCCGAGATGGAAAGATGCGAGTCCGAGGCGATCGTAGGCATTTTATAAATCTATAAAAATTTCAGCATAATTAACCGATACGTTGATGAAATAACCGGTGGTGTTACCGAAAGGGTTTTGTTGATAACGTGCAGGGGGAACCTGCCCGGGTGGAAAATGTGCTGTAAGTACATGGTCTTGACATCGTTGAATTTGATAGGGAACTGTTTTTCGCACGGTTCGGGTTCCAGTATGACTTGAGTCCATTGGTTGGATTTGAACGATGCCTTGTACACCACCGTTTCGCCCACGTCCGATCGCCATACTGACCACAAGCAGTCTAATTGCGCTGCGAAGTCTATCAAATCGTTCTGGAAATTACGAGATTATTCATTTTTTGGTATATAATCGGTTCGCGATGATTACCAATGGCGATTCAAGAGCAGCCAATCTATGCAGAGAGATTTCTTGTTCTCGAATGGAGGGTTTCAGAATATGGAACTGGCATTTATTTCCGAAACTCAGGAATAGAACCAGAATATTATCCGAGCTGTTTCCATCTTCGGCTTTCTTTAGAATTGCTGTAACAATCACTTTTGTATCATTTGTTTTTAATTTGAAATAAAATTATTTACCTGATTGAACTCTGTATTTCAAGTTGGTTGATATTTTTTCGCGAACATCTATTACTGCTACGCATTGGCCTTTACTGCAGGACCAACATTTCAGATGGGCATCTTGCGTTAGGGATAACACGTAGGTTTCTTCGTCCAAATCGTAAAATAGCAAACTAACAATATTTTCGCTATCCGAATTCCTTTGCCTGTAAAATGTGTATTTTATCGCGTTATTTATTACTCGTTTTAGGGATGATTTTACCTGAATTTGTCTGCTATACCGGCGAAAAATCTGGGAACCAGGGATTCCCCTTTGAGTTCCACACAAGTGACTTGATCGGGACTTTGCCTGATCAGTAAAAGTTCAGTCGAAGGAAAGGCCAAAACGAAGTAGGCTTCACCGGTTTCCGGTACAAAGTACGAATTGGCTAGGTTCGGTAATTGATCATCTAAAAACAATTTCGTAAGTATTTTGATTGTTATTATTCAATTTACTTCGTACTGGCAGTGCTGGGATTGTTGAAAACGTAAAAGCTGTTCGGGTTTCTGGTATCGACGATCGATGCTTTCGAAAATATCGATAGAGCTGTTAAATCCGGATATATCCCCAGTAAGTCGTCCTACAATTAAATAAATTAGATTCGACTCGTTATGTTCTCTTATTGTTTACCTGTGCGTGGAATATATTTGGATGGGGAAATATCAGTCTGTGTACACTGCAGACTGTAGGGACTAAAATAACAACATTATCGAGTATCTCGTGTATCGAAACACCGTCTAAAATCGGAGTATCAAACTTGTATCTGATCCGATTTCCTGTAAGATTTATATCTAAACTATGCTCAACTAATTCTAATACGTTGTGATTGATCCTCCTAGAATAAAATAGCAATAATGAATCGTATTAAGTTGTTATGGGATGCAAAATACCAGTAGATAAATCTATTCCTCGTGCAGTGTTTAGTGGAGTCTTTGTAACAGTATCCATTGGCTCTCTCGGCTACTTTTATATCTTGAAGGGTACTTTGGGTGCCTCCTAAAAATATAATGCGTTACGTAGCAAAATAATTGTAGTAAAATGTTTACCCTCACGTGGTGGTGTGAATTAATTACCTGTAGTAAGGGTTATTTCTTTCCAATTTTCATAATCTATTTGTTCCGGAGTCACTTCTCTGTAGCCCAAAGTGAATTCGCTCATTTTAATTGAAAAAAAAGGAACCAAACTTTAAACTAAACCGAAATTCACATAACCTCACTTAGGCACTATCTATTTTATTAAAAAGTACTGCTCAAAATTAAATACATAAAACACGCACAAATATTTATTTACTAATTCTAATTCATAAGAAATTGTAGGGCAAAAATTAATAGGAACATGAATTTTTGCGGTAAAAAAAAACTAAGTTTATTTTATCATCTACAATTCTGCATTCTGCTTCTGTTTCATGAGGATTCCGCGCTCGCGTTTTGTTGACGTTATCTGTCAAAAGTAATTCCTTTTATATAGGCAACACCTTTTACATTTTCTAGTGCGCAGTGATGAATAGAAAGTATGTTATTAATTTTCATATAACTATCTCACTTCTACTCTTTGATTTGCCTATTACGTACTCCTATATACCTCTCGCTTCTTCCACGTCAGCCGTTAGCCCCCGTCGGTGATCACAGTAATCAGTAAAAAATGCTGATAGATAGCTGGTATAAGTTATTTTAGGATAATAAACAACGCTATTGTATTGTTTGATATGTAGAATATCGGAGTGAAATATGTTCCACATTTAAGTTTCCCTAAAATCAATCCTTAAAGCATAACTAAATCGTAAAAAAGTGCAATAACTTTTTTAGGTTTCGTTATTTTTTAAGTGTTTATTTTGGTGAGTAATGCAGCCAATAGTAATTTAACAAGTAGCGCAAATTAAAATCGTAATAATTTTTAATTAGTTTTTAGTCTATGATAAATACAAATACCATGTAAATTTATGTATAAGTACACGTAAAATATTGTCGAAAAAGCGTAATCACAAAGTATATTTCAGCCGAAAATGTTCCATCAACTGGAAGTAGTCATTTGGAAAAACCTAATAATAAGAAAGAGGCACTGGTTTCTAACCATAATCGAAGCTGCTCTACCCATTTCTCTATTCCTATTTATCGCCTACGGTCGAAGTAAAATCAACGGTTTGAATAAACTGGAAATCACCGATCCCACTTACAATGATATACACGGAATCCATTATAACATAAACGTAGGGAGCACGTATTTCCTCTATACCCCCAGTAACGATCACTTCGATGGAATCGTCAACAGATTGAAGGATAAATTGCAACTTCCCGGTGATCGTAAGTACACGTAAATGATTTAAATCGAACGTATTAACTACAAAATGTGTATTTTCAATGTTACAGAAGTAGTAGCGTTCCCCAACAGCGAAGAATTGCTGAAATATTACTACAAAAATCTCAATTATACCACCATAGCTGTTATCTTCGATGACACGAATTTGAGCAAATTTAATTACAAAATTCGTTATCACGATGACAGCAGTGTCCTGTATACAAGCAGAAAATACGTTAATCCGTATTTATTTCAACCTCGAACAGGTAAAGTAATTTATCTACTATCTAATCAATACTCAAACAAGCTTACGATATAAACATTACTGATAGTAAATCGTTTATCGATGATGGTGTACAATGTATACAAAAATATTAGTACAGGAAATGCAAACAATTCCTTATATTCGAAAATCTCTTAGTAATAAGCCCGATTTTTCCCCAGGGAGCGCTTACGACAATGGCGATTTTATACCGATTCAAATGGCCTTGGACATGTCGTTTATAGAGCAAAACTTAAAGAAGGATCTGGACCTGCCGATTATGCAGTTGGAGTTCCCTTACCCGCCTCACAAGAGAGATTCCTTTACGACCACGTTATTCTTGGACCTTTTGTCGTTGATAACGCTCTTCAGTTTCATATTCATGTGTCCGGCCGTTTTGAAACGCGTTGTCGAAGAGAAATACACGGGAACCAAAGTACGATTCCTCTTTTCGAATTATTGCGCAATTTTACGCATTTTTTTATTACTTTAGGAACTCATGAAAATGGTAGGAATGGAATCGTGGATGTTATGGTTGGGTTGGTTCGTTCACGGGTTAATACCCATTATTGTGGCTGTTGTTTGGATCGTTATATTCATGAAAGTACCGATGTTTGGTACCGATTACCCGTTGATCGAGTTCACCAATTGGGGAATATTATTGTGTTTTTTAATTTTGTATTGTTCCGCCGCGTTGACCTTTTGCTTTGCTGTTAGTTCGTTTTTTAGTAAACGTAAGTATAATTATATCATCTACCTCATAATGTACTAATTACTATTTTATTTTTTTTAGCTGTTATTGCTTTGGTGGCTGGTATGTTACTCTGGATATTGTCGTATTTTATACCGAGATACGCCTTTGATCTGGATAATGGTAATACCCTTTCGTTGTCATTCAATATATTTTTGAATATACTACCCAATATGGCCCTTCACTACGGTTATTCGGCCGTGAAAGTGTTTGAGGAAAGAGGTAATATAACATCGGTTAATAATATTTTTGTCGTGTATATATTAATTTGCGTTTGGTTTAGAAATCGGAGTACAATGGAACAATTTCTACCAGAGCGGCAGCGGCGGCTCTGACGATGTTACAATGCTACACGTTTACTTGATGTTAATGTTCGATATATGTTTTTACATGTTGTTTACATTGTACATGGACGGGGTGAATCCCGGAAAATACGGCGTGAGAAAATCGATTTTGTTTCCGTTCATCGAATTGAGAAAGGTAGAAATTCATTATTTCCCGTTAAACTCCAGTTATTGCATTATGTTTTTTTTATCAGTCGTTTCAAGAATTCTCCAACAAAAAGCAAGTTAGCAACGAAACGGTGCGTTTGGAGAACGTCGAAGACGGCAACGGGTTGCAGAAAGGTATCGAAATATGCCATCTTCACAAAAGGTACGGCCATAAAATGGCCGTTGAAAATTTGGATTTGGACATCTACAAGAATCAAATTACCGTTCTTTTAGGACACAATGGCGCTGGAAAGTCTACTACCATGTCTATGATAACAGGTGAGTTTGTTTGTTTATCTCAGTCATATAACAATGCATACAGATAAGGTTATACGCAATATGGTCTAGGGAAAGAAAGATAAGAATAAATGTCTATAAGGAGAAATAGTAATATTGTGAGTTGATTGCAATTTTCTCACTATAACCACTGTTACTTTAAAATCTTTCTTTGTTCAACTCATAGAATTGACCATATTGCAAGTTACTCATTATATTCCTTTGCTCGATTTTCCTAGATTTTCTTACTAATTTGGCAATATAGTATAGTATATTATTTTAAGTTTTATCCATTAATCCAAAATAAGCAATTTTTTATCATACACTAGTTCCTTTGTTTATCCAACAATATTTATCAGTAATTCATTTATATCCAAAAAATTCCGTGTAATTATAGGTAATTGCACGATAAAATAGTTTATTTATTGTTTTCTAGTATTGCGTTTTATTATTAATTATTTATGCTGCCCACAATTGCGTTCTAAAATTTAAAGTCTGATTGTATTTCCATGTCGACACACTCGAACTAAACAATCGATAATTTAATAACAATCCACTATAAAAATAATTCCGAGAAATTTTTCAATCTATTATAATGAAGTACATCATCAGAGATATTCTAAATGAATTACCGTTATTACCCTGAATATTAATCGAGTCCAATAAAACGAGTCACTATGATTTATTATTACGATATCGTGGCTTATCTCACTTGGAATTTGCATTTCAGGAATGATCGAGGCCACTTCGGGTTCGATCAAAATCAACGGCTTGAGCGTCAAATACCACATGAAGAAGATCCGACAAAGCCTAGGATTATGCCCTCAACATAACTTGCTATTTACCGATTTGACTGTCAAAGAACACCTCTTATTATTCGCCAAGGTAATACACCTTATCATTGGGTTTCTACCCCTGATGGGTAGGCAATACATTTCACAATACATTTCTCCTCCGCTTCTTCAGTACACCGGCTTGCCTATCCACCCTATTTAACTTATTATCCTGTTCGATTCCAGTTAAAAGGCAAAACATCATCCGAAGCGAACAAAGAAGCCAACGAGCTGCTGAATAAATTAAACCTCTCCGACAAACACAACTCATTGGCTCACACGCTATCAGGAGGCATGCAGAGAAAACTCTGCCTGGGAATGGCTCTAATCGGCGGCTCTAAAGTGAGTACAATCGCGCCCCTGAAATCCCCGCTCTAAGTCTCGCTCCGTTACCTTTAAAGGTGCTGATACTGGACGAGCCGTCGTCGGGCATGGACCCGGAGTCGCGACGCTACCTGTGGGATTTGCTGCTGCAATGGCGCGGCGAGAAGACCATACTGATCACGACGCATTTCATGGAGGAAGCCGACGCGCTGGGCGATTGGATCGCCATCATGGACAGCGGCCGGCTGGAGTGCTTCGGCACGCCGCTCGATTTGAAAAAGAAATACGGTACTTCTACACCATTAGAAAACCGAAAAACTGATTGCTATAGGGAAGGTTTTATGTGTCGCAGAAACTGGTTACCACTTGTCCCTGATGCTGGAGCATACAACTAGCGAGAAAGAGATCGCCGAGTTGGACGGTTTGATCAGATCCAAAGTGCCCGACGCCAAGATGAAGTCGTCGCAGGGGAACAACGTCGTGTTCGTGTTGCCTATAGAGAAGGCCAAGGAATTCGCGGCGTTGTTGGAGCATTTGGAGCAGCGCAAGGAGGAGTTGCAGATCAACAATGTGTCGGTGACGATAACAACGTTGGAGGATGTGTTTTTGAAGTAATTTAATCGGAAGATTGTTTGTGAGTAATTAATGTACGTTAAATTGTTTTCCAGAGCTCGAGCGGAGTCTTTGGACGATGTTGATGGTCGGTCGGAATTGCCGGAAGCACAGAGTGAGTCTTGTAATTTGTTCTTTATTTTTAAACGTTGCGACAAATTCGACGAATCGATACAACTATCGTTTTTGGGTGTTTTTGTAAAGTAACTAGTCTTCAGAGCTGTATACTCTAAACAAATAGTTACTGCTACGAAGGGGACGTTCCTCTAAGCCTAAACCTAGGTTGTAGAGGTGCAAAACAAATAGTTTGCCCAAAAGGAATGAAGAGGGCACAAATAAATTTGAAAGGTCAATAAAAGTTGGATCTAAATCGACTTTGTTCCAGTACTTTAATCTTTATAGTACTTTAGTGAACCTCACTAATCTTTTATCTGTAAACAAAATATTATTTGCATACAAAATGCGTATGTTGCAATCGTTTATTATTCATAAAAATTTGTAGCTTTTTGTACTCATGTGATTGTTTTTTTTTATTAAAGCTTTGCTGGACATGAAAGTACCAGGTAATGTGTTTTTTAGAAAATTTTTCTTTTCAGTAACTCACTAACCTTTATTCGCTTTATTAGATACTTGGGACTCTACTTTTATTTCATCAGTCTACCTAACCTGTTATTGTATAATATACTTTGTATGTAGTTTTTTATCATTTTATCAACATTGTAGTGCTTTCTTGAAACCCTCTTTACCGATGTACCAATAATTTGCTAGCTTTTTCCATTGCAATAAAGTTATCGTTAATTGGTTATTTGGTCACTTGGATTAGATGACTTTATGAAGGCACTAGTGTAGTATCGAGTATGTTTGTCTTTACTCGGCCATTTTTGTTTTTTAGGCTTATTATTTCGCACTAATCACTAATCACTGTAATGCATGATCAATTCTCGCTGTAGAGACCTTTCTACTACTAACCAGTTTGGTGTAAGAGCTAGACTAACCCGCTAACAGAGCGATATAACGTTTATATTTTTTATAGGAGAAACGAGCGGTCTTATTAAATATAGGTCGCTGTTTTGGAAAAAGTTGTACTTTTTCAAGGCTAAATTCAAGTCGTACGCTCTATTGGTAAACGATAATCGAGACAATGTATTATTCAGAGAGCTAATCGTTGTCGTTTTTAGTATCTGATCGCTTTGGTTTTCTTCATCCTTACGATATTCCTGAGCAACAGCCGAGATACGATCACCCAAAGCGAACCGGAACTCAAACTATCTTTGAGCACTTACAAACAGACATCAGTTTATTACAATTACTCAATCGGCGACGATTTTGCAAAATCCGCCGTGCGTTTTTACAAGAAAAACGTCGAATCGGAAAAGAGCCTACCATTTAACGTCACCGACGTCGAAAAAGGTAACCTATTCTCGACATTTCCATCGATTTACCCACTAACTATACACCCTATTTCTTAGCCATAATAAAGAAGAGCACGGAAAACATCGCCTACTACAAAGAGCACATGATAGCCGGCGCCTCGTTCCAACCGGACGGCAGCGTAATCGCTCTATACAACGCCCTATCGATCCACAGCCTGCCGATATCCCTCAACCTCATCACCGACTCCTTGGCCAAAGCCCTGCTCGGCCCCGAGTACTCCATATCGCTCAGCAACTGGCCGCTGCCCACCGTGGTGAAGGCCCCGCGCAACGACGAATTCGCCGAGGCCAAAGTGGGCGTCCTGTGGCTGGTGCTGTTGCCCATCGGCTGTCTGTTCGTCGTCAGCGGCTTCATAGCCTTTCCGCAAATCGAGATATCGACCAAGTTCAACAAGCTGCAGTACATGTGCGGCACCAAGCCGTGGCAGTACTGGCTGACGACGTTCCTCTGCGACTTCGCCTACTACACCGTCGCGTTGTTCGTCTTGTCGATGCTGCTGTGGCTGCTCTCGCCCAGATTGATGCACAGGCCAGTCGAATTGGGTAAGTGTACCTCGTTCCAAGTAGCTTGGTAGTTGGAGATAGTGTTAAGTGAGCAAGAAGAGAAGAGAACAAAAGGTACAGACTATTCTCTTCTCTTTAAACTCTCCTACTCTTCTCATCGAACTGAATTATTCCAACTGCCAAGGTAGATGTGTTGAGGTATGCAAGCTGTGAAAGTGAAAATGAAATTGCAGGAGTTTTGCTGCTGATATTCACGATGTACGGCCTGTCGAGCATACCGCTGGCGTACCTGTTCAGCAGGAAGAAGAGCGCCTCGGGCGCCTTGGCCGCCTTCGTCATCATGGGCCAGTTCAGCGGCGTCATTCTGACGTTGATCGTGAACATTCTGCTGGAGTTCCCCGACGACTATTACAAGCGCATCGGCGACGCGTTGAGCTATCTGTTCTACTTGTTCATACCGCAAGTCGGCCTCGCCGATTCGCTGGTGCGTTTCTCCCGACGGGCCGTGGGCATTTACAACATCGAGAACGCCCCGCACAAATTGGCGGCCAGTTGTATGTCGGAATACATGGAACGTCATCCCTGCTGCGTCGGTAAGAATGTCTTGATACCCTTCAGACAATTACTTTTTAGTCAGAAATTTTTAATTTTCTATTTAATGAATCTTTTCATATATTTGGCTAAAAAAAACCGCATATCTAACGTACTCTCCATTTCTTACATCGTACAATTTCAGCGGATTCCAAGGAATGCAAGGACTTCAAAAACTACAGCGGCGTCCTCGGCGACTACCGCTTGGTGTACATGAGCGCACTGAGCTTCGTCCTCTACGCCACCGTTAACATCATGTTGGATTCGTACGTGGTGAAGAAGCACGTGTTGAGGACGATCTCGACGGTGCGCAGCATGTTCGCGAAACACCAAAATCGCCTGTTGAAGGTCGAAAGGATCCAAGGGGCCACGGACACGTTGCAAGCGAGCAACTTGTGCAAGAACTACGCGGGCGAGGCGATCGTCGACAACATAAATCTGTCGCTGAAGGACGAACAATGCTTGGGGATATTGGGCGTGAACGGGGCGGGAAAGAGCACCACGTTCCGGATACTCACCAGAGACGAGGTGCACGACGAGGGTACCATTAAGATGAAAATCGGTGAGAAAACCTTCGATATCGAGGATAGCGCCGTAAGTAAACTATATTTTATACATCTATGTAAGTAAATATGCATTTTTTTCTACAGTACTTGGAGACGTTGGGCTACTGTCCTCAAGTAGACTCGTTGAATTTCGTTCTAACCGGTAGACAAATATTAAGCATCATCGCTCAGCTCCGAGGCGAAGCCGATCCAGCCGTTGTCGATGCGTTCTTGAAAATGTTCGGTGAGTATTCTACGTTTAATGCCGCTTAATCGCCAATGGTAAATGAGCGATTTAAAACCTGGAATGTATTCCAGAATTGGAGCAATACGCGGACGTTCCGTGCGGCCATTACAGCGGCGGCAACAAGAGGAAGCTCAGCCTGGCCGTGTCGCTGATCGGCCTGCGCAAGATCGTGCTGCTGGACGAACCGACCAACGGGGTGGATCCTCGATCGCGCCGAAAGTGCTGGGAGTTCATCAAGCAGATGCAGGTCCAGAAGCACCTGGCGTTCATACTGACGTCGCACAGCATGACCGAATGCGAGGCGCTCTGCAACGAGTAAGTTATCGGGCGACTTCGCGCCTTTCTCTATATGTCGTTTTGTTTGCGTAGTTTGAAAATAATGAAGAAGGGAAAGTTCGTCAAGGAAGGAAATTTGGCGGATTTGAAGAACAGCCACGAAGGGTTTTCGTTGAAGTTCAAATTGTGCAGCAATTCTAACGAAGACGTGGACGAGGTGGACGGGAATTGTCACGGGTCTGCGACGAACAGGTTCAACAACATCGAAGAGTTGATAGCGCATTTTACCAAAGACAATCGGGGAGAGATCAAAGATCGGCATTCCGTGAGTAAATTGTGGCGGTGCAGCGAGGTTGATCTTATTGTATGAATTGTAGGGTTTGTTGCACTTTTACATAAAAGAGAAGAATAAGAAATGGAGCAAGATCTTCAAAGAGGTGGAGGAGATCAAAGCGAACAATCCGCATTTGATTGAAGATTACGCCATCAGCGAGGCTTCTTTGGAAGATATATTTTTGCAGGTGGCCCGAACCGATGAAGAGGGACCTACGAATAGCAAGAAGAATTTATAAGAATTTAACCATCGACCTTGGGATGGATCATTTCATGATATTACAACCTGCAGGTTACAAATTTAACGGTTAATTTTCTGTTCTTCCAGGACTAAACAACCAAATTTGGCCGATAACGGGAGGTAATCGCATAAAATGATGCTTCATATGGATGAAGAGAATTATGATAACCAGTAAAACTAAAAACTAAAGTTGCAAATGTTTCACTAAACTTTTTAAACTGTGGCCTTTTCTAATGTAATTCACGTGCACTGTCGCAAGTTTATAAAGCAATATATTGTGTCCCTTTAAAAATTATTAGCTCATTAAAGGGGCTAATTTTCATTGGGCACCCTGTATTTGAACTTGAGCTTTTAGTTTTAAATCGGCAAAAGAACGAGAAACAAAATTGATGAAAAAAATTGCAAAACATGCTAAAAGCGTTTTTTATAAGTTTTATATTTTATAATGTGTGATATTGGTCTCAACAGTTAGCAAGTTTAGAATTTACATTCCTCAAATTATTGAGCGTTTAAGAATTTTATAACAGTTTATATTATTATTAACCGAAAAAGAGACTGTTATATTTGTGATAAACACGAATCAAATACAATAGTTGGTTTATTGCCCATATAAAATGCACTTAATAGTATTAAAAATTTTAATTACTAATAAATTTTGTTTATTTTTTTGAAGGAACGTAGATGAAACTAAAACTTCCATTTACAATATGTTTATTATTTTGAAAAAAGAACCTTAATTTACGGACTATTTTATTACAAAGAAAAATAAAAAAAGATACACAACTATATTTACAAACACCTCATGCAAAAACCTATAGCGCCATGAAATTTTACAAATGTGGTTAACGAGAAATCGTTTTTATAAAATATATGATTAACTATATAAATCTTAGAATCTAATTGAACAATTTGACATGAATATTTTTTTGACATTTTTTTAAGTATAGGTATATTTTTTATTTTGGAATTTCCAAAAATTCGTTTGTAACAGTCAACTGAAGACTGCAAATCAGTCTTGAATATAATTGTTCTGAAGTAATGCTTCATATCACTGCCATTGCAAGCGATAGAAAAATAGAAAAATTTGTGCATTTACTTAAAAACAACGTAAAAAAATAGTAAGTTTAATAGATTAAATTCAGTACGGATTTTAAATGGGTAATTGTTTGAGATACTATAGCTTTTCACCTTTACGAGTTTTAACAATAAATAATAAAAATGAGTCGTTAAGGGGTCTCATAAATACTTGATTTAAAAACTTAACAATTGAGATAAAATCTGCCCATTAATTTGGGTAAAAAAAGGGAGCCTGTTTCGTCCTATTTTATCAACGTTTTCAATTCCACTTATAAAATATAAAAAAATGATCTAACTAATAGGGAACTACCTAATAAATCGAATATTTGTCTATAAATATCACTTTAACACAAATATATAAAATTTAATAGTAACTTAACAGTTAATTACATGCATTATACAACTATCGATAAAAAACCTATTTTTTACAAACGTAACAATATAGACTCATTTAAAAATCAAGAATATGCATAGGCGCTATTCAATAAAAAAACCTATTTTATTATTTAAAATAACTTGAAAGCGTTCGTAATAAAATTTAAATATTTCCATAAAATTAAAAATTCATTAAAAAAAACGTAACCATTTAAAATGAAGAATTTTAACAATAAGGTACGCATCAGAAACGAAGATATCCGCTTGGAGCTAAAAATATACAAAATTGAGCAAAATACACGTGCATACACGTGAAGAGTTGAAACAGTAGTAAGATCGCTTGCAACAACATTGACGCCTATTATTTACACGAATATTTTTGGTTTGCCATCGAAAAGAAAACCTCGATAATCACACATAGCACGGTTTCACAATGATAAAAATTCTTAAAATCGTTTGGGCGTTAAATTTCAAAAAATCCTCCGGTTACTGCACCACGAACGGCTCCGACTCGGCAGTGGATTCCTATAAAAAAAAATCCACCACTCCAGTACGACTCCCGAAACACCAGCTCACGTATAAACCTACAGCACGGTTTCTCCAAAGCAATTCGGAGATGAAATATGTCTCCACAAAGTGGCGTAAAAATCGACTTTGGAAAGACCACGGCGTGCCGAGCGAATGCAACGAGAAACTACTTACTGTATTCGCATTATGAACGATGGTCTAACCTAAAATTATCTTCGACTATTTCGGATATGCCTATCGATGAATTCAACATTTGGATCTCCTCGAAGTCCAGCTGCCCCAGGCCCGCTCTCAGCGACTCCTCGGCGAAGAAGTCCGACGACAGCTGCCGCGATCCGTCTTCGCCCGAAAAATCTACAAAACCCAACCATAAAACAGTACGAATAAAGCGCCTAAGGTGTACTCAGAGAGCACAGTACCTGTGAGTATGATTTCCGGCAGGCTCGTGGGAGTATTGGGGGTGGTGGTTCGCAGGCCGGGCGACGTCGACGGATAGACGTGCGGCGAGGTGCTGTAGTAGCCGGCGTCCGTGCTCAATTCGAGGCTGTTGATCGGGCTCGTGTTCGGTATATTCGTCGTTTGGTGCTGCTGTTTCGCCTGCTGAGCGCCGGTCGATTGGTCCATGTAGGACATGCTGTTCGGGGTGTCCAGCTGCGATTAAAACGGCACGTTAACTAACGCAGCTACGCCGGGTACCGGTAACCCCGTCGAAATAGCCCAAAGACAACAAAATCTGAGTGTGCTGTTTCGTGCGCCCGAGATTGAACAGCCCCGACAAAATGGCGAAATAGAACGGAATGGAAAAAATGTATTAGAAACTCTGGAAATCAAATAAAATAACGATTGCTTTTAATTTTACCGGAACTGTTTCGTCTCGGGCAATTTTGTCTTTGGGCTATCTTGCCTTTGGGTTATTTTGACGGGTCACGATCGGATACACATCAGATTTCTTCTTCCACATTGAGAAAATTATCCCATTCGTGTTTTATCTCCTTTGCATATGCATCACTTCGGTTTATTGCAATCGAAAAAAATGTACGAGTGCACGTACATGCTTCCAAATTGACTAGGCAATTCCAAAATCATGTGTGACAATAAATTACTGTTGGGATAAGTCAATGTTTGAATAGTACGGCTATTATACAATGCAAAATTGCTAACATGCATATATGTGAAGAAATAAATACTGGTCTTCGATAATTCAGTTATATTAGAAGATCGTTTTATACAAAAAAAATGTCCATTATTGAGCAAAATCGTTGTTCGTTTTAATATAATTTAATTATCGAAGCCATTGAGTAACGTCCAAATGAAATTGAAAGCATAAACTATAAGTAGAAAATAGTATAATGTAGACTATTCAAATCTAAATATTTTATGAGCTATAATAGCATAAATAGAAAAAATAATTTAATAATTTTTAAGTATTTATAAGGCACAAAACGACCTAACATGCCAAAATAATGAAGAAACTAAACAAATATATAGAGTAAACAAAGAAGAAATATTTAATCTATAAGTATTACAGGCGTCTCTATAATAAAATATTGATAGTCAAATTCATCATCCTCATCACGCTTATAACAAACTATTTACTCCTAAAATGAACTTCAAAAATCCAGACACATGAAATGAATATTCATTACGAAATTTTTCATCGCTAAAATTGTTCAGATTAAATTCATCTCGTTTGACAGAAATATTCACAGAAGAAATGCAACAATATTTGTTGTACAATCGACAGAAATTTTACACCAGACAAGTAAAAGTACCTCGTCAGAAGCCACAATACACAACAATCGCACAATAATCGCAACTATTCAGAAAAATAAACGAGTACGCTACAAAAGACAAACCAAATTAAAAAAGTAAAAAATATAAGAAAGAAACGGAAAATATATATAGTACATGATTCGTAAAACTTGATTTAATCACCTGCAACTGCGCACTCCAGGTGCAGCCCGATTCCAAAAGGCTCGCTACTAGCTGTGCCCAGTCCTGAACAACACATGCATACTATTATATTACTACTAATTTCATATATCGGAGTACTCGCTACCGGCCGAATCGATTCCCGATCGATTCTCGAACGAGAACAAATTTCGCGACAATTTAAACGAATCGATTTTTTCAAATTTTAATTCCACTTTTCTCGTACGCGCTTACCATCGATAATTGTTCGAAATCCTGCTGGAACTGATGATGGGTCTGCTGGTTCAGCAGGTAATATTCGTTAGGTAATGGACTTTGTGCGCCCGGACTGCACGGAGCCGAGTGCCTGCCAGGGCTCGGCGACGACTGAGGACTCGGCCTCGGACTTCTATAGCCACCAGTCTGTTGTAACTAATCACCAAACAAATACATTAGTAAATTCGCGGTAAAAAATATTTGTAACCGGTGCGCCGGAATTCCCAACGAAAAATAACAATATCTAATAAGAATTATTCAATTAGTAACTGAAAATTTGAGAGTAGAACGATATTCAAAGAAATAACGGTTACTTTGTAACAGTCGTTATTGCACCTCTATACCGAAAATACTCCCACCTCTATTAAACTTCTGTCATAGGAAATGTCATTAATGTCAATTTTGACAGGGTTCGTTTATCATCGTTTATCAACGAACGCGTCTTAAAGTCCCACTTATTCGCGTAAAATGAGAAAAATGTTTAGTAATTTATCGTAAAGGAAGTACATAAATTCGGTGAGGAGTTCCAGCGCACCCTTTGTTACGTAATAATTTCTACGTTGCCTCATTTTAATAGGCTACCTAGCCAATTTTTTGACCGAAAGTATGCATTTGCGCCGTTATTCATAAAAATAGTACCGTAGGCGATGGTGATGTAGAAGGTTGGTTCGGCTGGTGATGCGGATGATGGTGATGGTGATGGTACATGCCGCTCAAGCCGGGTAACTGCGTGTAATTCGACGAGTCCACCATATTCACTACGTTTTTATTATCTAAACGGATATTCTGGAAAAACTGCACGATTACGTGACGAAACGTCGGAATCCGGCGAGCGAGAATACTTACAGAGCTAAAGGGAGAGCTTTCGTGTTCTTGATCGAGCGGTGCGTGAATCGGCGACGGGAAATCGACGTTCGTCAAATCGGGCAATGAGCCCGTATTCGCTATCGGTAGCTGGACCAAATTCGGATCGTGGCCCGACGGATGGATGCTGCGACAAAGACAAACGCGTTAGCGAATTACGCCGTTTAAAAAAAAAGGGTTCGTTTTACTTGATTCCGGCCGTTCGAGTCGACGACGGTATGTCGCAACTGGATCTCGGTCTTCGATCTTGGTGGTTCCTTACTGGTCCGTTCATGTTGGGCATGTTCCACGTTCTGTTCGAGCACTCGTTCGTTTTGTCCATCATCATACCCTTGAAAAAGTGGATGCAAAGTTAGTCGTCGAATGATTAAGGATGGTGGTTTTGATTGGTTTTTTACCTGCATTGTGCTCTGGTGCAAAGCGGAATCGCTATTCGTACGCCTCCATCCTGTATCGGTCGGTGGACTTAGGTAGTAAGGAGATGTGTCCAAACGTCGGTCGTGAGGTCTCCTCATAGGTCCCCCTTGAGATCTCGCCCTGCTTCTTCCTTCTACTCTGCTCGCTGGTAATCTACCCGATATAGATTGCTCGTCCTATAAAAAAAATATTTATTATTAATTATGTAAATTGGTGGTATTCTACAGGGGGACGGTTCGAAAAGGAGCTAATAATTCGATACAATAGGGAGTAGTAAGGTTATAAGAAGAATTGGGGATTTTACAATACTTCTCATTCCCATTCTCGAAAAGAAAATAAATCGATGCAACATAAAATATCTAAGTATAAATCGATAGAACTAAATTTGTGGAATTTTCTGCAATTATTGCATTAGTTGTATCTTCTAATACACAAAAATCTGTAAAGTTTATTTTAATTATCACAACACATGATACAAACGAAACATATGTTTAAATATTCGCTCCACAGTCCACAGTAAAAAAAAATTGTAATTATTTTGTAAACTATTTTCTCGCATACAAGTTTTTTTTATCAATTCCATAACGTTCATAATTTCATTTCGACATAAAAAATTTCATCTACCAAATAAAAATACTTATAATCTCATGAAGCACTTCGAACTAATAGTATTGTAACATGCAAACACACAATTCGTCTAAACTCATCTACAAATAAATAAAATAAAAAAACATCTAATTGACGATGAAAGTGATTCACCTTAACCGATTCATTACTCTCCGTTAATTTAACGGCAGTAGAAGAACCGCCCGTTACGTTTGGGAGCGAACCCCCTCGGAACGAACCCAGCGATTGCGTGTTGATACGAAGGGTATTTTTTCTATCCGGAGCGACCTGTAAACGTATTCCTTAAGTCTCTAACACTCTACACGCATTCAATTGAGTACTAGAGTAGCAATATCCAAATCTATTAGGGTAATAGTCTTCTCGAAGTCGAAGTATCGTGTACATGTTTGTTAGGATATAATAGAAATATATTGGATTCTTAATTGGCGTCTTGTTGTGTTTACATGAAAAATAAAGTAGATATAGAGCCGAGATAAATGAAAGGATCTATTGGGTATTAGTTGTATGGCGAGCAGTTATCACAAAAAGGTTAAAGGTCGTATTTTGTTTTAACGCATTTCAATCAAATGGAAAATTAAACTTTCAACCGTTCAATTATAACAATATGAAGAAAAGTATATTTTCAACTGTAGGAAATGACTTACAAATTTCGTTTTCGCATTAGCAATATTTAAAGTGTGTAGGATATTAAGAAAGTTTGAATAAATTAAAACGTGATAAACAACTTATTAAATATTTCAAGTCATTACGGTATTTTATATTAAACTCGGATTAAACGTAAGAAAATCGTAAATAATCGAGCAAACAATGCGTAAAACAAATCCGAAATGATGTTATTGTTTTCCGTTTATTCATTGTAAAAAAGGCTGCATAAACCTAGTTAATTTGTTGCTGTCAAATCAGTTTATTGATTGTCACAGCTTTTGTGTTGATATTACCGCAATGTTTTTATCGCTTGAATCAAAATCGCCTCACTTGTATGAGAAGAATCGAGCATTATCAACGCATTTCTATTTGGAATACGGGACGCTCGGCGATAGCGAAAAAATCACGGCGAAAAGGAAAATATTATTACGATGTTTACATTGTCATTGGCATCATGTCGCAACATCTCCACGCTAAATTCGACTTACCTTGACTTCCATCACTTCCTTCATGACTTTCTCGAATTCGGCCGTCTCCTCGGCCTGCCTGTGATTGTGCAGGGCTATTTTTTCACTAAATTTCCTCGGATTCGCCATGACTACACACAGTCCTGTAGCAAAGCAAATTGACACTGACACACTATTTAGACCCCAAACAATTCGCATGCGTAATTTATTTAAAGGAAACCGCGAATTTTAAACGCAACGCACATTTGACGCGACGCCACGATCGCCACATATTTCGACGAAATTAATTTGCATTTTAATTAAAATATTACAATAATTAATAATTCAATTGCGACTAACGCGTGCGACGCGACGCCATCTGCCGTTCGAACGGTTATAAATTTTATAATTATTGAATTTATTTTATATGTTGGGATCAATAATATTTGTGATCATAACAAAAATTGCGTAAACCTAAACGAATTAGTAAACATGGTGTTTTTACGCACTATACGCTGATTGAACTTGAAATAAATATGTATACAAAAACTGTCATAATCATATGAATTGTGGTCTTGTACTATGCAGTAAACCGTAACAATAAAATATGACAGCTACATCAATATAAATCCAATTTATTAGTGTATTATCTTCCTGTTAGCTTATAATGCTTATATCGACAAACAATGTTTTTTTATGTTGAAAAAATTGTAATTTATATTCCGAAAATTCATGTAAATTTCGTAATATTTTGTTGCTCGCCCTGCTTCAAATGTAAAAAAAAACTGACGTGTCACCACTGTCATTCTTGTCATTAGTGTCATTTCAGTCAATCCGACAAATGTCATCATCAAAAAGAAAGCCAAAGTTATTTGATAAACAATTAAATAAAGCAGCAAAGGAGTTTAAAGTTGAAACGAAACTCAGTTATATACTAAAATAGGTTATTGATGCGTCAATTTGAACCCATGCCCACGCCATCGGAGAGCAAACGCGAACCCACGATCTAAATTAGTATGGCAGAGGGTCAGAGCAGTGACGATTCTGATGTTGAAAATCTAAATGAATTTTCAGGTGTACTGAGTAAATGGACGAATTACATTCACGGATGGCAAGACAGATACATTGTTTTGAAAAACGGCACGTTGTCATACTATAAAAGTGAACAAGAAAGTGGTTTCGGTTGTAGAGGAGCCTTATCCATTGCTAAAGCTGTTATTAAAGTAGGTACTTGTGATAATAATCGATTCAATAATCGCTTTCTAAATTAAACAAATCGTGTAATCGATGCTATTTGAATATTAAACATTTAGTACAAACACAAGTATGTGGTATAGTAAACATGTGATAGGAAGTTTGTTTTCGATTTGATCCCTATCGGTTAGTTATTTAAATAATTAGGTACGAGCAATGTTATAATAGACCAGCTATTCTTCTATTATTTGTGGAATATTTGCATCGATTATGATTAACGGTATTATTCGAATTATAAACATTTCTGGTGAATGGTTCTCATGTAGGTTTCTGAAAATGAACGATTTCGAATTAAATGGGTTTATTTTCGTTTTAGCCGCACGAGTTTGACGAATGCAGATTCGATATTTCAGTGAACGATTGTGTGTGGTACATCCGAGCGAATTCCGTGGAAAGTAAGCAAAGTTGGGTGGAAGCTTTAGAATCGTTTAAGGTAAGTAAAGGAATAAACCACACATAATTCAAATATTTTATTATTCAAATTCCATTCAAACCTGTTTTAAAATCGCCGCTATCAATTAGCCTTATTACATTTGTACTTAAATTATCCATGTAGTCGTTTTATTTAATAGCGTACGTCGATTTTATATCAATGCACGGCTTTTAATTATTATTTCAGAGTAGAAAAAAATGTTGTTTATGTTACATAATTGCATAATTACCTATAAAACGTTACGAAAACTTCCAAATTGCAATTTATCGCGCGTTTTAGAGCGTATGTCACAACCGTTTAACAGACAAATATTGTAAATACATAAACCTTCCCTGTGTATAAATATTGAGAGTTATAAAAATTTGTAACGTTATCGCATCAATGCATATTTAACGTGCCGTGTCAGTAGAAATGAAATGCTTTGCGTGCGTTCTACCTTCAAAGGTAACCATTTTTTTTTCTGTTATTGTTTATACAATTATTGATAACTCGATAAGAACGAGTAGATTTTTTTTCACGTTACTGTTTTAAAACGAAATGGAAATTTTATGCAATCTGCGATAAACACTTCCGTTTTCAACGTACAATATGATACATTATCAAATATTCAGATAATAGGCAAGTTTACTTGAATTATAACTAATTTATTTAAAAGAAAAAACTGAACGATTCAATTCGCTCGTAGGTCGAGTCGGGCTATGGCACCGGTTCGGAGAACAGCCTAAAACGTCATGGTTCTACAGTCAGCTTGCAATCGAACACTTATAGCACAGCTTCTGGTAGTAGCTTCAAGAAATCATCGAGGAACATTAAGGAGAAACTAGCTGAGATCGGCACCTTCAAGGACATATTAGTTAGACAGATAGATACTCTACAAGGCTACTTCGATTATTGCGTGAAGAATGACCTGAAGACAGCCACCAAGGCACCAGATAAAGGTTCGTTTAATTCGAATTTAAACTGCATAATCAAAGGTTAAAGGTTGTTAGTTAACTTGGCAACGTTGCTAATAGTAATGGTATTTAAAGTATTAATCTTTTCGGGTAAAAATTTACCTTGCGCTGATAATGAATGTATTAAATAGCCGCAATAATAATAATAAAGAAGAAACTGGTTATGTTATTTGCATTTGATTGAACATGTCAAGCGTTAAGTGTAATTTTCTTCTATAATTTTTGCGTTTATTTATCGAGTTCGCGGTATCTCCCTTTCGGCATCGTCGAATGCCGGAGTGAGGAAAGCGATCCATCGCGGAACCGTCGGATTAATTTCCAGATAAATTTCCAGTGGTCGATTTCAAAGGCGAGGCGCTGACGTTCAAATCGACCACGACGGCTGTGATAGAAACGCTGGAGCATTGCGCCGAGTTGATGACACAGCGGGAAGAGTCTTGGAGGAAGCGGCTGGAAAGGGAGACCGAGAAGCGGAAGCGGGCCGAGGCCTTGTCGCATTCGTACTTCGTGCAGATCCAGAAGATAAGGAATGTTCATCCGGGACCGGATTTGGAGGTACGTAAAGGTTGCTGGCTTGGTACCCTTCCTTTCGGCGAGGTGATGAATTTGTAACAGAATTATTTAAATTCAAGCGACGTTATCGAACTAAAAATACACTTCGTAATCCGTATTTAAAACTCTACGTATCTTATCGTTAATTTATTACAACTAAATTACTCTAAACATCGTATTAGTATGCCGATATGTTTTATCGTCTCTTTTTCGCCATTAAAAATGCTGCAAAATTATTTTTACATCGATAAATTCTACATTGTTTTACATATATATTCTTTCGGTTACTGTGAGTTATGGAAGTTTTCGGTTGTACATCCAAAAATTTGTTTAGATTCCCGAGTAATCTTCTCGTATTATACCTTATCAAAACCATGTGACCTTTAACATTTAAAATATTCAAAAATGCCACTCGGAATTTACGGATTTTTAAAACTAGTTACGCGGACGAAATGCAGATAAACCGTTTAGTTCGACGAGTACATTTTTTTCGTGTCATCTCCGATATATTTACGCGATGTTTGTTCAATGTCCAGTAAGTACAGCGCATACCTATTCCCATTTTTTTCCCCCTAAATAATCCTACAATTCTTCGCAACTATTACGAGATTCGAACGGAGTTGATTTTCCTCGCAGGAAGGACCTCACAGCGTGCTCGCCGACGACGAGTTCTACGATGCATTAGAATCCGGCCTGGATAAAATGGAGGAAGAGCAGGAGTTGAGAGATCGGTTGAAAACCGGTAGCGTTATACCGGTTACGCCGCCGCCGACTTCTCCTGCTACAAACCACCGACTGTGGCCGGAGGTAACTCGAGATTTGCTCGATTAATAGGAGATGCCGAAAATTTCTATTTTGTTTTAGATCGAAAGAATGGTGGAGGCGCAAGTGATGATGGCGAAAATGGGCATTGGAGAATGCGGCTCGGGCTGGCAACTGTTCGCCGAAGACGGCGAAATGAAGATGTACCGGCGAGAAGAAGAAGTGGACGGCATGGTGGTGGATCCCCTCAAAGCCGTGCACGTGGTCAAAGGGATAACGGGCCACGAGGTGTGCCATCACTTCTTCAGTCCGCAGTACAGATACGATTGGGAGAGTAAGTGATTGGCGCGTTCGGGTTCGTAGTTCGATTGCGGGAATTGATTGTGTTTCCAGCCACCTTGGAGCACATGACAGTATTGGAGACCATATCGGACGATACGTTGGTATTCCTGCAAACACACAAGAGAATATGGCCGGCCAGCCAAAGGGACGGTTTGTTTTGGTCGCACATAAGGAAATTGCCGAACGAAAAAGACAGGGACGGACCGGACATTTGGACGGTGGTCAATAATTCGACCGATCATCCGGATTATCCGGTAAATAAATCGTGTTGTAATTATCGTTCGTTTGTGATTGATTTGGTTTGATTTGTAGCCGAATAATGGAAAATGCGTTAGGGTGTTTTTGACGGTGTGCTTGCTTTGCCAGACCACAGTGGATCCGCCGAAAGAGGGAATGCCCTTAACCAGAGACAATTTGTCGTGCAAGATAACTTATTGTTCCGTCGGTAAGTACCGCGCAGGTTGTAAACGATGGCGAGAAGTTAGCTACAGATGTCACTTGTCAATATGTGAGAAGATAGTTATAGATGCCAAAATGTCACTTGTCAATATGTGAGAAGTTAGCTACAGATGTCAAAATGTTTCAAATAATTTATATTTCTCCTGGTAATGTATAGTTTTTCATAAAATTTTGTTGATTTCAGTAAATCCCGGAGGATGGGCACCGGCTTCAGTGCTGCGGGCGGTGTACAAGCGAGAATATCCAAAGTTTTTGAAACGTTTTACGGCTTACGTTAAAAATCAAACGCAAAGCAAACCAATTATGTTTTAATTTAACTCAGGGTCTATTTTATTACTCCTTTTTTGTCCATTGTCTATTGTATAATTATTACTTATTAAAATATTTAAATTTATTATAGTGTTTCATTTCTATAACTGTTTAGTGTTCATTTGTGATACCTTGTGTACAGGGCCGGATAGGCCCCCGAAAAGGGTTTTATAAGTGGATCGAAATGAGTCAATACGATCTTGTGTAATAAATGGATTTTTGAAAATAAAATCGAAAATAATCGCCAGTATTTGAAATACACATCACTGTTATTGCTACAAAGCCGACATAACACCGCAATTTAGAAGTTATAAAAAATTAAACAACTCGTTAGTGCAATTGACACTAACTCCGGGAGAAACTGACCATTTGCATTGATTAGCAATAAATAATCCTTTCATCGGAAACCCTTTCAATTATGACAATGTCGCTTCTTCGATCTTTAACGTCTTGAAAGGGCTTTAAAAATCGTATCATACCATAATCAGTTTTTTTTTATAAACATTGATTGAAAGAAACTTCAACCCTTAAACACGACAAATGTCTGCGTAGCGCTCGCCCAAAAACCAAACGACACAATAGAATTACAAGCACACACAGCCGGGAATTGTCAGTTGATGAGCTGAGTTAGTTAACCAGCGGAAATCGTCGAATTGAATGTGATAGTAATGGCTGAGAATCTCTTTATGTCGAATTCAATTTACACCCCGATTTTATTCGAATCCCTAATTCAATCAAGGACTCAGCGGGCACTTTCCGCACCGCTCGCGCAACTTCAGCTCCAGCTCGCTCGCTTCTCCTTATCGAATCCACTCTAATTTTTGTCGCTTTCGCCTCTTCCGTTCAACTACTTAATCTTAATATACAGGTTGTTCCAAAAAAAAAAACATACTAATCGAAAAGAATTATTCGTTCAATAAATGTTGCGATTACAAACGAACATTGCAAGTTAAATCGGCCAAACCGGACGAATGTGTGCATTCTTTGCGATGCATTCGCATGCACAGATGCGTTTTTATGTCCAATTAGGCAGCTTGCTTAATTGCAGTTTCGTTGCGGAAGGTTTTCCCAATAATTAAAATACCCTGTGTCGTCTCGCCAGAGCGATTTCGTTACGCGGAAAAGCAAAATTTACACTTGGTCGGGCGTAGTATTTCGTTTGATGGTGTTGCCCCTTTATTTCCAATTATTATCTGCGTTCTTTGAATACGAATCCGAGCGGTTTGACAATCCTAAAATTTGTTTTTTTTAACATTTGCTACATTTATTAGAATTAGCTATGCACCCTACTCTACTATCTATCTACTCTACTCAATTCTTTTCTGCTCTACAATACTGCACTCTCTTCTACTCTACACTACTCTATTCTCTTCCACTGTTCAATTCTCTACTCTCTTTTTACTCTACTCTACACTACTTTATTGTCTTGTACTCTTCAATGCTTTACTCTATCTAATCTACACTACTCAATTCTCGTCTACTCTACTGTATTCTGCACTACTCTATTCTCCTATACTCTTAAATACTCTACTCTTTCTACTCTACAATACTCCACTCTCTTCTACTCTACACTACTCCATGCTCTTGGTAATTCTCAATACTCCTACGCAATTTCTTTCAAAATTTGTAATGAATTCAAATAATTCCCTTTTCTACCTGAAATATTCCTGCGTCCAATTTACCACCATCGTACTAACCAATCATTTTTGCAACCATTTGAAAAACCTTTCAATAAATCTAATAATGGACGGTATAAGCTTAAAGCTCCCCTTGCATAAACGCAATCAAGACAATTACATAAAGATTTGAAAGTTATTATTCGGCACGGACGATTGTTACGCCACTCCGTCTAATAATATACTCTCTCCGGGGACGGATGAATTATTGCGGGCTATCAAAATGCACATACAAATCGGGCGTTACATTCCGGATTATGCGAAAGTAACCGTCGCCCGTGTGTAATCAGAGATAGTGCGATGTCGTGTCGATTGACCCTTCTCGATTACCATTCCCGCCTTCCATCATATAAATCGGCACCTATTGCTCTTAGTTAAATGGAAATCCTACGGTATACGCTGCCACTCGAATCCTTCGGCATACATGCATATTCGGCATAGATGTATACACTTGAAAGCGGTGGTAAATTGGGCACAGAAATATGTTTAATAATGATAGAAAGAGGGGGATTATTTGTGCAAACATTCGAGTTTGATGCAATGAACAAATTTCTATTGTATTGTAGGGTAGAGTAAAGTAGAATCGAGGAGAGTAAAGTAATCAGTAGAACGATATTTGAAAAATAACGCTTATTTTGTAACAGTCGTTACTGCACCTCTATACCAAAAAATTAACTCCCACCTCTACTACATTTCCGTCATACGTAATGTCATTAATGTCAACGTTGACAGTTTTTATTTATATCATCAAGTCCCACTTATTCGCTTACAACGCGAACAAAATACGTCCGTTCCTTGAAAAAGTATAGACAACAAGAGGCTCGTTTTTTTTTAATTAACAACATCGGAAATTCCAGCTCATTTCCATATATAGAGGCTAAATCGAAATTGCGTTTTGTTTTCAATTCCATCAGCACGCCGCAGGAGGCAACGTTTGCGATTGACGTATTGTTTGCCGAACTTTATTTCTCCTGTTATGATTTTCCCCGACACGCGTCTTCCTTTTTTTTATTCCCAAACGCTTTTAATTACTTTTCCACCCATACACGTACCACATTTAACTCCATAAACTCGCCGTTCCAGTCCAGCGCTGCACCCAAAATTTCGGTACCTTCTTAGTCCTTTTTTGGTGCATATTCACAGCTGAAATCTTGCTTTACTTGTCCATTTTTGTCTATTCACAAGTGAAATCCTGCTGCTATCTAGTATCACTTTCTATAGACCTGCTCATCCGTTCATATTATACACAGTAAGGCAAAATATTCCCTTTGAACTCGAATTGTTTACTTAAATCGAATTGTAACCAACCCAATTTTACGCTAAATAGTAACAATAAGAGTAAAATAATAACGAAATGAACATAAATCAAGCTGCGATGGCCGTGTCTCAACCAATAGACCTTTTAATAAACGCATAATTTTCCGTCCGGACGATTTTATTATTATGATCGTCGTGCATTTGACAGCAATATCAATCGGGGCCCCGACATCGTCGGATGTGTCTTACCTGCCGTGCATTCGCCGGCGTTCGTTTTGTTCAGCAGGAGCGGAATATAAGGGAAAAGGAGGAGCCCGAGCTATAGCCGGCGATGTAGCGGCCCCGGGATTGTGTCTACGGCGCTCGGCGGGGGATTAAAACACTGTGCCAGACAAACGGAACGAACGTAACGCGTTGCGACATGGTTTAGACATTACCGTGATTACTAGGGACTGCCTCGCCGGAGCCGCTGACGTCGGTTACCCACATATCCGTTGCAGAGTCCTCCTGTCCCATCCCGAGCCCGGCTCGACCCATCCGGCGTGATTAAATTTTACGGTCTTGGGAGCATCCTCGCTTCGACTTCTACAAGTTTACCTAAATATTGTTCGCGCGAAATACGTATTAGATTGGGTTTAGTAAATTCAAGGGGTTGTTGATGCAATTCTTCCAATGTTCTACTCATTCATTGCCGAAATCTTGTACAAAAATACCGATTTCTTATCGAGTTACATCTGTTAATTATCCAGATTTGCAAGTCTTCCACGTTTTCTACTGGAGTAGTACCAATTTAAGGCTTTAGACGGTCCTATTGGAAATAATCCAAGGGTTTAAGCCTGGTGAACAAGTGGATCATGAGTGAGTTCTCCCTCGACCAATTTAGTGATAAATTTAAAGATATCAAACATTGTTCTATCGAAAATGTTGTCCGCCTTGTATCTTCGAAACAAAGAGAGTTTTCAAAAGTCCTCAAAGGGCAAAATATTATTTGAATAGTCCAAGGAAGAATCATTCGAATGTTGGCCTCATGTTCATTAAACACACCTACAAATCCTTGGACACAACATAGAGACAAGCATTATAAACAATTTCTTGAAAGATTCACTGTAAAATAAACTGCTCCACAAAAGTTAATTTTGCGATTATTTTAAAAGTTATACACTTTTTGATCACCAAATTTTCAAATATGCGAAATTAAATGTTTTCTCTCATATCTGAGTGACTTTTTTGCCCTTACCTTTACAACTCATACTAAATTTGGCGATCAAAAAACCTGCAACTTTTAAATTATTCTCAATATTTGTGAACTTCCTTAAATTTTGTGGAGCAGTATATATACTCTTGCTTTCCTAAGGGATGATTTTTTCGCAAAAAAATTCATCACTAAATATTACTCACCGCCATAATTTGAATCATATTTACCCCAGAAATACTCCCGGCAACGACAAATAGAACCAAAAAAGAGCACCAGCATGCATCCCTCAGATACCCCGGTCGTCGGAGGGGCGGCGTTATACACTACACAGAATCGACCGTAAACCAAATTCTCAGATTGTTCCTTTGACTTTATGCAAAGCGCTCCTAATTTGTATTCGGCACCAGCTCCTGGCGCTAGTCAATAATCGAGGGGGATCCGAGCGCGGGGGCGCGCGACGGCGACGGCGGCGCTCCGCCGATGGCGGGCGGCGGGCGGGCGGGCGGCGTCGGCGATGAGCCGTTGTCTTGCTAATCTTTTAAATTTTAATGCCTCCGCCGTCGTCTTTAACTACGCGTTCGGGGTATTAGCGCCTCGCTTTGTCAAGATTAGAATTTAGAGGCGACGCCATGGCGGAACGGGGGGCGCGAGCGAACTTCGCGCCGAATTACCCCCCCGATGGCGCGATTTTAGGAGGATTTTAACCGTCGGAGCCTTCGGCATACGGAACTCTTTGAATGGTGTTTTTATAGGTAACTGTCTAGAATTATTAGTTCATTTCGTAGGAATACCTCTGGAATTTTAGTAGTTTTTAGTGATTTTTTTGCAATTTTGTGAGTTCTTTGCAACTTTCACAGTTCTAAATAATTCTAGAGCGATCTAAATGACTATGGAGCGTTCTAAATGCCTCTGAAGCGTTCCAAATAGTTCTACACAGTTTTATATTTGATTATGGAGCGTTCTAAACAATTCTAAATGGTTCTAGACAGTTCAAATTGATTCTGGAGCGTACTAAATTGTTTTAGACGGTTCTAAATGATTCTGAAGCGTTCGTTCTAAATGGTTCTAGACAGTTCTAAATGACTATAGAGCGTTCTAAATGGTTCTAAAGCGTTATAAATAGTTTTAGACAGTCCTAAATAAATTTGGAGCGTTCTAAATGGTTCTAGACAGTTTTAAATGATTCTAGAGCGTACTAAATGGTTTTAGACGGTTCTAAATGGTTCTGAAGCGTTATAAATGGTTTTAGAGAGTTCTAAATAAATCTGGAGCGTTATAAATGACTGTAGAGCGTTCTAAATGGTTTTAGACAGTTCTAAACGATTCTGGAGCGTTCTAAATGGTTCTAGACACGGAGAATTAGTAGAATAGAATTAATAGAATAGAATTAATTATAAATCTTTCAGAGAGAAAACAAGAATTTTTGCTGATTGGAGCGCCCTATTTTCACCCTATTTTTTATCATTTTACTCCTATATTCCGGTAGATGTATGCCGAAGGAAGCGAATGTACAAACGTTCACGAATTTCCGGTCTTCGTCGATAATATACCGTATAAATTTGTACGTTTCCCCATTCACCATCAATCGGCATTTCAACACCCCCATTAACGTCACCTAATCGCTCCCCGATAAAGAAGAGAGGAACAAAAAAAAAAAAGAAGCGGCAAAAAACCGACACTCCAATAAAGCGTTCCGCGAACCCCTCGCGACAGTAAATCCTCGCAATTTCAAAGAGCACACCTCCTTCCCCCCGGCGCCGATAGGGACCCCCCCGGAGACGGGGGGCGGGCGGGCGGCGGATCGCGTAGAGACAAATCGATAGCGCGGTGATCAAACGTTCCGACGGAGCCCCCGCGCCCGTCACATCCCGATATCCCGACGTGTCGGGGGTCGGCACATGCACCGGCGGGGTGACAAATAACCCCGAGGGCAGAGGTCATCCGGGGCAGCGGCGGTGGTGGGGCGCCAATGCGCTCGCAGGCCGGCACAGACCAATGGGATTATCGCGATTGCGCCAATGAAGGGAGTCATCCCGTCGCCGCCACCACGCCACAAATCAAACCGGCGGATAGAATGTGACTGATGTTTGTCGCGGTTTGTATATACGGGCGCAAGGGCGCTGGTTTCGCCGTGCTGCTGGTGCCGAATCAATCACGAGTACCTGCGATTTGATAAATAAAATCTAACGAGATACGATTTATATAAAGCTATGGGTAAATTATTTAGATAGAGAATGAAATCGAGCTCGAGCAGCGAGCGAGACGATATTTAATTGTGTGTAGTCGAGCTTAAGGAGCTAAATTGGTGGTATTTTTGTTGTGTTTTGTGCTAAGAAAGTATACAAAATCGAGCTCGCGTTGCAAGAGAGATGATTAGAATAGTTAGATGTCGAGCTTGCGAAGCGAAAAAGACTTCGTTGTAGGTGGTTTGAAAAGGGATTTTTGTTGTATATTGCAAACTATACGATCGGGCATTCACTAAATAATGTTCTGTGCAGGAAAATAAATAAAATCGAGCTCGCGCAGCCAGCGTGATGATTAAAAATAGTCTAATGACGAGCTTGCGAAGCGAAAGAGCCCATATTGTACGCGAGATTGTTGGTTTGATTCAGGATTTTTGTTGTATAATGAAAATTTTACGATCGGGTGTTCACTAGATGATATTTCATCCAGGAAAATAAATAAAATCGAGCTCGCGCAGCCAGCAAGATGATTAAAAATAGTATAATGACGAGCTTGCGAAGCGAAAGAGCCCGTATTGTACGCGAGATTGTTGGTTTGATTGAGGATTTTTGTTGTATAATGAAAATTTTACGATTGGGTTTTCACTAGATAATGTCCTGTGCAGCAAAAAAAATTATAAAATCGAGCTCGCGCAGCCAGCGAGATGACTGATGATTAAAATAGTATGATGTCGAGTTTATGAATGATTCTAAATGTTCCAAAAGCCGGTTTTTATACAATATTTGCCTTCTTTGGGTACTCATTTAATTCGTATTTTGATCAAAGATTGATCAAAGTTTCCTTGCTCAATTGATCGGTTTTCTATGTTATTTTACGTTATTATGATCAATTAAGTTTTGATATTTTTGTGAGTTATCATAGATTTATTTTTGCTTCATAAGAAAATCAAATAAAAATCGAAACTATGAAATATACCGTCTTCTTCCTCTCTACATCTAGATACTCATTACAAATACAATTTACTGCAACAACCCCTCTAGCATTTAACAGCAGCTACACGTAAAAAAGCGACGAGAAACGGAATTTTAGTGAATAAAAATCGCCTGCGTAAAATAGAATCCGGCGTATAGCGATTTAACCCCGGCGTAATCCGCCCGAACGAGGGTATAGGTATATAGACATAACACGCGAAGAAGTACACAGAAAGGGAAATAGAAGAGAAGCGAGCGGGAGAGCGCGGGGACGAGGCAAAGCGGAAATATCGCGGGGCACAGTCTAGCAGATCGGCATCATCGGGCCAAAAAAGGGGTTGACGCATCGGGCGCCGGAGCACGACGTCAAATGGGGCGCGCAGCCGCCGCGCCCAACCAGAAGTTAAACACTGGGTGGCGTGTTCTGATCCCGCCCCTCGTGCTCGTAGACGAGACGGTACACGGCCCAACGATCAACGTGTAATCGCTCATTTCTTGATATTGAACATTTTGATCAACACCGAGCAGCGCCCGGATGATCGGGCGCCTTATGTAGGCTGATCGGTCACCGGTGGCGGGCTGGGCTGTGTAATTATTGCATGTATCGCGTAAAGTATTTGGTGCAATTCGAGGACCAGTGCTCCGATTTCAGTACGATGGACTGTACGGTGTCGCAGTTGAATCCTTTGCATCGGGCCTGCTCGCCCGAACAGATCAATTGCCATCCTAACGGTGAGATTTCATGATATGTGTTTATAAAGGCTTGTATGGATGTGTAAAAATGTTATTGTTTTGGAAGTGAATGGATGTTGCAGAAGAAATTTTGGTACATTTGAGAGAAATATTGAATGTTGAATTGAGATGATGAAGTATTTTTGAGTAGATTATTGGTAGTAGTATTGGTTTGGAAGTAAATGGATTTGAGAGAAAAATTTGAGTACCTACATTTGAGAGAATCAAATGTTAGAACCATATGTTGAAAGTATTAATGAATGTTGAATTGAGATGTTGAAGTATTTTTGAGTATTATTGGTAGTGCAATTATACGCAATATAGTGCAAAAAATTATAGTGCAAAAAAATTATAGACCTTCTTTTGTGAGATTTTTTTATGGATTTTGAGTTATTTTGGAAAAACATTGTTTGAAGGAAATTAATTCGACGAATTGAAAGGAGTTTTTCTTTCTTTTTTTTGGTGGTTTTTCAACAATTTTATAAGATTTTTATGATTTTTTAGTAAACGATTTTGTCATGATTTTTAATAGGATCTTTTCAACAATTTCAAAATTGTTTGTTACACGATAGTTTACGGATAAAGTAGAATTTGTATTTGGTTTAAAAATAAATATTATCACCCATATTTTTGATCTTGTATTTTATGTATTTCTAATTCAAAAATTTCATCAATTGAATGTTTCAATTAAAAAGGGTTCAAAAAGATTTTTCTACAATTTCATTAATTTTCCCTAAGCTATACCTACCAGCAATTCAAAAAATCCAAATGTATCAACCATTATATCATAAAATTTCGAATACCTATTTACTTTTTTCAAACAAATTTGTAATAATTTGTGTTCTTTTCCACAGTTAAAGTATCCTAATAAGAAACCTACCCTGAAACCAAATTAATGAAATTTAAACGCAAACATAAACATTTCTACTCTTTTATTTACCCCACTAGAACTTTACAAATTTAAGCAATTTATTAAATTTAATTAGACATATAACTCATTTCTCAACGCGCCCTTTAGGAATACAACCTAGCACGACAATGCTTGCCCGATGCGGGGCAATTCGCGAAGGGATACTTATCTATTCGCGTCCCTAACCTAACTTTCCGTCCTAATGCCGGCAATTCATCCCCGCATAATACAAATTAATACACCGGCATTAAATTGAAACGCACTTAATCCCGGCCCGATATCCCGGCGCGCTCTTTGTTCGAGCGCCTTTATCAATCGCATAATAAGTTGCCTTCGTGTTGTAGAAAACTGACACACACACCACACACGCACATGTTCATAATTATGTCGGTACAAATCCTAACGTGTAGTTAATTGAAAAACGAAATTCAGAAGTGGGATCGAAAAATTCAGAAGTGGGATCGAAAAATTCAGAAGCGGGATCCGACCGATTTTTCGTCGAACCGAAACGTATACGAGATTACAATCATGTAAGATCTCGTTGGGAATAACGTTAAAAAAATCTATTAACTTAGTTAAACCAATTTAAGCCGTGACCTAAGTCACTATTTGCATTATAATGCAACCCCTGCAAACAAAAATTGATACGTTTAAACCCACATGCACACATAGAGCAGAGGGAGACCTGAAGTAATTGATATTAAAAACTTCTGTACAGAACAAATAAAAGATCCAATTGATAACATTAAATGTTATTGACATAGTATCGTTATAGTTAATATCTTTGTATCGACATAAATGATTCCTTTAACTCCTTCAACACAAACCTCTTCCGACGGGAGAATATTGATATAGAATCGACATAGTATTGATGTAGTATTTATATAGCATTGACGTAGTATTGATATAGTTAAAGTCTTTGTATGGACATAATGATTCTGTTAAAGCTTGGATCTAATTTGTTATGGCACACGCCCGCTTGAGCAATAAAAATGTACTCGCGAAATTTAATGAAATCTCTTCCGCCGGTCGAGCTTTCGAGCTGGAGCATCGATCAAGTGCCGGTCCTTGATTATCATGTAAATAGAGCCGAATTAGTCCCATATGTCATATTTCTGCTACCCCATCGTACATGCAAAAGCTACGCACGGTCGGGATTAGGACATGTACATAACTAACGTTAATTTAATCGGGAAAGAGGGACGTTTAAAATGCAATCGTCAACCCGGAGTCGGTCCTTTTTTCGGACGGTATGCCGAAGGAGTCGATTTACGCGATATTTCGTCATTAACTGTACGCCGAATATAACCGATTAAATTCGCGTTAGAACCCTAATCTCCGTCTCGAAGTTTGAGCGTAAGCGATCCTTAAAATTTGCATGTACTCCGGAGGGTGGCGTCGCGATGTAGTAGATTTTCGCCGCCCTTACGCATTACCCGTTCGAGCCCTTTTCGGAATTGAACGCGCGTGAAATCCGCCATGCGACCTGATAGATTTTTAATTCGCTTGACCACATGGTGTAATACCGCCGGCGGATTTGCGACAGGGACGGCTAATCGCTCGAGGTTTATTAAACAGAGGATTCGTTGGCATGCAAACAATATTTTTTGAGTGAATTTCTACGTACCTGCAGATATGAGAACGTCCCCGAACAGCGCCGATTGCTACTCGTCGGAGGGCGACCACCCGCTGGCGCTGTGCCTGCCGGCCTCGCAGACTCTCATACAGGCCTCCAGGACGCCGCCGCCCGCCTGGAATTTGCCCGCCAAGAAGGGCACGCCCGGGCTCATATGCGTCGTCTGCGGGGACACCAGCTCCGGGAAGCACTACGGCATCCTGGCCTGCAACGGCTGCTCCGGCTTCTTCAAGAGGTCCGTCCGGAGGAAACTCATCTACAGGTAAATACTCTTCTCTTGCAATGGAGAAGGCCACGATGTGGGGTATGCGATTAGAAATGATTCATTAGAGCTCAAAACAGTTTTCAGTTGCTCAAAATGTGTGATAATTAAAAAGATATAGCCAGTCGAAATTTAAAATTTGAAGAATAGTTGAAGAATACAACAAACGAACAAAAATCAAACTGTCATTTGTCAGATTTTTTCGATTAATACAATGCTTGGTTAAGGTTTTGTTTCTCAACACGGCTATTATTTGTGTGTTTAACACCAATATTTGTTACAATTTATACAGATAAAGATGGTATCCTTTTATTATTATATTGAATTATCCTTTATACAGGTTGCTCCATTTTTGATCGCAACATAGGTTATATAGGCCATGGGTGCGATAAAGACAACTTCTATTAGACACTTCAAAGGAAAAGGAAAGAGTGACATTTGTGTCATTGCAACTTTTCACTCTGACAACTGTTATTTTTTCAATCTTTCTTTGTTCAACTCATAGAAACGACCATGTTGCGGTCTGAATTGAAGTAAAGAAGTGTTCTAAGGAATGTGGCAACATGGCTAAATGTGACTTTTAAATGTGACATCAAAATTCATTGCGGTCCTATTTGAGCACAGAAAAAAAAATCATCAATCTCCTTTTTAGGACACATTATTTTGAAAAAAAATTAAAAAAAAGTCGTGGTCTTCTCCATTCTCAATATCCTACCAAATATATTCAATGGAAGTTTGTATACCTTTTGGCGGAATATACCCATTGATTTCGCGAGAAAAATATGCATATTGTAAGTTGAAAAGGGGGCCCGCTTCTCCTCCGCCGGCGAATGGAAATTCTCCTTGCCGCAGTATAATCGTAAAGTATTACTGAAGAATCACAGAAATAAATCCTTTTTTAAAATTCAATTAAAGTTGCGTCGTTGCGGGGTTATATTGCGATACGATAATATCCGGGGAAAATTGCATTATGCGAGCGTCGTCGGATGAATTTTCCGACGGAAAACTCGCATCGTCGAATCGGAAAATCGCCCCAATAATTTCTCCACATCTAATATTTATATTCTACTACTCGTTCGCCCGTTTTGTTTATTATGTTTAACGTTTAAATAAGGACTATTTAGACTAATATAAAGCTCCAACTTCGAATCCTGCGGGATCGCAAACAATTAATTTTTAATACAACCCAATTGCCCGAGCAGGTTGCGGCGTTCGCGAACGTCAACCGAAGCGTTTTATAAGCGGTACGGGGGCGGTTTCGGTGAAACAGGGGGCGCTCTCCGGGGCGTTTAATAAGGGCATCAGGTGGCAGAGCGGCACTGCGACACTTGCCATCTTGATATATTTAAGCTCCTCTAATATCAAGCCAGAAGCGTCATCCTGCCCGTGGAGAGACTATCCCGTTCTGTTCCCGCTGCGCCGCTCGGATGAGCAATTTGACTGGTAATCGAAACTGAGCCTCTGCAGTCATTCCCGTCGGTCGGATGATTAATTCGATGTGTGTTGCCGTTTGAATCGATTTATTGGACAACGGTTTGGGGGTTGGTTTTATATTCGTTACGTCAACACTCTGTATATACATGCTATTATACTCCGTTCGCCATCAGGAGATAGTAATAAAATTTTCTTGGAGTAGGTAGATTGTAGATTTAATATGCCAGAAGCAGGATTGTGCACTGTTTTCAAGTTACTTTATCTTGGATTATAAAAGGGTCGCCTATTAGTGGCACTACTAAAGTATAATAAACATTACTATTACACAATGGTAGAAGCTTTAAAGTTTTGGAATTTTATGGTTTTTTTTCGTTGAGTCACTGGAGCTATCTATTGAATACAAAAATTAGGTTCTACTATCTCTTGATGATGAATCGATTATAATCGTATATAAAATTGGAAAAGATTCTTTTATCTGGAATCTTCAGGAACCACACTAAGGATTTATTTCTCTCAATTATGGCACATTTTTTCACTTAACTTTTCTTCTTCTCCACAAAGTAAATATACATAGGTATTCAGTGAACTTTAGTATACAGTGTAGAAAAGCCGAATGGAGTAAATTCAATATTTCCTTTACTATACAACCCTCTTCGAGTCGTAGTTACAAACCCCCAATTTTTTAAATGAGAAGTATGGGCTTGTGATATATCGTTTGAAAAGTCTCTTCATTATCTGTCCAAAAATTTAGTGGGAGTTTATTTCAAAAATTGGCAAACCCTATCCGACTCTACATTTTCCTACAATTCTTCTCGAGATCGCCCAATTTCGAAGAATACCTCTTAATTTGACCTATCAGATCAAGATATAGGAACTCCTATTTCGGCATCCGATCGTAACAGATACACTATGTGTAGATATATCCCCTTTGTGTGAAATTTAAACTTCGATTTTCATCGATAGATAGCACAAGGAAGCCGATTGATGTTAGCAAATTATAGTCGAGTGAGTAGGTAAAAGCATGCACGGTTATCCGCGCTAAAATAGAGCGGAGCCGGGTCGAGTCGAGAGTTATTGGAAGTGAAAAACACGCCGGGCTTAGGAAGTCATTCAACGGAGATCCCGGCCTCATTCAATTAAAGGAACCCGCTCTAATCCGTGCACCGAATGCGGTGTGGCTCCGGCCTTTGTGCGCGCCTCTCGTCTCTTCGGCCTCTCCCGCTCATCCGGCTTAATCCGGTTAACGGGGAAATCTCCGAGTCCGCCGGTGCCGCCGGCGCTGTCCGATCGATTTGCGATGATGTGGATGGAAAATCGACGACCGGAACGGGCCCGGCGTAACCTTTTTTTTTCCACCCGCAGATCTGATTTATCTCGCTAGCGGAAAATCAAACGATTTTCGACGAGGTAAAAATCATCCTCGCGGCTCGAAGGACGCGCGCAAAAAATTTCACGCCCGTAAGTTAGGCAACCGGGCTTGCAGTGGGAAAAATACATCCTGTATATTACACCCAATTCCATACCTATAGCTATATATTTGTAGCAGAGTAGGTATAAAAGTGTAAGCTTTGCGATATTCAATTCCCAGTTCACCAGATGATCCCGGCTCTATTCCCCCGAGAGCCACTCTATCAACTTTTATCCGGGCATCAGTATCCCTCTCTTTCGTACCGAAACGGCCGAAGGCTTAGGTACGGAATAATGGGGATCCGAGCGGACAGGATGCGCGGCGCAGGCGCCCCTTTCGCCGCAGGAATTCCTGCACGAAGCGAAAACGAAACGCCCTAAACTATTATTCGTTTATATATAGAGATTTTTGAGCGATTATTTTTTTTATATTCGGTATACAATTTGATTTTCGCAGGTGCCAGGCGGGGACGGGGAGATGTATCGTGGACAAAGCCCACAGGAACCAGTGTCAAGCGTGCAGGTTGAAGAAATGCCTGTCTATGGGGATGAACAAAGATGGTAAATACATTTATTTACGTATACCTATGGTGTTCGAAATTACAGGAAAAGTATTAGTAATCGTTATAATCAAGCTTTTAAATGAATAAAACACAAAACATCGACGGCGGCTAGTTTGGTTTAAGCAGGACGAATTTTCGGAGAGGACATCAAATGGAGCGTGCATTATTCACGCTTTATCCTCTAATTCTCGCATAAATGAAGCCAATCGCGGCTCGCCCCGAAACTCCAATACCGCGGGCGTTTCATTATTTGCTGCCACCGACGCTTTAGCGCCGCGACGCCCACAGCACACTGTTATTTTCGTTCTAATTTGTTTAGTTTTCGCCTTTGCACGCGTTAATACCGCGCTATCTTCGCTGAATTAATTGTCGTCGATTCCTTCGGCATACGTCTTTAGTTCAACTTTATTCATCACCTTGCTATTTGTCTTCTTCTTATTCTTCACCTTCAATTTATCTGCTACAGCTTTTATTCGGCTTTTTAGGATGAATTAATTTTTGTGTATTATTTTCACGAAGATATAAAAATCGTAACTTTATACAGAATTTTCATAAATGATTGATTCCCACGTGACCTAAAAATTTATGCAACCCCAAGTGCACAGTTGTTATTATTTTCAAGAGATGTCCCTATTTTGAATACAAATCAACACAGTGGAGGAAGAACGTTAATCCACAGTTTTCTTCGGGAAAAGAACAGGAAAAATTAGAAAAAATAAACAAAACAAGTTATTTCTACCGAGATTTCATCGAGTAGACGTTGACTTGACATTAATGACAGTATTTTAGTAACTTATTTTTTGGGTACCAACATAAACATAACAAATTTACTGCGTTCATTTCGAATTTCATCACGTGATAATCAATCATTTATGAAGACTCTGTAGTTTCTTTTTTTTAAATCTCTCAACAAATTTTAAAGATATTTGATACTATTTGTACATTTTTACGTCCTATATAAGCAAAAAAGGACTAACCGTCGCTCGCCTCGAGCGGGCGTAATGGCGTAGAGTAATAAGGAAAATCATCGGCAATCGGTATTTCTTTTATGTCGTGCTTTCCGCCGAAAGGAAAACCCGCCCGCGAACGGGCGCTCGCCGTCCGACCATTATTCAAACCGAATTCGCAATTATTTTGCATACGCCTTGCGGATTAACGCACGTGCCGGGGCTCTTTCGCTCCGCGGCCTTCCAGCGGAAAGGGGTCGGTTGCTTTTTAGTCAAATTGGCGCCCCGCTGGTGAAACACGTTCGCCCGTTTACCGGGTTGTTTTATCGCCGCGAAATCCGCGAAAGCTTTCTTTCGCCTCATCCGTGCCGATTTTGATTTCAGAGCGCCGTTGTCAAAGGGTTTAGTTAGCGATGCCTTGCCGTTCGCGATTTAGAAGTAGAATGTTTTCCTATATTTTTTTACAGCTGTCCAAAACGAGCGGCAGCCGAGGAACACTGCGACCATTCGTCCTGAGGCGCTCAGAGACATGACCGCCGAGCAGGAGAGGGCCTTGCGAGAGGCGGCTGTCGCTGTCGGAGTATTCGGGTAAAAGAATTGAAGTAAATACCGGGTTTTTGTTTTTTTTTTTATGTTACCTATATTATTACCTCTTTAGATCCCAAAAGAATATAGCTTTCAACCATTTTTTTTATTTTTTTCGCTACGCAGATGTATACAACGATTCGCAACAATTTTTTTGCATTATTCATCATCTTTTATAGACCACCCGTGTCTTTGACAATGGCCTTTAACCCGGCTAGATATACAAACACTTTCCTACCGTCCGTACCGCACTCGACGATACCAAACAGGGAGCCTTCGCCTAAGGATAACACCAGCGACAACGACGGTAACACTTCCCTCACGAATTTCGATAACGAGCTACTACAGGTTTATTACAGAGGAAAGTATAGACGTAACGAACGAGGAAGAAGACACCCCGTCCTCGGGCTGCGCGGTGTCTTCGAGTAGCGGGCCCCTGCGGCCCGAGCCGCACCCGCCCTCCATGACTGGCTTGTATCCCACCACGCAGGAGACCATTCACGAGACCTCCGCCAGATTGCTGTTCATGGCGGTGAAATGGGCCAAGAACCTGCCGAGCTTCGCCAGCCTGCCGTTCAGGGACCAGGTGATCCTGTTGGAGGAGTCGTGGAGCGAGCTGTTCCTGCTGAACGCCATCCAGTGGTGCATGCCCTTGGATCTGTCGAGTTGCCCTTTGTTCAGTATGAACGAGCACACGAAGAACGGCCATTCGGCCACGGATATTAAATTCCTGGGCGATACGCTGTTGAGATTCAAGGGGATCCACGTGGACCCGGCCGAGTTCGCTTGCTTGAAGGCGATCGTTTTGTTTAGAGCAGGTACTCTAAGTTTTTAGCTATAACCTTACGGGCGTAGTTTAACGATTGATAATTGCAGAGACCAGAGGCCTGAAGGACCCTAGTCAAATAGAAAACCTGCAGGATCAAGCGCAGGTGATGTTATGGCAGCATTGCAGGACCCAGTTGCCCGGGCAGGTGGCGAGATTCGGCCGGCTCCTGCTGATGCTGCCCTTGCTCAGGCTCGTTCCTGCTATAAGGATAGAAACGATATTTTTCCAAAAAACTATAGGTAATACGCCCATGGAGAAGGTGTTGTGCGATATGTATAAAAATTAAGTGTGATTTGTATGTAATGTTTACGATTCCATTGTTGTTTTTCGCGTAATCTAACTAGTCAATGAACAACAGTAAGGCCTAAAGGGGTAGGTGTATCTAGTCAAAATTGTAACATTTCCTAAAAACTATTATAAAAATATCGTGTATCTACTTATTTATTGTAATTAAATATTAATTAATTAATAGCATTTTACATACCTATAATAAATTACTCATAAATATCCTCAATACTTTAAATTTTCTAATAGTTAGGCAACACTCATTACAAACCTGTCAATTTTTGCCGAACTGAATAGAAAGAGGCCAAGGTAAAATTTGACAGTGACATGACAATTTCTGTCAATGTCATTATATAATTTCTAAATAACTTTTACATCTACGATCTGCCTGCACGACTACAAGAAATTTAGTTTATACGACCTATAAAAATGGGTAATACCTTGGGCTTCGGAAATACATTTAATAATGGCTTCAACTTGTATTTTCATCCTGAAGTTACGCCGGGCCCATACGAGGAGCCGACGTTTGACCCATTGAGTGGATTCGAAAAGGGTCGCAAGAAAAGGGGTTTGTTTATCTCTCATTTTATAATTTTTGATTTTTCTGTTATCGTTTTTATTTTCAGTAATGATCGCAACTGAAGAGGAAATGAGATCGGCGAAGATACCACTTGAATCTAGGGACTATTGCGCCCACCTCTTGTTAAAATTTAGAGATTGTCGAAAAGAAAATTGGCCATTTCCAGTTAAATGCCACCACGAAAAGCACGAGTACTTGAATTGCCAATATGATGAGTAAGACAGTATTTTAATCGCTTTTGGGTTAATTATTTTAATTGTATTTTCAGCTTTGTTTTGCGAATGAAGGAATACGAAAGGGAAAGAAGATTGAGAGTAAAAGCATGTGCAGGTGCATAAAAGTTAATTATCAGCCTTGTGTAGATACCTCTTATAGAAAATTAATTCTGGATATATTAATATTTAATAAAAAGTGAATAAAAGTAATTTTTTGTTTCAAAGTTGTGTATGTTTGGCAACATTGCCCATGTTACGATTAAATTACACCAAATAGGTAGGCAGCACTTTTTACATATAAAAAAATCAGTAGTCTTAAAATTTAAACCTAAAAACCTTTTTTTTGTAGAGATCAAAGATTGTCTTCGAAGTTTTACTCGACATTCAATGCGATAATCCGCTAATGTAACTTATATTTAAAATCTAGTACACTTTTTAATTTCAAACTAGTACATCAGGAAACGTCACTGTCACTACTGTCACTATTTTGTTTTTATTTAGTTTGTGTCAGTTGGTCGAAGGAGTAGGTGGTGTCTTATTTAAGTACGACAAAATTTCGAAATAAAATCAAACTACGAAAGTCAATTGCAGTAAAATGACTCTGACACAACGAACTGTGATAATATTTATCTTAGTAGGTGAGCAATTCGTTAGTTTTTTTTTTTTCTAGTTATCAAAATTGTGTAAAGTAAATAATATTTTTCTACTTAATCTTTGACCCCTTTTGATTGTAAATGAACACGTTTTTGTTCCATTAATTGAAGAAGGTATCCGCGAAAACCGAATAAAATTCGCTTCGTTATTGTACACATAATTTGTACTTTGAGGCAAAAATCAAGGTTGTCATGTGTATATCTGAAGTCATTAAAAACTTGTTTTGTTTTCGAACATGGTCTTCTATTAATCAAAATAAACTTTAATTGCCTCTTTATTGAACAAGAATAGTAATTGAGAGACTTTGAATACCCACTTTTATTATTTAGACATTAAATTTTACCTGTTTTATTAAATTAAATTTATTATAGTCTCAAGTCGATTGGTATTGATATTTTATTTTTCCCTGTATAATTTTTGGGGTGAAACTTTAATCAGAGAAATTATCTCTTAGCAAATATTAGTCACATACATATCCTCTCCAAATATGGTGGGCTGAAAGTATTATAAAAATAAAACTTGCGCTCTCTCAATATCACTTATCTCATATCAAATAAGATAAAAATTGCCGGGATATGTAAAACTAATGCGAAGTGAACTCAATACAAAGCTTTTGTACATTCAAATAAGTACGATAAATTGTACAGTACAGCAAATTAAACGGCCTCTGTAATCTATCAATATGCTATTGTAATTTCTTTCATTTATTCGAAATCTGGACGAAAATAAATTTTGAATGTCGTAACAGAGGCTACTTGATGGGTAATTAATTACTATATTCAATCTAATAAAGAAGTTGTGTTAATCTGAAGACTATTAATAATGTTACTAATTAAAAACAATCCCAACTAATAAAAATTTATTATCCTTGACCGAATCCAGGTCTATTAAGAATTAATTCAATGAATCAAAATCGACTGATTGATGTAATTGATTCTGTAGATTGATTAAATAAGAGACCAAACGGCTCGTTGTAATTTTGCTAATGTAATTCATCGAAATATTTCATAGTTATGTAACTTGATTGTTGACTCCTGTACAATAATCAAGTTAATTTTCCTGGGGTAAGCATCCTTGGAATCCTTGGTATATTTTTCATAGCATAAATTCCAACATTATTTTTTTCTCTTAGATGCTTTTCATTCGCCAGATTCATTCGCTTGTTTTTTGATTCGATTATTTCTGAATCAGTTTTATCAAATCAAGTTTTCGGAATTTCTGCAGTTTGACAATCTTTAAAAACAATAATATTGTTTATATTCTCGCGATTTTACTCACGCCACAAATTTGAAAAAAAATTAATTGAGATTCTCGCAAGTAAAAAAATATATTGCAACATTTTTTAATGTAAACTTTATTGAAGGTTTTATCAAGTGCCAATCGTTAAACGATCTTGACGTGGATGTGAAGAAAACGTTGGAAAAAGCAGGCCTGGGTTCAGATATAGGGGATTTACCGGATTTCAATTCGTCGAGCATTCCTAATGCAGAAGACATCGAAGCAGTGCTGAGAGAAAAGTGCGCCAAAAACGGGGCCCCGGACGCCATCGATCTACTTATGGTTAGTCATTTTGACAGTTTTTTTTAATCAATCACCATAAAAAATATCAGTTACTTTGTGACACAAATTACGCCACCTCTACTCTCGATAATCCGTTCCCACCTTCACACTATATGTCAAAAATTGAACATGAATTGACAGTTTTGACAGGATATGGATATGTCTAGTCGACCTAAATTCGCTTGGCTACTCAACCATTCTAAGAAATTTTATTGCTTTTTAGGCGGAACAAGCGGATGCTATAGAATGTATTCAAAACTACATAAACGCAACGAAAATTCAAACGGAATTAGAGGATGCCAAAGCGACCGGGTCTATGGACGAAGTGTTTGCCGAATATTGTAAAAAATGGCCAGACATCCACGAGTGCTTCGACAACGCCACCAACATAGCCAGACAATGCTTGAACAAGCAAGAAGAGAGCGCTTTGAACAAGAGCCTGGATATTCTGGATGAATTGCAGGAATTCATGTGCTTTAAGGACGGAGATCGATTAGCAAGTACGATCCTGGTTTGTTAGTAGATTTATTTTACGCTTATTTTACGTTGTTTTTTTAGTGTTTATTTCCGAAAAAGGAGTGGAATGTCTGCAGGAGAGGCAAGACGGTCTGAAGGACTGTTTTAACCGGACCGTCGGATCGAGATTCCCGGACCCGGAAGATTTGTCGGTTACTACTTTGCCAGTGCTTTTATTTACGGAACAAGATTGCGAGTAAGTAAATCGAAAAAAAATCAATTAAGTTTCATTTTACACGCGCGCATTTTTAGGGATTTCGATACGTTAAGGCAGTGCGTAATTGAGGAATTGGAACATTGCAAAACCAGCACTCCTGCGAATATAATCGATGCTTTGTTCAAGTTCCTGAAGAAGCATTTGCCCTGCTCGGGTGCTGTTAAAACTGACAAATCGGTAAGTAAAGATTCTGGTATGTGGAGTTCGTCGGTCAGCTTTGTTTTATTAGTCGGATCGTTTTTATACATCAGGGTGTTTTAAATAACTATTTATTTTTACTGTTTTTACCATGGTACATTTTGGGTTAATTTTGTTAATTTGTACTTATGGTTTTCGAAAATTGTTGTATCTTTTCTTCGTTTTTTTCAAGTGTTTTAGCGTGGCAAAAAAATTATATATATTTGACGAATGTAAAAAACAGAACTTTTGCATTTGCGCTATATCAAATTAAAACATATATCTAATCCATTCAATGTAGAAATATGTGATATTTACTGTAAATTTTTTATTTTGAAAATAAATAAACGACCATTTTTTTATTCATTTTCACAAAATCGATTCAATCAAGCAATGAAATTCCCATAAATTTATTATTTCAATAATACATGTATAAATTGAAAAGCGGTTAAAATTCAACATCTTTTGGATTACAAATAAAACTTGACATATCTTAAATTACAATATAACGTAAATTTACCTAAACTGGTGCGTGCTAATCCTCAACCCGATCGTATCCTTTCCAACTTCCGCCACTTTGCAAATATTACACAACACCCCTTTATATTTAGGTAAATAGGAGGTACCGCACAGTGGACATTTCTCTTCGGCCTTGCCCCTGTAAATGGGCGTGTACGAGTGCCCGCACAAGTTGAAAGGATTGTGCTCGTCGTAGTGCAATTGGAAATCATCGGTCAGATTCGTATCGCACGCTTGCAATATCTTCCTAGCTTGCTGGGCCACCTCGGGTCTAGGACCGAGCTCTAAGAGCCTCTTGGCGAAGGAAGCGGCAGTTTTGTAGTTTTTGAGCTTGAAAAACATGTTGAGCGCCGTTCTAAGCGTCAGGATTTGATGTATCGGCTGCAAGAAAAACGAATTAATTCATTAAAAACGTAATAATGTTACCTTTGGATTAGTACCTGTAGTTTACAATGGGTAAAATACGCGGCCATCTCGCACTGGCGCTTCTGCTCTTCGGCCGATGTTTTCGGCAAGGTTTTCCTCAAAGTTTCCATTTGCAATCCGCAAATATACTCGCTGGCTATTCTCAGTAACTGCTGAGCCTCGGAAATTTCTTGTTTGTTATCGACCACGAGAAGCGTAACCGACAGCAGCAGAGTTTGTAGTTTCTCGATGGCTTCCGTGAATTTACCACCGGTGGTCAGTTGATAGCAAACCTGCAATAATAACTCAAGTGTTTACGAAAAAAAAAACGGTAAAATTGTATAACGTTACCTGCAATTTAGCGACTAAATCGTTTAATTTCACTCCCGAAGCGGGCAACTGGTTTTTAATATTCGCCTCTTTCCAATTCCTCAACGGGTAACTGAACGAAGGCGGCACGTTTTGCTGCCAAGAAGACACCGTCTTCGAAGTACTGTACAAATTCAAGAACAAACTTTCGTATGGCCTGAAATTCACCACTCCCAATTGATCGTGCAGCAACCGAGCGGCCGATTCGAACGAACCCGCCGCCACGTGATCGGCCACCAACTGCGAATTCTTCGTCCAAGTCACAAGCGCAGACGGCCCTAAAATATAAACCAATACAGTACGAGTTACGGTACACCCTGTATTATAAAAAAAAAAGATTCTCACCTTGGGTGGGCAAATGCACGAAATTACCCTCCGCCTCCACCGTCGCCGCTGGTCCGAGATCCGGTATTTCCAAACCTTCGTCCTCCACGTCCCAGCCGCCCTCGCCGTCGCCGCCTCCGGCGGCCGCGACCTCGGCCTTCTTCTCGTCGGGATCCAGCTCCAATTCGTCGTCGTCGCCCCAGCCCTGGGCGTCCTCCATTCCCACGTCGGAAACGGGCTCGGCCATGAGGGATTTCATGTTGGCGGAGGCGGTCGCCGCGGCGGCGGTGTTCTCGAAGAAACTCTATGAAAAGAACGATACATCAAATAAGAATGAATGTCTTATTTGTTCTGTGTATACGTACCCTGCTGACTGTGAGTAAAGGCCAATTGGACTCTGCTTGTTGGATGGGCGGAGGGGGTTTCAAGAACTTCGCGTCGGGATCGACGTCGGGCAGTTTCTTATCGTCGCCGATTTGTTCTTTGAGCTGTTCGGCCTCCTCACGCATGCCGTGCGTGGCGGCCGTCAAATACGCCAGGGATAATTGATTGGAGGCTTTGAGGAGTTTCACGCGCTCTTCGAGATCACCCAGCAGCAATGCGGCGTGGTACTGAGACGATCTGGCCTTTCGGATTTCCGCGATTTTCATCATTTTTCTCAGTTTCTCCAAATTGCCGGTGATCAAATAGAGGAACGATAGCTTTTCGAAGCTCTTCGTACGTTGGTAGCACATTTCTACGATTTGGTGGTTGCCTAAAAGTTGAATAAAAATACAAGTGAACTCACCAAAAAAATAAAAATTAACTACATACCTTGCCACAAGGCGGCTTGCGCCAATTGATCCCAACAATTTTTATCGTTTAGAGCTTTAGCGGCCTCTAATGCGATTTCGATGTTTCCGCATTCCAAAGCCAGAGCAAATCTAGTTTTATCATCTTTCACAAAATGCAAAGCTACTTCCGGATATCCTACAAACGAACAAAAATACTATTAAATTCCATAAATCTACACATTTACAGTCATTAAACAAACTAGTAGAAATAATTCGTCACCTTTTTGTTGCAAGTAGGATATAATACTTTGGCCTACCAATCGGGAGTTTCTGACCATGTACAAAACTTCCTCGTACTTGTGATTGATCAACGCGAGTTTAAATTTGTATTCGGTGGGATCGATTACTAATAAGCGAGGCTTACATTCCCTGTCCAAACAGAACACCTGGCTACCTCTTACTCTAGTTATGTAAATGGGAAGATCGAGCGTTCTAATAATTCCGTGATCACTAAAAAATAGAATTAAATATAACAAAGGATTTCTTATAAACGCTTCGTTAACTTACCCATTTTTCAATGTATATTTAATATGATTACTAGTAGTGTAAATAAACACTCCGCTGTCATCCCAAGCACCCGACTTAACTCTGGTATTCTCGTGTAACGAACATAAAACATCCAATTTTCTATTGCAAATCGTCACGTTATGCTTAGATAAAAGGGCCAGATGCGACATATCAGATGACCAAACGACGTATCTGCATTTGCTGATTTTAACTAAAAACGATACACCAAATAAACACCTACATTACGTCGACAAATCCGTCATTACCTTGAGCCAAAGTCCTCTTTTGCTGGACATCGAACAACGTAACGTGTTCGGAGTCTCTCAACAACAGCATGCCCGTGCCGGCGTAAAAAACTTCATCGCAAGTGGGCGTTTGGACTTTCTTGGTGACTTCGTTTTTCAGATTTTTAATGATCAACTGGTGCGTCCTGTCGAGTACGGCGAATCGATTTCTGGCCACCCACAAGGCGGTCAGTCCGGACGATCTCTTGCTTTCGGCTTCTGAAATATCGCAGTCGAGTTATTCAAAGAAATTTTAAACGAATCATCGATTCTCTTACCCGGCACGTGGTCTTCCCTTTCTTGATCCTTGGGAATCATGTACAAATCGTAAGTGCTGTTGTCGAGATTAGAAGTGCGAGTTGATAGTAAAACGGCGTTTTCGGCGGGGTTAAAGGACATTCTGTACACTGGAATTTTACCGCCGCCTCTGATTTGTATAACGGGGACGTCTTTAGACGTGGTAAAATCGAGTTTTCTCAGATATTTTTCTTTAACGTAATACAGTAAGTTACCGTGTACTGTATAAGCCGGTCGTTCTCGTTCCAATTTAAATATTACCTACAAAAAAAAAACTAATTAGATGTATATTCTTTTACAAACAACAATACTTACCATACCGCCATCGTGACCAGCGGCGAATAAATTAAGATTCGGATGGCTCGTCATGACCCAAAATCGTTCGTGTTCCCTTCTAAACGTGTGCAAGCAAGTCCTTTTCGCCATATCCCACACCCTTATGCTTCTATCTTCACCGTTAGATAGTATCAGCTCCTGTCTCGGATGGAACAACACGCAAGACACGTTGTTGTAATGCCCTCTGCAGGTATCCACTTCCCAAGCCTTCGAATCGTTCATCCTCCATAGTTTGATTTGCCTGTCATCGGCTCCGGAAGCTTGAAATAATACATAATGCAATCACCTATGTATACTGTAATCATCTACGTACCTATTAAAGGTAGGAACGGATGAAACGATGCCCAGTTCACTCCGCGATCGTGTCCTTCCAAAACGTGCTTCACGACAGCATCGGCTTGGCCGAATAGCTCGGTGGCTCCCGGATTTTTGAGGTGGTCTTCGAGGCCCGTGGGGCCGGGTGCCACGTTCTTCTTACGCAGGCCTGTTAACAAACGATTTAATAAATTTCCCTTCGTGCGGGTACAAAACACTCACCGGAAATATCCCAAACTCTAACGGTGGAATCCAAAGAAGCGGATAGTAGTAGATCCTCGCTCGGATGGAAAGTGGCGCACATCACGTAGTGATTGTGGCCTGTTAAAACGCAAATGCACGTTCTCGATTGCCAGTTCCATATCCTGATGGTCTGATCGTCGGATGCGGATACGATCCAGGGGTATTCGTGGTGGAACGTAGTCGTACGGATGTAATCCAAATGGCCGAGCAGGGTGAAAATGCAACGTTTCTGTTTGTAGTTCCATACTTTTATTTTGTAATCATCGCCACCTACGAATTGGCAATAGTAATAACAGTAACTGCTTAATTTGTGAGGGAATTACCTGAGACGAATAGGGGCTGTTGATTGTGGAAACATATGCCTCTTACAGGTCCATCGTGCTCGTCGAACTTTTCCAGAAGCGTGCACATTCGATAATCCCACAATTGGATGCACCCGTTGTGCAAACTGGCTAAAATCCATGGCCTTTTGGGATGGAAAGACAGTCCCTTTACCCTTGCCGATTTGGTTTCGAACTTGGTCAACATTTCGGCTGAATTATAATACGCACTTTATACAACAAATATTAATGTTGGAAACTTATTTTTAATGCATATCCTGTATTTTCAACAATATTTTCTCAAATATAAACTGTGTTGACGTGGATAACACACAAGTTAAAATTTGATTACAAAATGACAAGAGTGACAATTTTGACATAAAAATGACAGATTAACAAAATTACTGCTAGGTAATCTGTGTTGCATAACTTCCAGCTACTTGTCAATTAACGTATACGAGGTACGATCGAAAAGTATAATAAATCGACCAACTATTCTCCCAATTTAAAACTAAAATTTAATGAACTCCTGAATTTTTCATCAAGCCCCGCAATTACCCTATTACCGCAACGACCGCTCCAAATAAATTCACAGCATATTTTTAGAACGCCCCAAATGAATTATTAAAGAAGGCCTTTGCGTGTTCGATCAAACTCCGGTAAAATGTGAAGCGAAAGAGAACTAATAGTCAGCGAACGCCCGTCGAAAATGGCTGTACAAATGCACATGGAAACCGCCGAAGGCCTCAAAATACCTTCGCTGGGATTCGGCACCTGGCAAGTAAGCACCCCATCCACAACCAAAAACCCTCTTCTGTGGAGTAAGTTTTCCGCTTCCAGTGCACCGACGAAGACGAGCTGGAAGCGGCCCTGAACGCGGCCTTAGAGACCGGCTACCGGCACGTGGACACGGCGTACTTCTTCGGCAACGAGCACGTGGTGGGCAGGGTGATCAACGAGTGGATCGAATCCGAGAGGCTCGCCCGCGAGGACGTCTTCCTCTCCACCAAGCTGCCGATCTTCGGCTTCCACGAGGACCTCGTCGAGGAGTACATGCTCAAGTCGCTGGAGAACCTCGGCGTGGAGCGCGTCGACCTCTACTTCGCCCACTTTCCCCTGCACATGAACTACGATGAAGGCCTCGACGATCCCACGTTCATGGAAACCGACCACATGGCCGTGTGGAAGGCGAGTTTTGGAGATTTTTTTGAGCTTCCAGCACGTTGAATTTGTCTTTTATAGAAAATGGAGGAGCAAGTGGAGCAAGGTCGAGCTACTGCCATCGGTTTATCGAATTTCAATATGACCCAAACGGAGAGGATAGTGGAAGAGGCCGCAATCAAACCGGCCTGTCTGCAAGTGGAGAACCACATTTACCTGCAACAACGAGATTTGGTGCAATTCTGCCACGACAACGGCATTGTTGTCATCGGGTTCTCTCCTCTTGGTTCCCCGGACGTTAATTCCTTCTACGAGTCCATTGGTAGACCGTACGTAGCATACAAAATACTCTATATAGCGCTTAGAAAACATGAGCAATTAATGAAACAACGTTTCATGGTAGGACTCGAGACCTGCCGGACCTCTTCCAGGACCCGACGGTGCTGTCGCTGGCGGAGAAATACGGGAAAACGGCGGCGCAGATCCTGCTGAGGTTCCAGCTGCAGCGCGACGTGGCCGTGGTGGTGAAGAGCAAAACGCCGAGCAGGATTGAAGAGAACTTCGAAGTGTTCGATTTCTGCATCGGCGACGAGGACATGGAGGAGCTGAGAGCGCTGGACGTGGGCGAGGCCGCCAGGATCGTCGATTTTTCAGTGTTGTCCCAAAAGTAAATATTACCTACTAGTATTTTTATAGCTATTTTAATTTTTTTTGTAGATTACTGGAGCAACCCGAATGGCCTTGGCATACGTTCACCAAAGTTTCCGAATAAACGAAATGTCCACTTTAATTCTAATTAAAAATGTTATACGTTATTTAATGAGTCTATTACTAGTACTTTCCCATTTCTAAACTGGTCCCTACAAGAACTTATTTTCTAATATTAGCGATGAATAATTTATCAAAGCGAAAACGTAAGTATCTTTCGAAGGTTCAAGGGTGCGGGGGAAACACGCTAATACGCTAAATAAATAATACAAAATACATTGAACCGAGATAACCGTTATACAAAGAAAAAATTAATTGGGAATTCGCGACATTACATGTAATTAATCCACGCGCAACATCGTTTATTAAAGCCTAAGAAAACAAAATTGATAAAGAGAAACTATTACAAAATATCATAATAACTCGCGTTCGTCGAATCCGATCGTAAGACACAATTTTTTATGAATCACTTCACGGGCGAGCTCCAGAGGAACCCGTTAATCTTATTCACTTGAATTACGCCAGTCGACCAAGCGAGTACTCCTGCTTCGACAAGAAAAGCCACAATAACAAGTAAATATTTAACAAGATTATCTCGTTCTTGACCTTACTAACCTATCGCATTGATTTAAATTTAAACGTACTGCTACCCGGTTCAAAAAGCTGCAAGAAAAAACCGTAATTACAGAACCGGACTCCACTATTTCATTTCAACATAAACTTACATAACTAATAAAATTTAACAAGTAGCGCGTGTATTGTAACACGAACGTAAATTTGTAATAACGAACTGTAAAAAATCGAAAACGAGGGGGCGAATTGTACGCGTAATAATCGATTTTAATAGGGGAGTTAAAGCCGGCGCTGCATTTATTACGTTACCAAATGAAATTAGATTATTCAACTGCTCAACTGTACATGGTCAAGCTATAAAGTGACTCGCTTAATTGAATTAAAGCAGTCGATACACAAAGCGTCTAGAAACGGTACTCTTCGAATATATCTAGTAAAAAATGTCGAGATTGTATATCGGATTGTTGGTGGCATTCTGCTTTATGGGATACGCGGAAATGCATTCCTATCACCTAGGGACATGCCCCACCATAGAACCCATGCCGGACTTCAACATGAACAGGGTACGTGTTAAATTTTTTTACGCTGATATGCGAGGAAATATTTCCACAAGTCGTTATCGAACGCCCAGATTGTTTTCAATCAATAACAGAGCTCGCGATAAGGAATTAATTCGCGATTTAATACTCACAAGGTACTAGTTTTCGGAATTTATTTTCGCAGTTGCTGGGTATCTGGTACGTGATAGAGAAGACCAGCACCGCTAGTAGTTGCATCGTGTATAACATCAGCAGGACGGACGAGCCGGGTCAGTACCAAATCGAGGAGATCAGCCAGCATTTCCTGCTGGCGCTGACGCCTTTGAAGCACGGGTACCACTACAGGGGGACGCTGAAGGTGCAGGACAAGGCGGTGCCCGGCAGGATGTGGGTGAAGTTCCCTCTAAGTAAGAACAGCGATTGTTGGTACAAAATTTGGTAGTAACAGTACTGTTTTAGGCGTTGCCGGTTCGTCTAGTTTCACAGTGTTCATGACAGATTACGAAAATTACGCGGGGATTTTCACGTGCCAGAAATTAGCGTTCGCTCACAGGCAATCCGCCACGATTCTATCTAGAACCAGGAGCTTAGACGACATCTACATCAACAAGGTACGTTCGAATAAACCTCATAAAAACCTATCGTTATCTTGGGTCGATTCCAGATCCGCAATAAGCTCCAAAGCGCCGAAATCAGCCCGTTCGATCTCTCCATCATCAAGCAAACGGACTGCCCGAAGGACCCCAACGCGGGGTACAACATCAACATCAACGACGAGACGATATCGGCGCACGCCGCCGCCGATGTGATCAGGAAGGCGGGCGAGAAGATCGGCGACGGCGTCGAGTACGTGGCTGGTAAGGCGAAGGCGGTCTACAACAAGGTGTCCGATAGCGAAGGAGTCCCGAAGCCGGCCAAGCAAACCGCCGATCCCGATGCGGAGTGGTTGCCTTGAACGTAATTTTAATACTATTTTTATATAATGAGAAAGACTGTTAATGTTACCTTAGTAAGTGAAATAAAGGATTACTATAAATTATTGTTATATTGACGCGTTTTTACAATTAGTGTGTGAGTTTGGGTTGTAACTTAAATATGTTTTGGCCGGTTTTCGGCGCTCCTTTTTAACGCAAATCTATCGTAAAAGTGTTTTTAACGTAAACAATGTCCTTAGTTACTCCATAACAACAACGTAAAACTGTCAAAGTTAAAGAAAACTCTTTCAAGGATTAATTAGCATTAAAAAAGAGCCCTGAATAGTATCTATTTTAAACAAAACGAGAGTTCCTTTTGTTCGTCGGTTATTAATCGAGTGGGGAACACTCTGAACAAGTTTTAAATGCCTATTATAAAACATCCACGAAAAACAGTACGAGTTAATGTCTAAATTAGAACATATTAATCAAATTAACATCGAGTACAGTAGGTTTGTTCCAACGAAAATACGAAATTAATAATATCAATACCATTGTTGGAACATACCATTTATTAGAAAAAATGATTATAATATGCTGATTACATTTATACACGATTTTAATACTATAAATTCAACTATTGATTACACATCTTTAAAACTATAACTAATATGTACTTCATAGATAACGAGGAGGTTACAAAGAGGAAATATACTAATCCTTGTAACTATTTATTTTGTATTCACACAAATCAAAACCTTCAGCACTTTCGAATACCCTGAACGGTACAAACTTTAGTTATATTCGTGCATAAATTGTAATAACTGTAGTATTGAAATAATTGAAATAATTCACATTTAAACTTACGAAAATAAATTAAAACACGATAAATAATCTGATTTTTAAAACAACGTAACAATTATTGAAAGCATCAAGCCCAGTCCTCAGACTATTCTCATCCTAGTAGTACCCATCGAATATTAACAAAACTGACGCGCCTTCTTCAACCGTCATCAAGGACCTAAAACAAAAATCGCAATAAACACACAATAAAGTGTTTGAAACGAACACCACCTTCAGCGTACGATTTCTTCGTTCTGGTTCTCAAGACCCTTTTCAACTGCACCTCGTCCTCCTCGACACTCGCACGGGCCCGTTTTCTCGACGACCTCGTCCTATCAGCCTCCGAAACTTCGTTGCTCGTATCAGTCTCATCCTCTAATGTCTCATCGGGCGGCTTCTCACTACGATTTCTATCGGGACGCGGTCTCAGGGACCTCGGACGATTCCTCTCCGATGAGTTACTAGACTAAAAATATACGGGTAAAAGAGTTACTCGAAAATCTCGTTAAGTACACTCACCTTTTCCTGGTTTTCTGCGGGTAGTGAAGTTTTGTCCGGTTGAACACCCTTCGAATTCCTCGGTTTATTCGCGACCGGACCTAAATTCCTGTGCGGCACAACAGCGGATTTCAGTTTCAACGTGTTCTGGCTCTTCGTTATAGTCACGCCGTCGATTATTTTGAACTCGTGGAAATTCACGAAATCTTCGATCTACAAACGCGCTACAAATTGTATTACTGCAACACCGAATTCTCCGAACAACTCACATCGAAGTGATCGTCGCAACACCAGTACTTCCTGTAAATCGTGTACGGCAATCCCACGGCCTTCGCCCACGATTCGTGCGCGTCCGGCGGCACCCGAACGAAATTCCGCTTCGAGTTCTTCGAGGTGTTTTGGCACGACGGCACGAAGCAACGTTTCAACTTCTCGTTATCCTGCAACATGCAAGCCGCGTCCTTTTAATATACATGCTTTAGGTGTACTATGTATTAGGTACCTTTTTTTTGATTTGGGCCAGCATGAGCGTCTCGGGCGAGTTCTGTTTGGGGGTCCTTACGCACGTTTTGTAGCTCTTCTTCATGTGCATGTTGAGATTGTAGGGGCTGCCGAAGTCGTCCAGGCAGTGCTCGCAGAGGGACTCGTGGTTCTTCATGTGGTCCATGTGGTCGTCCACTCGGTGCACGTTGCCGCAAATGTAGCAAATGCAAGTGCTGGAATAAAGCTAATTTTATTCTTTATATTCTTCTTATTTAGATATTGTACTTACGCGTGGCTGCCGTCGAATAGGACTATTTTATCTCGAACGTACGGAGTGATTAGGTAATCGTGATCGTTCAAATAGTATCCGTCCGTTGTGAAGGTGGAGTGAATCAGCACGAAATCGCTTTTCGGCGGTCGTTGGATTTGGATGTTCTGATTCGGAGCGAAGTTTTTGACGGGTACGATTTTCACTTTTCGTTTGCCCTTTGCTACAACAAAAAATAACAGATTTTAGAATTGAGTGAGCGAGTAGGAGAAGGAACTATGCCACACAATATCCCATAGCATCCCACAGGCATATCCCTTTGTCTGTCAAAAATACTACTGAAATTCTGGCTGAAAAAGTTGATTTTGTGAACACCTACCCTTGCTAACCACAGATCTATTAGAAGTTTTCGTAGTTTTGTCTTTCAATTTATAATGGTTTCCGACTTTTACGAGCTGGAAAGGTAACCTCGTGATCGTTGGCTTGTTTACCGGTCTTTGGTCACTTTCTTTTATACTACAACTGGCTTCCGCTACATCATTCGTTTTCTTCGAATCCTAGGCACAATATTACATAAGTATTTAGTCTATAGAAATTGAATATAACACACATTTACTTCACTTATATCAACGTTGTTGATTTGCACAAACTCCGGGACGTCTACGTAATTATTCCCAACGTCATCGGATGATGCCAAAGGTTCGATGATATTCTGCAGGGAATCGTAATCGGTGTGGGATATGAGTAAGGGATCTTCAACGTTTTCGAACGGTACCTCCATATCCAAAGGCTCTTCTTTGACATCCACCATGGGTGTTAGAGTGTCGAAGGTAGGTGTTGGAAATTGAACATTATCGATTTTATCCTGCTACAATAAATTGCAATTAATAAGTTAATGCCGGTGAGTAAACAAAACGGTTATTACCTCTTCGATAGGTGGCGTTTGGTATACTAAAGGCGGGGGGATTTTAAAGCTGAAGTTCAAAATCTTCTCGGGTTCCTCTTTCATCATGGAGTTCAGGTGATTGAAGATGGACGGTCGGCCTGTGGATTTTTTCTTTTGGTTCGGAAGGATTTTCCTGTACCTCTTCTTCGGGCCGACGATGGCGAGGCTTTCGATGTCTCCTGCGGGTAGTAAAGGTGGGGAGGATAATTTCGAGGCAATTTTCAAAGGGGTATCGGCGTTCTTTAGTTCGGCGAATTTCTTCACAGAAATACTGCCAATCACTTTTGGAGGTTTTTTGTTTAGATCTGTTTTACTAGAATCGGGCGCACTTGTTTTGGTTTTGTTGGATTTTTGCTGGTTTTTAGATGGTTCGAAATCTTCATCGTTGATCGTGCATATATCGGTTATTGAGAAGAGGCTTTCGCCGCGCACTTTCGCATTGTTTCTCTCGATTTCTACTTGGTCTTTGTCCATCGGGGTGCCGTCCAGATAGAAATAATCGCCTTGGGCGTTTCTTAGCAGGCCTGTTTCCTCGCACACTGTCATCGTGGGCTCGTTAGAGGTTGAACTTTCCTCGATAGGAGTTTCAGTTTCTGGTTCAGAGAACGTAATCGAATCTCGTCTCTCGGGTACAACATCGTTTTCAGTCTCGCTAGATTCCTTCTTATGTGTAATGGATTTTTCCAAAATTTTGTTAATATTGGAATTAATTTGTTGTTGGGTTTTTTTAATTTTATCTTCTTTATTTACGGTTTTATTCTCAACAACTTGGGGTTTTGCGGATTTCTTTCTACGTGTTAGTAATTTGTCGATTGTGTAATTATCAGGTATCGGATAGGCCTTCTCATTTTTTATTAGGTATTTCCTACCCGAAGGATTTATGTAAAATCCGGATACGATATCGAAATGAAGGGTTTCCATTTTGTTAGTAGATTTATTTAATAGCAGAATTTCTTTGGAATCCAAGCCGAACTGTTTGCCCTTAGTTTCCTTTACTTCCTCTTTGTTTAGGGGCACCTCCAGTTTCTTGGGGGATTCCTAAAACTCATTGATTAATACAAATGTTTCGAACACTGGATGGTCTCTTACGTTTATTTTGTTCAACAATTTCGCGAGATTTTCGGGATTCGATTCATCCGAATTCACTTTGGTTTCTTCGGAGGAATTTTGTTGCGCCTTTTTGGAGCTCAAATAGTTTATGACGGCCCCCAAATCTATCACTTGAGCTGTACATCGTACGTTCTTCAAGTAATTTCCTATCATGGTTTCCGTTTCCAAGCATAACTTTCGAAATGTGTACGATACTCGTAGACACTCCCGGCAATTTTCGCATATTTCTGGACTATTAGACAGCCCCAAATACTGGAATAATACAAAATTATAAGGTATTACTCACAAAATGCAAAATAAATTGTCCGAAACAAGTTGACCTAAATAGTTTTCAAAAATCAAGTAGTGTTTTCGGTTTTGTTTTTAAACTTTCTTCGACAGTTGATGAAGAAAACTGTGTATTAGAAAACAAACAAATTGAATTTTTTTTAGCGAAAAGTTCAATGAAAAATCTCACCAATTCAGGTACAATGGATCTTAAAATATGAGAAATTTTTAGGCCTTCGCCGCATCCGCTATTTTCTTGCAACCTGTAAGATTTGTGGCGTATAATATTCAAGCAGGTCCTGCATATTGGGTATTCCCTGTACGTATCTGATTGCTTCTCAGTCTCCATTTTTTTACCACATAATGCACGAACACCCAGTTATTGTTTTTGGCTTCTATTTGTTGGAGTTGACAAGAAAGACAAACGACACATTCGTCGATATGCGCAGTTTTTTATTAAAGAAAAATGCGCAGGTTGTTTTTAAGTTGGCGAACTTGTAGCATCCAATCTGTCATTCTTGTCAATTCTATGTTGGCAGAACTGTATTACTGAATGACAAGAATGACAGACGACGTTTTGTTTTCGACGAATGGGCGACATCTAGGAAGCAGGTTGCAAAATAGAGTAAGTAGCTTGAGTTCTGGAATGTTTGATTGAGCTTTCACTTCCATCTTTGAAACATAGATAGCTATACTTGGCAACTTCCAATTGTTGCTCATGAGTTTTTTTAATAAAGGTTGTAAATGTGTGTTTCGGTATCATTTTATAGCATTAATTTGTTTCTATTTAAAATTTGTCTTCGGAAAGGGTAACAAACTTACGTTTGTGCCCTGTTGTAATAACAAAGCAAAATAAAAAACCTCTCACCACCACTACAATTAATATGTTATAATAACTTATGACTTAAGTTGGTTTAGTTTTAAAGTAATTTAGATTGTTGTAGAGCAAAAAGTTTTCCCCAAAAAAATTCTACATTAGTTCAATAAACAACCTCTAATCAGTCTCTAATCTGTAGATAATTTCTATGAAAAGAAAATATTTTTTTACTCTAACGGTGACTATGATTTACCTGCCGTGCCGTGCAGTTACTGTAAAATTGGCTGTATTTCACAAAGATCGAGATCAACAAAAAAACCGAAGTTTAACGGACATTAATGTCAACTGTCAACTATTTTAATGTTGATAAAATTTAAACTCAAACAAGAAAACATGGATGGCTTCAAAACCCCCTTAAAAAATAAGAAATTACTCAATTCCACAATACGAATTCCTCCATCACCACAAATGAAAAAAATAGGTTTTGGATCAGGTAAGTTTGATGCTATTTAAACAACACCGTAGTTCATTTTATCCTTTTTCATTTGAAGGTATAGCAGTTTACGAATTCGAACGGTCCCCGGGCAAGTCCCGTTCCCCTTGGGCCGTGAAAAAAATGATCAAAAGCCGCAGGGGCCAGGACTTCTCCAGCGAGATCAACGAGAGACTGCTCTCCGAAGCCGAAGTTCTGCGTAAACTAGACCATCCGAACATCATCGGTTTCAGGGCGTCCTTCAAGGATAAAAACGGACTGAGCGTTCTAGCAATGGAGGAGTGCACCAGCTCCTTGGGCGACTTGATAGAACGAAGGCTCGACGAGCTCGGTGAGACTCCATTTCCCGCCGAGACGATTCTGAAAGTCTCCATCGACACTGCTAAAGGGCTGTATTACTTGCACAACGAGGCGCTTTTATTACACTGCGATATCAAATCGTACAATATACTCGTTAAAGGGGATTTTGAGGTTTGTAAATTGTGCGATTTCGGGGTGTGTTTGCCTTTAACTGCGCTCGGTGAACTCGATTCGAGTAAAGTTGACGAAGAAATCGAATATGCAGGTATTTGATAATCATTATATTAATCGAGTAGTTGTGTATGTGTTGTTTATTTTAGGAACAAATTGCTGGTCTGCTCCTGAAGTTTTAAGCAGCCAACAAGAAATCACGACGAAGGCGGATATTTATTCGTTTGGATTAGTTATATGGGAAATGATTGCTTTGAATGTACCGAATGCTCCGTTTAATGACAGTGAAAGTTTTAACGATGATTTGGAAAATTCTATAGACGATATATTGGTGAATTCAAATAGGCAACGACCGGCTCTACCTGACGTCGATTTGGGTCCGGAATATAACATAATATTGGAAATATTCTTTTGCTGTACGATTTTCGAGAAAAACAAACGACCCACCGCCGCTGATTTAGTAGCCGTATTGAGTGAAATATCGGAAAAGAATTAAGTTGTGTATTTAAATAAGGTTTCCAATAATCTCGTGGATATAATTCCAATAATTCAACAACGTAGACGTAACACTAAACAACGAATCTTTATACCTTTGCCTCAAATCCACGTCCGAGAAATTCGGCAGCGTTTTGATGAAACTGTAAACGTTTTTGCCCGGGCTCTCGCTGAACACCGTCTGATTGCGACCCACCATCAAATAATCCTCGGCCAACACCGACAGATTCACCCCTCTGCGCAACAACAACCTGAAGCTCTCCTTCATGTCGTCGTTCAGCGAGTCCTTGTTGAAGTCCCCTATGAAACTGATGCCCACGTTGATTTTGTCGGCCAGGCAGTTTTTCGCCTCCCAGCCGCGTCCCACGTACACGTCCCCGTCGCCGCTCACGTAGAAATTCTCGCAGATGTTCGTCCAGCCGACGACGCTCATCTCGTAGCGCTGCAACGCCCGCATGATGCTCGAGCACTCGTCGAAGGCGGCGCAGGTCTTGGACTCGGTGTGATCGACGACCACCAGCCCCACGGGCAGCGGGTTGCGCTGGCTGGGGTTCACCCGGCGCCCGCCCCACTCGTTGTAGATGGTGTAGTTGCCCAGGCTCTGGTTGTGGACCGTTCGCACGGGGGACGCCAGCTCGTGGGGTTTCACCGAGAGGAACAACACTAGGCCGCAGGCGGAGAGCAGCGTCGATACGCACAGCCAGCCCAAGTTGTTTTTTCTCTTCGCGTACAAGTCTTTTAAACGGTGCGTGACGAGCGTTTTGAGATATTTTTTATCGGCTTGTTCTGAAACAAAAAATAGTTTGTGAAACTGCTGCTAGGCGGTTAGGAGCAGAGGGATTTTTGTAGCGAAAATATTTTGTTTCGCTCGTCGGGTTGTTATTGTTCTTTAAATAGTTGGGAAATGCGTATCGGGTATAGATTAGATAAGCAAATGAATTTGCTTATTGTAATTCAGTAGACGATTAATTTAATTCGCGAATTTGATCGAGTTGTCTCTTATCGGTTGTCGTGAGGGTTACACGAGATAAGTTTACAACTAACGCGTCATTAATACTTGACAAATATTCTCAATGGACGACGGTATACAGGTATAGATGCAAAATTGTTTGCAATATGGTCTGTGGGAGCAACAAACTAACAAACAAACAACTTCTATTCTTATTTAAAGGAAAAAGAAGGAGTGACATTGTGGAATCATTCCTCAACTGATTGAATTGATTATATTGCCAACAATTTTGTACTTATCTGTACATTCTTGCGTTCAAACATCTCAACGATTAAGACGCATTTATAATGAAGTAGATTAATTCAGTCGATTACTGTTCGTATAAAATTTTATTCACATAATGCGAGATTTAATTGTTTATCTTATCGATTAATAAATTTAAATATATTACAATTATTGTACAGTCCTAGTTGAGACATTTAAAGTCGAAAAATCTCAAATATTTTATAAAACATGCCTCAATCCTCTCTGTATTATACACACAAAACAATTTACATGTATCATAAATTTCCTAAAACGCGTAGAATCTTCATAATTCGCACTATCCGGAAATCCTACGAGTTCGTCGCACCCTTCGGTATACTGAATTGTCCATAACTGAAATGGTCCCAGTGCTTCACCGCGGCGTAGACGTTCCGTCCGGGACTTTGCACGTCCTCCGTCTGATTCTGGCACAGCACCGTGTAATTCCTCGACAAGTAGCCGCGCGTCGCGCCCAGCCGCACGATCCACTTGGTCGCCTCCTGCATGTAATCATAGAACTGATCGTAGAGGAAGTTGCCGTGTATGGCGACGTCGTAGCTGAACGGGCCGTCGGTGTTCGCGTAGCGGAAGCCGCGGCCGGCGTACACGTTGCCGTCGCCGCCCACCAGGAAGTTGTAGGCGATATCGGTGCCGGCGGCGAGGGCGCGCCGCTGCAGGTCCCTGGTCAGCCGGCGGCAGCGCGGCTCCGTGTCGCAGAACTCGCCGCCGGTGTGCTTGATGATCACGTACTGGACCTTGTCGTGGATGGTCCGCAGGTAGGGCCAGGCGACGCCGCCCCACTGCGGCTTGGCCAGCAGTTTGGGTCGGTGGACGGGCGGCGGCGGCGTGGGCGAGGGGGTGTCGTTGGCGCGGGGCGGTTGGGTGCGGTGGGCGCGCATGTGGAGGTCCTCGATGGTCACCTTGAGGACGCCGATGGTCAGGAGCGTCACGACGGCCATGGCGCCGATGCGTTTGGTGTAGTTTATCGTTACTTCGGGACGGGCGGAGAATGCTTCGCAATCTGGAAGGAAATCGGCCGTGTTACTTAGGCTGGGGTTGGTTGGGTGTCTTCGTTATGAGCACTCTGGGTGATGGATTTCTGTGGTAATCCTTATGATATAAAGTTTGTTAATTTTGGTTGTTCCGCTATTCGAAGGTATGTAAACATATCTAACGAATTATTGGAACTTATATTTCAATGTTAGTTGAAAAAGACTGGTGTAATAATTTATCACCAAATAAGTTAAGTATGTAATTAATTACCATGAATTTTTTTATCTATTGTACAAGTTTTTAATATTTTTACAATTCTAGTTTATACGTTTTACAAAAAATAAATATTTTAGTACATTAGTATTATGTATTGTTAACACTTTGGGCTACAACGCAAATAAAGTAGCTGGAAATAATTACAATTTTCAGTTAATTCCCACTCCAATCACTATGTTTGTATGAACACCTTGTATTTTGCAAGCCTAATTTTATGGGGACTAAAAATAAATGTGAATTAGTAATAGATTAATGGGTTTAAAATAGAAAAATAATTCAGCAATAAAGCGATAAATATGTATAATACAAGGTGATTCATATTTGTAAGACATTAGTAAATTATAATCGGAAATTGACACAATGTCGTTGCATTTCATTGTAGATCTCAGACTATTCCGTATTTATATCAATAACAAATTGATAACAGAAAAATGATAAACATCCGTCGGTATTACTGTATAAGATATTGTTATTATATTACACGATAATGTTTTTTAATTAGTGATCCTACTGTTAAACTACACGCATAGACGAAAACAACGAATTTGTGCAGTTAGAACAGATTGGGATAAACCCACAAGGTTTTTGTCGTTATAAAATCCATTAATTAAACTAACACACAGTTCGATGGTTATAAAAATTAACTTTAGTAAGCAAATTAGAATTTGTTGTAACATGCAATAAATAGGTCGAAGCGATTATTCAGAAGAATATAAAATATTATTATTCATCGACAAGCTCATCTACTGTTATTAGAATACAAAAACATTTAGCCATCATGCGGATAGAGTTAGTAAAAGCCTTTAGTATGTACAGCGTCAAGCCTCGCAAACTCGAAGAATCTTACCATCAGAGGAATACCCATGTAATTGGTACCATCGTAATGCGGCCACGTGACCACCTCTTTAACCACATTCTTCCCGGGACTCATCACGTTCGCCGTTTGATTGTGATTAATCACCCGGTAATCCTTCGTCAGCTTGTTGATCCTGACGCCGTACTGCAACAGAGCCCTGGTGGCGTTCGCCATCGCCGGCGTGAACTCGTCGGCGACGAAGTTCCCCATCATCACCACGTCGATGGCGTTGTCGAGCTCCTGCGGCCTCGCGTCCCACCCCCGGCCCTCGTAGACGTTGCCGTCGCCGCCGACGGCGAAGCTGCAGTAGATGTCCGGCAGGTTCCTGTTGAAGTCCTGGCTCTGCAGGTCCTGCATCTTCTTGGCGCAGCTGGCGAAGTCGCGGCAGGTGCCGCCGGCCGTGTGCTTGATGACGACGACGTCGACGGGGGTGGGCATGGGGACGGGCGAGGCGGCCGGCCGGCCGTTCCACACGGCCTTCGGGAAGAGGTTGATGCGGCCGAAGTCGCTCGGTATCGAGGTGTTGGCCGGCGCCGGGACGCCGGGGACGGGCGCGTGGGGTTGGTGCTTCAGCACCGTGAGGAGGAGGACGGTGAGGGTGGTCAGCAGGACGAATAGTACGCCTGCTATTGTTATGTAAAGCTTTACGGTGAAGCGTCTTCGGTTTAGGTAGTTTGTGTCTTCTTGTTTTTGGGGTTTGTCTGGTGGCGATTGAGCTATAACAACAGAAACCACTAGCAGCAGGAGTAACTCTACTACGAATCTACGTTTTATAGACTTTTTCTGTACAAATATGTATCTATTTTAGACTTCTTGACAAATAAATTTGCTAAAATTTTATGTTAGAAAATACAGTAACATATACCCAATCTCTACATAAACATTTCGGTTTTTTGTACACTCAAATCGCAGTGGAAACTCACGCCGGTTTATTAATAGAGAAACAATAACAAATAAATCACTTACGGGTTTTCTTCCTGAAGGAATTCCTGAATTCACCGGTCGTGTAGTCGTTGGGTTTTCCGTCGCAATTGCTATCGCTCTTGCGATGCCTCGAATTCACCCTAATCAGTTTCATGTTTCCGCGAAAACTCATTTTACCGTGCGTTTTCCGTTTTTCCCCACGTCTATCCACTTATATACTGACGTCAATCCAGTGTGCAAGCGAGAAGTGTGTGTGTATGTGTGTGGTGTTTTATGTTTTTAGTGAAGATTCCGTTACATAAACAATGGGCAAGGAAAAGCGGAATAAATTATTGATATTTGAGTGCTCGATATTTTATTTATAATCGAGTGGTGTACTGTATTTTTTCTACTACTCACTGTACTTTAAAAGTGCCAAAAATTGTAGCGCCTATCAATCAGTGTTGGCGTGCAAAGATAATTGATTTTGGAACGATAAATACATAATTTGGAGTGCAAAGAGTGCGTGGCATGATTTACATGAAAAAGTCATATTGTAAATTATTGATATAAGTAGCTTATTTTAAATTAAAATTATTTTCGAACGAATAGAAACATTTTTGTAATTATTTTTTATTTTTGTCGAGTAATCCACTCAGCTGATTAGTAAATAAATAATAAAGCTATAAATATTGTAAAATGAAAAAAATTGAATGACTGACGATTAATAATTAGTTATATTAATAAAAAAATGATCGATGAAAAATCAATTCTATGCTGATATATCTAATCAAATCGTTTTTTATCGGATTTCTCTTATTTGAATTGCGTTTAATAGGATATAAAAAGAGAGTCAAGATTTTGGAACATGATCCCGAGCTTACAAGTATAAAATTGCATGATGAAATTTCTACATTACTACATTTACATACCGCATATTTCAAAACCCATTCACACTCGAAAACCAGTTTGAGAAAATTAGTTAAAATTAATTGACTTATTAACAGCTTACTCAAATTTACTAATTTATCAGATTGTTATACAAGCCTCTTAACAACAGCAATTCAAATATCAACAAACGATTTAATTTTACCATATGTCTGATTCCAAAATATTTTACAATACTCCATTAAAACGCAGTAAAGAGCAGCAATGACAAGCTCTTTACTGACTAATTATTATGAGATAAAGAGTACAAATGGCAAGTAAATTTCCTTATTGTAAGGCGGGTTTTTAAACAGAATGTCATTGTTAAAGGAGGAGTAACTATAAATATTGACATGATATAGTAAAACCAAAAGTGCATATTTTACCCGCTGGGATAATAACTGCTAAATCCTACAGCTTAGGATTTAAAAGTCCTCTCTTATACTTCTGGGGCTACTATACATCTGGTATACACAACAAATACTACCTCGTAAATATGCAATAGATAGTAGCAGATAGATGTACCGAATAAATATGCAATGTAGTAGCTATAAGTAGCAGTAGAGTACCTTTGAGATCTGCAGGACAAGCGGCCTCGGCGGGTTCCTCCTCCAACTGAGGCCGCACTCCCACTGGCAGGCCGTCTTTGTTCTGGTAGATGGTCACGTTGCCGTTGACGTTGAACTGGGTGACGGGGCCGATGATAACATCGGTGGAGTTATCGATGTTGACGGCGGCGTTCTCCAAATTGACGAGCTCCCTGTTGGTGGCGGCCACGCTGAACTCGCTGATCTCCAGGCACTTGTTGGCGTAGCCGCCGCCTCCGCCGCCGCCTCCGCCGCCGCCGCCGTCGTCGTCCGAATGCACGGCCACATCGGAACTGGCCATCGGGCTGGCTAGTCGCCGCCGGGTCGCGTCGATGGCATAGTTTTGTCGCGGGTTCTCCGCAGAAATCGTGGTAGAAACGGTGATAGCGGTCGCGTAGCAAACGAGGCGTTACTGGAATCGGATTCGAGCGATTGCGGATTATTTAAAAAACGTACATTTAAACTAATATGTGCGCTCATCAACGGGACGGTAGAGGGGCGAGGATAAGATAATGGCAGCGATAATGAGCTCGTCGAATTCGGTCGTGTTTTTGAGCGAATTCGAAGCGATGCTAGTTGGATCGTTATTCGACGTTGGACCGCAAGAATTCGTCATAACATTGATTTCATTAAATGTATTTAAGACGGGGAAGTGTATAAAACACCAAGAAAGTATTCGGAAATCACATTACAAAAAAATATGCTAATTTCGAACCAATTTGGGTATTTCCATAAATTATCTTTTATTAATTTATACTTAAGATAGTTTATGTTATTTATAGATTACAAAGTTATCTTTTACTAAACCAATTCTAAGTAACTGACCCCCCTTTACCGCACGTTTAAAGGTTCCTCTTCAATACATAATCTCACAGCTTATCGAATTAATTTATTAAATAAATTTACTGGTATCTACACATTTAGAGTCTTTACAACGAGAACTAGGAATCGGTTGGGCTTATTCTTATTCCTTAAATTTGCCGTTGTAAAATGGAATATAATCGACTACGACTCGCCAGTCGGTCGCGTAGCATAAGGCAACACCAGCCGTGGCGCCGAAGAACATAGCAGAGCCGATCCTGAAAGAAAAAACCACATCAATTACATAATGGATTACGAAGAGAATATACTGAATACCAGTGGGAGGCGATTTCCATGTGCTTTTTTCCTACGGTCCTCAACGGGCCTGGCAGTGATAGTTTCGTGGCTGCGCCTCTGGCTGCTCCAATTCCCGACATTATTGGTTGAAATTAACGAAAACGTTCAAATTCTTTATTTTTCACCTAAAAATGTCGACAAATTACGTTGACAGTTATGACATGACAATTTTGACATTTCGATTTAATTGGTTATTCTAAATACAGGTCACGATAGCAACGTTGCCAAGTTCACCTCACAGTCTTGTTTTCTTTGTAAAATGATGCTGTAAAATCAAACATCTTCGATAGGCGACGACTCGTTATCGACAATCTGCGAAGGATTACCAGCCGATTCTAATTGAAGGATAATAAATTTTTCCAAAACAATTTGCGCTAAAAGATAGCACAGTTTTAATAATATGTAAGAAAAACAATCGGCATTCTTACCTAATATACTATTGTTATCTACTGCTATCGTAAGAGCATTTTCATCGTTTAAATTCACTACAGAAAAATCCGCTCCGTTTAACAGTAATTCTTGACAAGTATGAGGATGGTTTCCTTTCGCTGCATACATTAGAGACGAATTACACATCTAAAAAGCAAATTTTGTACAATGTAACAGTGGTTGCCTAACGAGTAGGAGTACAAAACTTACATGGTCCGTGTGATTAACATCCGCTCCGTGGGCTATTAGAAATCTAACGATATCGTGATGTCCGCCCGCTGCTGCTAGAATTAAAGGCGTCTCTTCCTCCGGTCCCAGCTCGTTGATGTCAGCCCCGTGCTCGACCAGCAATTGCACCGAGTTGATCTGACCGTAGAAGCAGGCCCAATGCAGAGGCGTCAAATTATTGGCGTCTTTGACGTTGACGTCGCGTTCCTTCAACACGTCGGCCTCCGTTAGCTCGCCTTGGCCCGCTTTCATGTGGAAATTCACCTCCGTGGACTGCGGTAGCGGGTTTTCGGCGAGCGTGTTCCCCCTTTGGAGATTTGTCAACACTGTATTGCAACTATACACTTTGTATGGGAGGAAAGCGCTCTTGCGGTTCCCGTCTTGTAAACCTGTTGGTAGCCACTTTTTGGGACCGCTGACAATGTTGGATAAATCCATGGAGCCTCTGTTGAGTGTCGGCAAAAAGGGCTTTATGTCCTTTTCTTCGTTGGACGAATCTTCTTGATAATTATCCATAATGCAATTCAAATTTAACGTTCAAGAAAACACAACGTCAAACACCTTCTTTGTTTACTTTTCTTTAAACTGTCAATGTCAGTAATGTCACTGTCAAAAAAATGTATGTAATGTGACGTAAGTGACGTAAAAAATCAAAGAGCAAAGTCTTTTGATTTGAATAGATAAAAATAATTAATTTGAATTTATATAAATGGGTGTTCAATTTCTTGATTATCATTATAATCGCTGCGATGGATCAAATAATAAAACTAAACAATCAGACCGCAGGAAGAGACAAAATAGCTAGGTAAAAATTAAATTGAAATAAAAATATCTTTAATAACTTGTTTGTGTTTAGGTTGTTACAATACCTCAGCAGGCTTTTATGGCACAACTTGGACAAAAATAAAAACGCCGTTTTAGGACTGAAAAATTTAGAATTCCAACTCAGCACGTTTAGAAAACGTAAGTATTTCGTACAATGCCCTGTAATAATTCAAAAGAATATTAATTGTAGTATTGAGATTTGGACGCTTTGCGGAGAGCATATATGCCACTTTGCCACTGTTCGAAGAGGATGCGGCAACGATAAGGTACACGGTGATACTGAGCAAAATCACGAATGCTCTGTTTCTTCTGGCCGATCACATTTTATGGTTGGGCAGGGCCGATTTGTGCACCATCGATACCGAAAGATGGGCGAATTTATCCAACAGATACTGGCTCTATTCCATTACTATGAACTTAGTCAGGGATTTTTACGAAATATCGCTGATCCTAAAAGCCAACAAGAGCTCTATTATGACTAAAACGTTTGAACCCAAGGATATCATTGATGTCACTTTGAAAAGCATCTCAGTGCTCAGCGTTCACCAGAAAGTATTAATAGATACGATTAAAAATGGTTGCGACTTTTTTATACCTTTGACTTCATTAGGGTTTACAAAACTGTCTCCAGGAATGGTAGGTTTGTTGGGGGCAATTTCTTCTATTGCGGGGTTATTAGTTCTATTAGATTCTTCGAAGAAGTTAACTCCTTCGTAATTATGACATTTTATATTTAGTTTTTTAAGAATAAGATTTCTGTACAGGCAGAAATCCACCAAAATACTTGTTATATTTAAATATTATTAAAGGTGTTGTGATATTTGTTAGAATTTAAATAAAACCTATTCTTTATAAAGACTTTTATTTCAGTTACAATTATCAAATTATCTTAAAACTTCCTGAAACTCTTCTTCGAACTGCTCCCTTTCGTCACTTTCAGTACATTGAATCTGACTGTCTTCGAAAGGGGTCTGCATTCGCCGATTGTAACCACATCACCGATTTCAACATCCCTATAATAAGATAAAATTTATTATAAACAGTTTAAATACAACACAAGAGTTACACTCACCTAAAGCAAGGTGAAAGATGAACAGACATATTGCGATGCCTCTTCTCGAATCTATTATATTTCCTGATGTAGTGCAAGTAATCTCTACGGATGACAATGGTGCGCTGCATCTTCATCTTCTGCACTACTCCGGTAAGGATTCGACCACGAATAGAAACGTTCCCGGTGAATGGGCATTTCTTGTCGATGTACGATCCTTCAATGGCCTATTTAAAACATAAATAAATCAACAACTGAATAGTAACGAGTAATATTAAATTGTATTAGAATAGCCCAATGTTAGTAGTTCCTTTGTATCCCAAAGCTAAGTGGATTAATAAGTGTTAAACCTAAATACATAAAGACATATACAGGAATATGGTTAGACAAGTAACCCGACAAGCATATACATCAGTGTTAGGAAGCTAGGCTCGAGGTGAGCTTAGCCCGTAGACCCTTACACCACAAGCAGATACCACCGAAGCTCCGACTAGCCGGAAAGTATAATTTAACAAACCTCACGAGGTGTTTTAAACCCTAGCCCAACGCTGCGAGAATGCCTGAGTTTTTTCTTGGCTCCGTCTTTGCGAGCGAGAAATACGGTCGCCTGCTTTTGGAAGGCCCTTTCGGTCTAGATGAAAACAAAAAAAAAACATTAGTAAAGAAAAATTGCGAGTACCTCTCTGGGAGTTTTGAATCCCAATCCGACTTCGCGGTGATAGCGCAACGATTTGCGACGTTTCGGGCCGATGCCCTTCTTTCTGTTCAAGAAAATCGTCGGTTGCCGTTGAAAAGCTCTTTCGTTCTGGAAAATGAAACGGTTATACAAACTAGAACCTAGAACCACCACGTGGTTGGTAAAATCGAACTTTTGCGATTTTCTGTAAAGCGAAAACTTTTCACGCGGCCAATGGTAACCTAAATAGCGATTAATCGATTGAAATTTGTATTTTTCGTGCTAGAAATTAACGAAAATTTAGTAAAATTGATAAAATACACACCTGATCCGCCATTTTTGCGAGTGGAAAAGGATTGTTAAATTTCGTGACAGTTGACTTGACAATGACAGTTGCGTTGACTTTTACAGAAACGACAGAAGCATTGTACAAATAACAACCTAATAAGAGACAAATTTTTTAGGTTAGGATTGTAAATTGTGGTTTTGTTTGTCAGTTTTTAATTTTGTGCAAAGTTAAATTTTATTGTTAATAATTTCTTTTTGTAGATGGGGTAATTATGAATAATATATGCCGAAATGTGCTAAATTCAAGAAACATAACCATTTTACTAAACCGTACCTTGACAACAAGTGTCTCGATTAATAGAACTCTTTCTAGTATTTCAAAGAAATCCCCAGTTGTGGTACAAAATAACTTCTTCGCTCATAGTACAAGATGTTACTCGGATTCCCCGCCGCCACAGGACAACAAACTGCCCAAATTGTTACCCGATTTCCCTATAGTCGTTTGGCCTTCCTTTTTTTACACCATTAAAAACTTCATTCTTTTCAATTTCATCATCAAGCCTTACTTAGACAGGGACTTTAACCTTCCAGACTTTGTCGGAGCTTCTAAAAAAGCTGTCGAGGTGAGTTCGTTTATTCACAACAAATGTACTCTTAAAGCATTTTATTTCAGGTGGTATCGAGGAGAGTAGCCGAAGGAGATGTAAAATCACTGGACGGTTTAGTTACAAATGATGTCATTTCCAACGTCCAGCAAGCTATATCAATGATGTCTCTATCGCAGAGAGAAGAAATTGCAATCGAATCTGACGATATATATTTTTCGTTCCCTTACCAGGTACATTATTTACTCGCTCACAAACTCTTAGCTACTCTTTTTTTAACTTTCAGGTAGGAATAATATTTAACGAAGAAGAAGGTAAGGAGCAGAAACGATTCGTGGAAATAACTATGGTGTATCACACGCTCAAAGGATTGTCCAGCATGAGATCCAGAGGCGAAGAGCCGCCGATGAGTTTGGGCATGATGCCTGAATACCAAAAACGTATATCGATTTGTAATTACAGATTTATAAGGGAATTTACAAAGGGCGTCAACGACGAGTGGACCGTTAACTTACTGAACCATTTCAAACCAGCCGACAACAATTGATAGTAAAATTTAATTTGGATTTAAAAGATTAAACGTTTTCATTTCATATTTGTAATTTGATCTAAAAATACAATCAAATACAATTGGTGGAAGTAAATGTCATTACTGTCATTTCCTTCGTAAAATGGTCTCTTTTCTATCAGCTATTCAGTTTTTTGATGGAGGAAAAGAAGTAGATAATGACATAAGAACTGTCATTACAGTTGAGTTGTCAAAAAAGGCTGCTTACAAGTTAAAAGTGGAAATAATAATTTTTTCACGCTTCGTACAGATAAAACGTTAGACGAAAACCGGTCAAAGAGTTGTGTAAAATGACTGAAAGTATTTTAGAGGAACTGGAGGAATTAAATGCGGATTTCAAACAACTTGAGGTATATTTTAACCTTATTAAACTGTTAAATAGATCAACATGTAGCAAGAGACAATTAAACAAATTGTATTTCCTTTTAGGTGGATAACAAATCGTATTTACAACAATTGACTGAACTCAGTACCGTTCAAAAGAAATGTTTGAGTCAAATATCTCATCAAAGGTATCGTCTTGGGATTATATCGAAATCATTAAAGGAGTAAGTGCCTTTACTTCTAAGCTTTTTTCATTCCTATATTTAAAACCAGTATAATTTATGCACATGTTTTAAAGTAGCCCACGAGCTGGGGTCAGGTTTTATCTCCAAATTTAGTTTTTTTAATCTTTTATTATATAATTTCTGTTTTCAATGTTATTTAAGCAATGTTATCTATATTTGTATTAATTGCTAATTAAGTTCTAAATGTTATTCATTTTGCGCTGTATTTATTGTTAATTAATATGTTTTTATAAATTAAAAATTAACATAAAGTTTGTCCCATGTTGGGAAGATTTTAACAATGAATAACTATGAATATACATTTTAGTTTGAGGAAGAAAGGCGCAGATCCTAATGTAATTGAAGATATAAAAAGTAATATAATGAAAAGGAAAGCCCATTTATATACCATTGAGCAAACATTACCAAAACCTAATGGGGTTTACTTAAAAATCATTTTGGGAAATGTTAATGTTTCTATTCTTGATAAAGAAGAAAAGTGAGTACTTTGGAAAAAAAATGTTTATTAGTCATGAGTAGTTACTCATTTCTTTCGTAAATATATCAATAAATTGCACTATTAAATTTAATAATGAGATTAAATTGCCATCGTTAATTTTTTTTATTGTTTAACCATGAACAATTACTGATTGGTAATTTAATATTATCAAGGTTAATAGTGCTAGTAATAGTATTTATTTTTTCCAGGTTTAAGTATAAAGATGAATATGAAAAGTTCAAACTTATTTTGAGTATTATAGGAATCGTAATGGCCGCATTAAACTTCATTATACGATTCAGGCCGCTAGAACTTAGCTATATTTTTTTGTTAGTGTGGTATTATTGCACGTTAACAATACGAGAAAGCATATTAAAGGTTTGTAGTGTATTATCGAAAAAAAAAATTGGTTCGTTAACTTTTAACTGTAATGGAGGTTGCATATTTTCTGGTAAAATAATTGAGTTTTTAATAAAGATTTATTTTTTAACAGGTAAATGGCTCTCGAATAAGAGGTTGGTGGAGGCTTCACCACTTTTTATCCACAGTGGCTGCTGGAATCTTGTTGATTTGGCCCGATAACGATACATGGTCTCTGTTTCGAAATCAATTCATGGTATTTAACATTTACATTAGTAAGTAGTCCCCCTATTTTCGATTTAACTAATTAATAACCACCATTATCTTATTAGGTTTAGTACAGTACCTGCAGTTTAGATACCAAATGGGCGTTCTGTATAGATTAAAGGCATTAGGCGAAAGGCACAACATGGATATCACGATCGAGGGTTTCCATTCGTGGATGTGGCGCGGTCTCAGCTTCTTGTTACCGTTTTTATTCATAGGGTACATCTTTCAATTTTACAACGCGTACACGTTGTGGACGTTGAGTTACAATTACACGACGACGTGGCACGTAAGTGGTTCTTTTTTGTTTGGGAAACGAGCGAAATTTATTCAGGAACATTTTTCAGGTACCGGTTCTCAGTTTGATGTTCTTTATATTGTTCGTCGGTAACACGTTGACTACCATATCTGTAATTCCATCGAAATTTAAAGAGAAGGTGAAGTTGAAATATCGATTAACGAGCGCTAGATTGAGTGCTCAGTTGTTAAATAGAGAGGTATGTATACAGATAACTGCAAAGTTGTACGCAATATGGTCTATAAGTGCAACAACTTCCGTTAGTTTTATATAATAGAAAAACAAAGAGTGATATTGTGGGATTGCAACTTTCATTGTTATTTTAATATTCTTTCTTTGTTCAACTCATACAATTGACCATATTGCAACTCATAATTAAATTACTTGCATCGTTTCATTTTTGGAATGGTTTTCTTTCAGACTGATGATACAGATAGTAACAAACAGGATTAATACAAAACGAAAATAGTAAAACAAATTAGACATTTATAAAATGTGATTACTTAGAACCTATTTTATATATCTATGTATGTATATTTATATTTTTTTGAGGTTGTTTTGAAATAGCCAGTTTTCGAATAAGATAAAAACCAAACGAATACATTTCTGTTAGTGTTAAGTTCATTTTCTTTTTGTAACGCATAAAGGATAAAATAAAAATACCAGTAATTAACAACAGCGAGTTTATAATTTTCAAAACATCCATCCAAATAACATCAATTCTACTAATATGTTTGTGGCAATGAACGAATAGAGTTTAGCATCATTCGGTACGCCCGATTTTAGAGTAAAGACTTTTTTAAATCTTACTTTCCCTGAACTACTAAACTTAACAGTACGCATCTCGTCGACTAGTTTACTGCGGTTTACGGAATGCTTTTCCCGCGTATTTGGCGCCGGTCCCCAATTCCTCTTCGATGCGGAGGATCTGATTGTACTTGGCCAAACGTTCCGACCTGCACGGCGCCCCGGTTTTGATCTGTCCCGTGGAAAGCCCCACGACCAGATCCGCGATGAACGTGTCCTCGGTCTCTCCGGACCGATGGGACACCATGGTGCCCCAACCGTTCGCCTTGGCCAGCAGATGGGCCTCGATCGATTCCGTCACCGTACCGATCTGGTTGACTTTCAACAACAGACAGTTGCAGGCCTTCTTCTCCACGGCCGTTTGGATGCGCTTGGGATTGGTCACGGTCAAATCGTCGCCGACGATTTGGATTTTGGTGTTGCCGGTGAGTTTGCTCCAAGCGGCCCAATCGTCCTGATCGAAGGGATCTTCGATGGAAACGATCGGATACTCTTTGATGAATTCCTGGTACAAGGCTTCCAATTCGTCGGACGATATCCATTTCGATTTGTCGCTGTCGGGGTTCTTGAAGTCCAAATCGTATTTACCTGGAAAAAAATCGATTCGTTAGTATCGATGCGTTCGAAATACCAATACAATTCACCTTCTTTGAAGAATTCCGAAGCGGCCACGTCCATGCCGATTTCGATTTTGCCGGTGTAGCCGGCGTTTTGGATGGCCACTTTGATCAGCTCGAGGCCCTCCTTGTTGTTGAGGATGTTCGGGGCGAAGCCCCCCTCGTCGCCGACGGCGGTCGCGTCCAATCCGAACTTGGCGTGGATGACCTTCTTCAGGTGATGGTACGTTTCCGAACCCATACGCATGGCTTCGGTGAACGTGGCAGCGCCCGTTGGGAGGATCATGAATTCCTTAAAAACGTAGTTAGATTTACAGTAATCGAGTAATGGCATCGTTTAGATGGGACCTACCTGCATGGCGAGTTTGTTGCCGGCGTGCGATCCGCCGTTGATAACGTTAAAAGCCGGTACCGGTAGTATGATGTCCTTGTTACCGGCCAAATCGGCGATATGTTTGTACAACGGCACGTTTTTCCTGGCGGCTCCGGCTTTGCAAATGGCCAACGAGACGCCGAGTATGGCGTTGGCGCCCAATTTGGACTTGTTCTCGGTGCCGTCGAGCTTGATCATGAACTCGTCGATTTCTTTTTGTTGGGTCACCTCGAAGCCGGCTTTGATCAGCTCGGGGGCGATGATGGTGTTGATGTTTTTGATGGCCTGGCTCACCCCTTTGCCGTGGTATTCCGTTTTGATGTTGTCGCGGAGCTCGAGGGCTTCGTAGATGCCTGCACCAAGCGAGTTAATGAGCCTGTTGGTTTTCGTACGGGCGATGGGTACTTACCGGTACTGGCACCTGACGGCACGGCGGCCCGGAAGAGCCCCAAATCGGTGGTGATGTCGACCTCTACAGTGGGATTGCCCCTGGAGTCGAAAATTTGGCGAGCCAAAACGGTTTTGATACCCATCGTTTCTGGAATGAAAATCGTGCGTTAGCCATCGAGTTGGAGTATTTATGTAAGGAATATGAACGAATCGTTACCGGGATCGTACATGTCCTGGTCGTAGATCAACGCGGTGCCTCTGCTTTCTTTAAATTTAGTGAAGTATTCCTGCGCGTACGATACTACGTCTTCGGGCTGTTCGAGCAAGTAGCTGCAAGTGAATTCGAGCAACATGGCTCGCAATTCGTCAGGGACTCTGATTCCTGCCCTTTCGCGTTCGCGTATTTCGTTCATTTTCGATTGTTTAATAACTTTTACTGTTCAATGTACTTAGAATTTGACTTAAGTGATTGCGATAAGCTTCACTTCTCCATAATCAAACGGGAAACTTGCTAATTTTGGTGAGAAGTGCCACTTGGTAATTTCTAGGATCTTAGGTTACGCCAAAATAAAGGGAAATTACTTTAATTTGTCAAAATAACGTTCCGAATGCCAGATTATATTATTAAAGGTATGTTTATAGTAAACTTGATGATGCAATTATAGTATAATAGGGCTTTAAATTCATAAGTTTTTATTAATTAAACTTATGAATCTTTAGAGCACCTTGAAATGATCATATCTCAGTTAGGATTCAAAATCATCATTCCTCTTGATATAAGTGAATTAGTTAAACACTTAACATGATAAATATTCCAAATATGATTTGTACAAACAAAAATAAGTTCATAGTTCAAATCGTACCTTTCCAAAAGTTGTGCATGTACATTTTAGGTTGATTGAGGGAAGAAATTGTATTGAAAGCATCGTATTGGATTTTCCGTTTAATACAGTTAAACATCCGAAAATATTGCTTGCATGAAACGTGCAGATTGGAATATATTTTTAATGATTTTCCTAAAGTGGGATTAATCATTTTATCCTCTTTGTGGATACATGTGGGTACGATTGCTTAGTTTGTAAAGGACCACCTTAAAAGGATTATAATTTGTTGAAGAAAAGCTAACATCGTGCAAAGTAAATTTATACCTGCCGAATATTCTTAATAGAATTTAAATATAATTTGTAATTTTTTACATAAAATATTAGCGATAACATATATGACATTTTTTCCTACCTACTACTAATCATTAAGTGATAATTTGTTATAAAATAAAACGAACTATTAAAAGCAGAAATAAATAGTCTATAAAATGATATCATTACATGGTAAATTTCAGGGATTACACAACTTTAATAGACCATTGTCCAGATCAGTACACTAAAATATAACTACAAAATTCTATGACATATTACTTATTAAAAATGAAGTGAAACAATATAATTAATTTAATAATTAATAAAATAAAAAAAAACTTACTATTCCAACTTCGATTCCAAAAAAATCAAACTATCCACACACCGGGGTGTTTCAAAATGTCAAATTTCATGCGATTGTCAATGTCACTAATGCCAAAAAATCACGTGAAGGTGAAGATAAGGTCGCAGTGGCTACTGTTTCGAATCCGGAATTATTTTTGGAATATTTCGCATAATCACACCGTAATTTACAACAATCACTATTTAAAAACATTCCAAAGAATATAACTAAAAAGTATTGACTCACTACAACTAGTTTCATTCGTTTAAACTCAAAAGAATTAATTACACGGAGTTGGTGTGAAGTTGGTAAAGCCATATAATTATGACATTTTTACATAACCTAAAAATCCTCAGCATAATAAATAAATTAACAAACCAAACCATAAAAAGTAAATAAATTTGAAGTAAATACATATTTATTTTTAACTAATATGTATCATCTATATTCTAGCATACAATTCGTTAAGTAATGCACTTACTGTCCTAAGATAAAATTAACGATACTTGTGAGTAAATAACCATGCACAGGAGTAGCAGTTTTCCATACAATGTCGACGAAAACTTTTACAATAACCCGGATTTAATTAGAAGATTGCCGGTTCACGATGATTATCTCCCACAACCCGAAGCGTACCTAGATTACTCCAATTATGGGATACCCGAAGAAGTAACGTACAAGAGATACATCGGATCGGGCGTCTCCTTCATAAGCCTGATAGCCGAAAATTTACTCAGCCATCCGTTCGTGGTGCTCCGAAGGCAATGCCAGGTGCACCAGAACGCTCAGAAATACCACCTTCAACCGTTTACCCTGATGCCCGTCGTGTGGCGCTTGTACCAACACCAAGGAGTAACCACTTTGTGGAAGGGAATCGGTTCGGTCTTGCTGGTCAGAGGGATGTCCCTAGGCGTCGACGATCTAATTTCCAAAGTCACCCCTTGGCCGAAGGAGATCAGCTGGCACAGCAGCCTCAAGCAATTTTTCCAGCACACCTTGCTCAAGTGCGTCAGTCTGGCTATAGTCACGCCATTTTACTCGGCTAGTTTCGTGGAAACCGTACAATCGGACATAGCTAGCGAGAAGCCCGGCATACTAGACGTCTTCAGGGAAGGCTTCATGAGGATGTTGCATTGGGGTTCCTCGTCTAACGGAAGAATGCTACCAATATGGGCTTTAATAGTACCTACGATAACCCTCGGTCTAGCCAAATACATGTTTTCGAGCATCGTAAGAAGTATCTCATTGAGAATTCTAACGAATAAATATATCGCGCATTTCGAAGAGAACGGCGCCTTGCCTAAGGATCCTTACAATTCGCCGGCTATGCAAGAGATCCAACTCACAGCATCCTTAATAGGAACTATTTCTAGCGACATCTTATTCTATCCTTTCGAAACTGTTATACACAGGATTCACCTACAAGGCACTCGAACCATCATCGACAACCTGGATACCGGTAAATCCGTGTTGCCTATTTTAACGAACTTCTCCGGAGCCCTGGATTGCTACGATAGCTCCATCGCCAACGAAGGCGTCAGCGGGTTGTATAAAGGCTTTGGGGCTCTACTATTGCAATACACAGCCCACATAGCCGTCCTGAAGATGTCCCATTGGTTCCTGACGCAGGTGGGGAACCTCGTGCAATCGCCCAAAGCGAAACCGGTCGCGCAACCACCGGTCAAGATTTCACCGCCGGCCATTTCCAACTTCTCCACGTCGCGGTCTTACCTGCTTCCCTGAAATTACAGTTACCACGAGAGGGTCGATCAAATTATTAGGGGTTCGAGTCGCCCTGAGTGATGTATTTTTTTTGGGTTTGATAAAAATTAATTGGATGATTTCGAGGGCGATTTTTTAGCTACATAGATGTGCATATAATATTAAACGGATGTTTTTTTATTAATAAGGTTATTAATTTATTTATTGTATGTATTCATACTTCTGTGTACATATAAAATGCTGAGTAAATGGATTAAAACGCGATTTAAATTAATTGAATTATTGTGTATTAAAATTCTTGTCGTCTAGCTGGAATTGTTATTTTATTTTGTTAACATTTTATTGCTATCTTCAATTTAACAAGTGTGTAAGTATTTACTTTTATTTATGCACCAGTCCTTACAAAAATTGTAAATAATTAACTGTAATTTGTTGTTAATAAAATATACAATTAAGATGTATAAAATCGTCTTGTTACTGTATTTCCTGTATAATTAAGGAAGAAAAAGGGCACCGACGCACAAACAGTCAGGCTAATCCATCTCACGACGGTAATAAATTAAGTGTAGGATGTAATTTCGAACTAAAATGTCAATGCACAAATCCTCCCAACGTTCGACTCAATCCGGCAAACAAATTTAATTGTTTTGCTCCTTTTTAATGGAACTTTCCACCAGCGGCTCGCCCGGACTGTTCTCCTTTCTTGTTAGAACATTATCGTTGCAACAAATTGAAAATTAATCCGAAAAATTCGAAAAAAACTGGTGTTCGGGAATTCCCCGGGTCGGGTGCATTTCTTTTTCTGTAACTTAGCTAAAAAATTAGATAAGGAAATGCGGTTTGAAGGAAGTAATTAGTGGTATATTAAAGAATATTTTGGGCACCTAATTTTCTGCCAAAATCTGCCATTAGTTTCATTGCTTTAAAATAAATAAACTACATTTTTATAAGCGAACAAATTACTTTATAATACTTAATGAACGCTAGTGTACGTTATACATTTTCTAAATTAAATATGTATGATGACGTTCCTCTCTAATCGAGCATTCAACACTCCACAATTCGCTCTAATTTTTATCCCTCTCATCCTCGTACATTCACAGTCCTGGGTCCTGCGTTTCGTAATCTACGCTCCTGAAATTAGACGAGCGGGAACTGGATACTCGATTCACGATTCACAATCCAGATGACAAAGCTGTTGATTGCATATCGTGCGAAGTCGTTTTTCTAGAGTAGCAAAGCTCGCGTGTAAACTAAGGGGGGGAAATGCATTTTGCGGTTTTAACATCTTCATTAGCGTTGTCCCTAATCGGTTCGGTTACCGCGGGAGATGAGGTCGTTATAAGGGTGTTTGGGGGCCCTTTGGTGGCCCAGTTGTTGGCCGAAGAGCACGGGCACGTTTACATAGGACCGGTGAGTGTATCTTAGTTTTAGAATAATTTTTTAAAGTTTGTAAAATTCCATGTAAATGAGGTTTACGTTTTTGTGTAACAAGTTTTCTCCAAAAGCGTCATTCGCGATAAAAACACCGATTTCGAGTGCTTCCATTAGAAGAGCAAACAAATGGAGTTAATTAAAAAGATAAAAGCTACTTTATAGCTATATTTTATTGTAGTTTTAATCAATTCATTATTGACAATTTTTGTATACCTACTTTCTAGATAACATTGTTTGCGCATTCGGCCACAAATACTGCTCTAATTAATACTAGAAATATTAAAAAATACCCAATTTTATAGGTACTAGGTTTCGAGAATACCTACCTATTGAAACTTTTGCCGGACATTCATGCAAACTACCGCAAACGAGGCCACTTCGCGCACAGGCTCAGGAGCGACCAAAGGGTAATTTCTAGGTTTTAATACCAGAATTTTCACATCACTACATACTTAAATTGAAGGTTTTATGGGCAGAAGAACAACAAGTAAAATCCCGTCAAAAACGCGACGACGTAAAACCAGAAGACATCGCCAAACCGCGAGTAAAACGAGTGAAAAAACGGCAAATTTTCACCGCTACAGATTCCACGTTCAACGACGAATTATGGAGCCAACAGTGGTACTTGGTCAGTAATTTCCACCACCACTTTAATCACGCCCAATAAACCATCCGTACATCTTCCAGAGAGACACCAGATCGCGACTGGACCTACCCAAACTCGACCTGAACGTCCTACCCGTCTACTACATGGGCATCACCGGCAAGGGCGTGAAGATATCCATCCTCGACGACGGCATCGAGTACACCCACGAAGACCTCAGCGACAACTACGTGAGTATATACCCATCCTTGCACCCGATCCTTGCACCATCTCGCGCCTTTAGGAACCCGAAATCAGCTGGGACTGCATCGGCGACGACGGCGACCCCTTCCCCGACGCCGCCTCCCTCAAATCCAACAACCACGGCACCAGGTGCGCCGGGGAAGTGGCCATGAGAGCCAACAACAAAAAATGCGGCGTGGGCATCGCCTTCGGGGCTAAAGTCGGCGGTACGTGAAGCCTCCTCTTGAACCTTTTAAACCCTAATTTTGAATAATTTCCAGCCGTCAGAATGCTGGATGGACCAGTGACCGATAGGATCGAAGGCACGGCTTTGAGCTACGCGCAGCATTTGGTGGACATCTACAGCGCTTCCTGGGGGCCCAACGACGACGGGAAGACGGTCGACGGGCCGGGGAGGCTCGCCAGAGAGGCCATCGAACGAGGAATCAGAAAGGTAGACATTTAACCGTCTCGTGGTAGACCTGTTAGCGAAGCTCCTGTTTAGGGCCGGAACGGTAAAGGCTCCATCTACGTGTGGGCTTCGGGCAACGGGGGCAACAACAGCGACAACTGCAACTGCGACGGCTACTTGGCCAGTCCTTACACGATATCCGTGGGCAGCGCCTCGCAGAAGGGCGAGTTTCCCTGGTACGGCGAGGCTTGCGCCTCCATATTGGCCGTCACCTATTCGTCGGGAGCCTACAGAGATCAAATGATCGTAAGTACCCAACGCCTCAACAACGGAAAACTATTTTCAGCTCTTCTCCATTTACCGATTCAGGCCACCACCGACGTGAACAACGCCTGCACCACCAAACACACCGGCACCTCCGCCTCGGCTCCTCTGGCTGCCGGTATTATAGCTTTAGCGTTGGAAACAAAGTAAGTACTATCCCCGATTCCACCTTCTAAACGCCGAGCACGAGTCGTTTTGCAGCGGCAATCTGACCTGGAGGGACGTGCAGCACCTGGTGGCGTGGACGGCGGAGCTGTCGCCGCTGGCGCGGGACGCCGGCTGGCAGCGGAACGCCGCCGGGTTCTGGTTCAACGAGCGCTTCGGGTTCGGGCTGATGAACGCCTTCGGGCTGGTGTCGGCGGCGAGCGGGTGGCGCGGCGTGCCCGAGAGGCGGACCTGCAGGACGGCGGCGCGGTGAGTCTCGCGATGGGGCCTTCGATCGGTCGATTTGATCGTGTGGGTATTGCAGCGCGGACGAGACGCTGGCGGCGCAACGGCCGGTGGTGGTTCGGTTTTCGAGCGACGGGTGCAGGGGATCGAAGGTGGAGGCGGTGAAGTACGTGGAGCACGTGGAAGTGGTGACTAATGTTAATTATACCGTCAGAGGGGCTTTGAGGATGCGGTTGATTTCGCCGTCAGGTGATTTGGTTTGATATACAGGTTGCTCCATTTTTGATCGCAACATAGGTTATATAGGCCATGGGTGTGATAAAGACAACTTCCATTAGACACTTATAAAGGAAAAGGAAAGAATGACATTTATGTCATTGCAACTTTTCAATCTGACAACTGTTATTTTATTAATCTTTCTTTGTTCCACTCATAGAAATGACCATGTTGCAATCGGAAATGGAGCAAACGATATAAAATTGTTTAGTGTAGAGTATTTTTTTCAGGAACTTCTGTTAATTTGTTGTCTCCGAGGCAATTCGATGAGAGTGAAAACGGTTTCCAAAATTGGACTTTCATGTCGGTGAAAACTTGGGGAGAAATAGCCGAAGGAGTTTGGACTTTAATTATATCAGATGAAGTAATTACTCGTTATTCATCGATGTTTAAGTACTAATATGTTTATTCCAGACGCATTCGGAGACTAATATCGGTAGCGTTGGAGATGCCGTGTTGATCCTTCACGGTACCAAAACGCTTCCTGTTCATATGGAAAACGGACCGAGAAATTACAATGAAAATTACAATAGGATACACGCCCGCGTTCACCACTTTGAAGATTACAACGACATCGATTTGTTAAGGAAAATACGATTTTCCGAGGAGTATCTGGATTATCTATGAACAATGGTTTGAATAAAAATGTACTAGTAAATGTAGGAGGATTGTAATAAGATAAGTAGTCAACATTCATTTCTTTGTAGGTACAGTGGTATTGATAGTAAGTATTCCTGTAAATAAAAGTTCCTGTTCGCTGTTTGATATATTTATAATGTTTATTATTGAGTTCGTGTTGTTGAAATTTAAGCCATCGGAACGATTTTTAGCGTATAAGCCCATCGGCTCTTCACGATAGCCATATCTGGAAATTTGATTTTAACGCTTTTATCGGTCAACGACCACTAAAACAGAAATAAATACAATATTAAACGTTGCCTCGAGAAAACCTTGCATCCTTACCGAAAGCGGTCCATCGCTCTCATTACCCAGCATATAAACAGCAGTATGGGGATTCTTCTCGAACAGGTCCCTCGCCGAAGCCAATTCCATAAAACCATCAGACCCGTCCCACGTCCAGTGCAAGGAAATCGCGTAAACAGTCGTGTCCTTCTTGGTGTACCACACTCCATAAGTCATAGTATCGTTTTGCGCCGTCCACGGCCTCGAGCCGTATATCGCCTCCCCGTTTATGGCCAGCCATTCGCCCACTTCAGCCAGACGCTCCTGGAAAATAGGCGCTATGGTGCCCTCCTTGGTCGGGCCGACGTTCATGAGCAAGTTACCGCCGCAACTGACGGTCGACACCAGCTGGGTGAGCAGCTCGATGGCGGAACAGTAGTCGGCGATGTTGGCGTTCCTGCGGAACCCCCAGGAGGCCTTGTCGATGGTCATGGCGTTCTCCCACTTGTGCGGCTGCAGCGTGCCGGGATTGTACCGATCGGAGCAGGTGTAAATGTCGCCGTGCTGGCAGTTGGTGCCCTTGCCCCATCTATCGTTCACCACGACGTAGTCTTTGACCGGGCTGTCGTTGTAGAGCCAAGCGAGGAATTCGGTGGACTTCCAGTAGGTGTCCGGGGCCTCCCAGTCGCCGTCCGACCATACGATGGACGGGTGGTAGGCTTCCACCAGCTCCTTCATCTCCGGCAGGATTTTGTTGTCGACGAATTCCCGCGACTTCCACTGCGAGGCCTTGTCGGAGGCGTAGATGGGGTTGTACCATTCGTAGAGCGAGTGGTACACGCCGAAGGTGAGGTTCTTCGCTCGCACCGCCGTCGCCAAATCGCCTACGAAACGCGATAATAGCAACTTAAATTTCGCTTTGGAAATATTCACTTACCCAGAACATTTCTTCCTGGACCGACATCGACGGCGTTCCAGCTGTAGGAGTACTTCGATGGCCACAGAGTGTACCCTTCGTGATGCTTGCTGGTCAGTACAACATACCTGTATAGACAGAACGAACGATATAAGAACAAGGCGCTCAGCAAGAGAGGACTTGGACGGCTTACTTCGCTCCGGATTTGGCGAATATATCAGCCCATTGGTTCGGGTCGTAGAACTCCGCCGAGAACTCCTTGGCGAAATCCTGGTAGGTGAATCTATCGGGGTAGTTGGTCTTCATGAAGTCCACGAAGGGCTTGTTGTTACCTGCAAACGCGGACGTGACAAATTTGCTGGAATGTGAGGAATTACCGTTACCTTTCCATTCGTTCCAGAACCATTCGGTGCCGAAACTGGGCACCGAGAACACGCCCCAGTGGATGAAGATGCCGAATTTGGCGTCGTCGTACCAGCGGGGCAGCGGTCTCTTGTCCAAGCTGTCCCATGTCGGGTCGTACGCGGCCTGGATGAGCTGGATAAGGGCGCAGAACAGGATAACTGTCAGATTCGACGCGTTCATTGTTGGCCGTGCTCTCGTTCGGGTGTGGATGTTCGAATTTATCTGGTGGACTTTTCGAGTTCGCTTCGAGTGCGAGATAAGCTACTCGAGGAATTAATTTCGTGGCACAATTGCCCGATAGATGACGAGGTTTATTTTAATAGAACACCAGTAACTAGGGCGGAGAGTGTTTTTCGTGTTTCGAAATTTACATGTTTGTCGTTTACATATCTTGTTTACTTATCTTCAGCTATCGAAACCGATCTATTTTTTCGAAATGTACAGGGTGTCGCAAAAAAGTTGAGACATATGGCTTAACTATAGATTTCTGAGAAGAGTGTTAAGGTACAAGGTACCTTGTTACAAGGTACAAAGTTAAAAACCAAGAGATTATTTGATAATAGACTATAGAATGTCTTAATTCTTTTTCACGAAATTTTGCAGAGATTATCTTTGTAATTATTACTTTAACATCTTCTGTAGCTTATTTAACTGTAACTCTTTGTAATGCCTATATGCCTACGATTTATAATGCTCTTTATAATGCTTTTTTTTAGACACTCTGTATAGAATATATTTTTTTTACTTTTTGTCAAGCTTTGTGTTAATTAGTCCAGTAATTAGTAACTTTTTTATTACATCCAAACCCAATTTAGTGCGTATATAATCAGCACTTCTAATGTTTTATTTATTTTCATATTTTATTTTAGTTTGGTTCATAAAAATTTTGTACTTTGGCACACTTTGTTGAATTTGTGTTACATTTTATTCAAATAAACACCTCTCTAAGATACTCATATCTGATTTACAGCGATTTAACACTTGTAATAACATTATCTAAGCATCGATTTCGTTCGATTGGTTTGTTGTTAGAAATTTATTACAATAACAGATATGAATTAAATAATCTCCACGGGATAATCGAACTGAAGAGAGTAAGTACGAGTACGAAGTACTCAAGCGAGTGACGTTAAGAATTTGTATAAATTCTTGTATAATTCTGATACGATTGTAATTTACTCCTCCATAGTATTACAACGATTTACCGGTAATTTTGGATATATTTCGACGCAATTTGAAAAGCGTGTTCGAATTATCTTTTTATAGGTACTCCTTCCGTATTTTTAGCGCTCTAATTTTGACCCGCGGCGTCGCCACAAACAATTTACACGGCACAATAAAAATCTTGGGACGTCATCCGAAAGGCAAACAAAAATCCATCCGAGATTCGAAATTCGAAATTTTCTCTCGAATCTCGAATAATTTGCGTATTAGAACCCGGCACGCGGTTGCTACGATATCGAGCTGCGAATAAATTTATTGTAAAAATCTCATTTATAAATAACCGGTGACCTTTAACACAGTTCACATGTTTGGAAAAACGTGCTTCACACCGATTAATAATGGATAATTCGCGGATAATTTCGGACAGTCTTACATTCTATTCTTGTAGAGTACCTAAAGTGTAAGTACCTGTGTATTTTATTTTCTCGAAAGTTTACTCACTACTCTCAATATTTCTCAATAATGTTACTATTGATCTTCACTGTTTTTTGAGTAAATTTAATTAAGGCGACAAACTGTATACATAAAAATAATTTAATTGGATATAAATTATGATAAATGTCGCCTAATCAAACAAACTGCTGGCATTTTTATGCTGTTACATAAAAGGCAATTTTCGAAAAATTATTTAATTGTGCCTCCGTCGCGACATCAGGTTTTCCTTGAATTTATTTGTTTTTCGAATACTCTCCTTCCCCGATATACCTACTACAGGTAAACAACTACACAATCGCAACGATCTTACTATTACATATTCTATTTCGCGATTTCAGTTCCAGATAAAACAAATCGGAGCATAAATAAATTTCTGATAGTTGACGAACCGCCTTATCGCCCAACCGACGCCCGAAATAAACCGAAAATTGCGATAATTTCGTTTCCAGGGAACCGTACATCTCCACTTAGACGATTTCAACAGACAATTTAAAGGCTATCTTTATATTTGCTAATGAGACATCGACCTGAAGCATCGCCCCAAAAATGGATTACTCGTACATCGTTGTGCTCACCAGTAAGTACTTTTACCTTACATTAAAATATAATTTATAACACCGACTTCACTTCTCCAACACCGCTATTTTCCAGCCAACATCATAGCTTTCACCGCGGGCACGGTGCTCACTTGGTCCTCTCCAATTCTGGACCGGCTGGCTGACAACACCACGACCCCCTTCGACCACCCGATTACCCTGGAAGAAAAATCCTGGATCTCCTCGTTCTTCCCCTTGGGCGCCATCTTCGGGCCGTTCCTCTTCGGGTATCTGGCGGACGCGATCGGCAGAAAGAAGACTTTGCTGTGCAGCGCCGCGCCCTTCATCGTCTGCTACTACATGCTGGCCTTCGGCAGGACCGTGTGGGTCTATTACCTGGCCAGGTTCCTGCTGGGGGCGGCCCTCGGCGGGGTGTACACCGTAATACCGATGTACGTGGGGGAAATCGCCGACGACAGGAACCGAGGCACGCTGGGGTCGATGATGAACGTGTACCTGTGCTTCGGGATATTCTTCTCGTACTGCGTGGGGCCTTATATGAGTCTGGTGGGTTTTAACGTTCTCCTGGGGAGCGTTCCGGTGGTGTTCCTGGTGCTATTTTTCCTCCTAGCACCGGAGAGTCCGCATTACTACTTGAGTAAGAACTCCATAGGGGACGCGAAGAGCAGCCTGCAAAAGGTGAGAGGGCTCCGAGCGGACGTCAACGATGAATTAGAGATAATAATGAAGAAAATCGTAGAGGACGGCAGGGGCAGCGCGATGGACATATTCCGATCGAGGGGATTGCTCAAAGCGCTGTCGATCACGGTCGGTTTGGGCGTGTTCCAGCAATTCTCCGGCGTCAACGCCGTGTTCTTCTACGCCCAGCAGATCTTCGAGGCGTCGGGCAGCTCGCTGCGGCCCGAGATCTGTTCGATCGTCATCGGCAGCGTGCAGTTCAGCACCAGCTTCCTGACGCCGGTGCTGGTCGACAGGTGGGGCAGGAAGCTGCTGTTGCTGGTGTCCGCCGTGGGCATGGCCGCGTCCGAGGCGATCCTGGGCACGTACTGCTACCTCAAAGACTCGCATTACGAGGTGGGCTCCGCGTCGTTTCTGCCCGTCCTGTGCCTGATGGCGTACATTTTTACGTACAACATGGGGTACGGGCCGCTGCCTTGGGTGATCATGGGGGAGGTGTTTCCTCCTAAGGTTAAGTCGGTGGCCTCTTCTATTACGGCTGGGGTTTGCTGGCTGGCTGGGTTCCTCACGGCGAGGTACTTCGAGCCGGTGGCGCTGGCGATCGGAATGGGGCAGTCGTTTTGGATATTCTCGGCCTTTTGCGTGTGTGCTGTACCGTTCGGAATGTTTTTCGTAGTAGAAACAAAGGGGAAAAGTTTCGTGGAAATACAGAAGGCTTTGGGTTGTTGACGATATATTTTTTTTAATGAGATGTTTAATAAAAATTTTTAGTTTGTTAAAGTGGATTTCTTTTTGTATCAACACTGTAACATGAAGGTATTTACACGAAAATTAAATTTGGTATAAATTAATGAGTAGCCGAGTACTTACGGTAAATTAGATTGGTATCTTCTCGAGTGGTTTTTACTGTTATATACCATTGATTCCTTATCGCACTTTATCATATACGTTTCAAATAATAGGTATCTAAAATATTTCCATTCAAACTTAATATATTTGTTTATTTCTAGTGCAGTTATTAAAAAAAAAACGTTTAATAACAACAACAACAAATTCTCGTTTTATAATTGTTTTGGTCTAACCAGATGCCGGTTCGATTAATTGCAACTCGACATTTCCAACCCTCGAGAGACACATTAAATGATCGTCATACGAATTATCTACGAGCGTCATGTCGCCGAAATTGTGCCAGTTGAAATACGCAAAAAGTACCGAGATTTCACTAGATAAATGCTGTCAATAAAATCACAGAAGAGGCATCATCCACTCGAACGGTTCGATAAGATATTTAACTAATGTAAGTGTGCGAAAAAATCCTTAGTTTTCATTTCGCTTGGATGCAATGAGGGATTAGAAACCGGATCGTTTTTCTAAAAGTTTTCTTGAAAATTCAAACATTCGCCATGAGTTATGTGATCATTAATTCCTGTATCGGTAGGTGCAATTTTTATTCTGAACTTGTAAATATTTTTTAATTGAAGTACTGTTATTTAAAATCGATCTTATAAATGAAGTGAAGATTTACAAAAATTTTTATTCCTTCAAAATTGTAATTTTCCTGTTGTATGCATTTATTTTCCTTTAAATAATCACGCTTTTAATTAATGCTTTTATCAGTGAATATCTTATTAATATCAGAAACGCATTAGATATCTACTAACAATATCCTCTCGTCATTTGCAGGAAATCTTCTCAGTTTCTCGGTGGGTACGGCCTTAACGTGGGCTTCGCCTGAAATAGACAAGCTCAATTCCACAGTGGGAATCACCAGCGACGAGGGCACATGGGTGACATCTTCCCTCCACCTCGGAGCCGTTTTCGGCCCCTTCCTCTTCGGCTACCTAGCCGACAGCATCGGCAGGAAGCTCACTTTGATCGGCATCGGAATCCCCGTCGCCATATCCTACCTTCTAATGGCCTTCATAAAGAACGTATACGCCTTCTACTTCTCCAGATTCATCACCGGATTGGGCACCGGCGGTTTGTTCACCGTGATGCCTATGTACATCGGCGAAATAGCCGATAGTTCAAACAGAGGCTTAATGGGCGGCTTGTTGAACCTCTTCCTCTGCTTGGGGATGCTCTTCACCTACTGCTTGGGCCCCTACATAAGCCTGCTAGCTTTCAATCTGATCTGCGCCGTTTTCCCCATAACTTTCTTGGTCGGTTTCTACGTGTACGCGGTGGAAACCCCGACGCATCTGCTGAAAAAGAGGCAGCCGATCAAAGCTCGAGGCAGCTTAGAAAGGATCAGAGGCACCACCCACGTCAGCGAAGAGCTATCGGCGATTGAAAAGGCGCTCGAAGCCGAAGGCAAAGCCAGCCTGGCGGATCTCATCACGATACCGGGCAACCGCAAAGCCTTCATCATAGGCTTGGGTTTGATCGCCTTCCAACAGCTCTCCGGCATCAACGCCGTGCTCTCGTTCGCCGGCAGCATATTCAAAAACGCCGGCTCCTCCTTGGATCCCAACGTGTGCTCCATCATCATCGGCGTCGTCCAGCTCGTATCGAGCTTCCTGTCGTCGGTGCTGATCGACCGGCTCGGCAGGAAGATCCTGCTGATCGCCTCCGGCGTGGGAATGGTGCTGTCCGAGGCGCCGCTGGGCGTCTACAGCTACGTGAACGACACCCTGCACAAGGACCTCTCCGGCGTGGCGTTCCTGCCGATCGTGCTGCTCATCGTCTACATGCTGACGTACAACGTGGGCAGCGGGCCCCTGCCGTGGACCATCATGGGCGAGCTCTACCCGTCGAACGTCAAGTCGCTGGGGTCGACGCTGACGTCGGTGGTGTGCTGGCTGATGGGGTTCCTGATCGTGAAGTACTTTAACGCCGTGCAGGAGAGCATCGGGCTGGCCTGGTGCTTTTGGATCTTCTCGTTTTGCTGCGCCGGTTCGATATTCTTCACCGTGTTTTACGTTATAGAGACGAAGGGGAAGTCGCTGGAGCAGATCCAGGACGAATTGAAGAGATGAGATGTGAGGCTATACAGGTTGCTCTGTTTTTGATCGCAACATAGGTTATATAGGCCATGGGTGCGATAAAGACAACTTCCATTAGACATTTATAAAGGAAAAGGCAAGAGTGACATTTGTGTCACAACTGTCATTTTAAATATTGTTGCTCTGTTCCACTCATAAAAATGACCATGTTGCAATCGGAAGTGGAGCACAGTGTATAGGGATAGACAATATTATTTTTTTATTTATTAGTGTACGCGATTGTTTTTTTATTCAAAACTTGTTATACCTAAATATATATTTATTTGTAATTTATCTACTAACATTAATCCTTGGTATTCCTGTATTTCATAAAGTGTATAAAAAATTATTAATTATTAACACGATTTTTTTAGTAGGCTAGTTGCTGTCATGCAAACGTCAAATGTCATGCAACGTACATATAACGTTGTATGTTTGAGTGAAAATGCGGTGTAAAATTAACCGAGAGATATACGACGTACAATAGAGATATTTTTCGTTATTTAAAGAGAAATTACAGGTAAAAAATTTCCATTCGACGAAACAATAGCACGAAGGTCTTCGAAAGTACGTAAATTTTATGTGGCTACGTAAATGTTATGTGCAAATAAGGTTATTGAAATTTCAAGCTTACCTGTAGATAATTTTTATTTGATTAATTGATAAGACATATTGAATGTTTTAAAATGTATTTATTGAAGAATTACAAATAAATGTTTATTACCTTTGCAGAACGCAATATATTTGCTATACTGGATGAATTGTTAAGAATATTAATTTGATAAAAAATCTCTAGTTTATTATTAAAATTATAATTTTTAGCAGATATAAAGAGCATAGTAAATATCACCTATCCTTGTTTCTCGCATATATTATGCAATAAGCTATATTATTCTTTCCATATACGCTATTAGTAGAATTTTTATTAGTATGCTGTGACTGTCATTTAAATGTCAAATAAGAAATTTTAAATAAAATGTCAAAACTGTCAAACTAAAATTTTAAATAAACTGTAATCGTGTGTATCTTGCTGATCAATTAAAAGAGGAAATTTTACTGAAATAAATACTTAATGAATCATTAAAAACACATGTACAATTAATGAACGAGATATGGGAAGTACGTAAGTCACGCTCAAAAAAAACACTACAATATCTAGCTAAAGCAAATAAATACCCATACGCAATTTACAATTAACTACTTTAATGATAAAACCTGAAAGAATCGATTTTATCGCCTCCATCCATTCAATTCAAAATCGACGAGATACCGCAATTATCCACCAAACACTTACCAACCTCACCTCCGCAGCAACTCCTGTATCTCCACGAACGTCTTCCCCCTGGTCTCCGGCACGTAGACCACCGTAAACACCACGCACAGCGCGCTGAACCCCGCGTAGAAGAAGAACGTCCCGTCGGTGCCCAAACCCCTCCTCATATCGTCGAAGAACTGCGTCATCAGGAACGACGTGAAGTACGTCACGGCGCACGTCCCCGACGCCGACCATTTCTTCACGTTCTTCGGGAAGATCTCCGCGGAAATCGTCCACGGCAGGCAGGCCAAGCCGCTCTCGAACCCCAGCACGAGGACGACCAGAAACGCCACCGGTACCCAAGACGCCCCCGACACGTCCGCTTTGACCCTGTCTTTGAGCGTGAAGAAGGCGCCCAGTACGGCCAAACAAACCGCCATCGAACCGGCGGAAGCCGCCAGCAGCGTTTTCCTTCCGAATTTGTGCGCCAAGAAAGGCGCCGGCAGGCTGAAGACGAGTATGGACGCTCCCACTATCATCGAGGAGAGGTACGACGGTAGATCGATGCCGGAACCGTCGAAGATCGGCTGCAGGTAGAAGGTGATGGCGTTCCAGCCGGAGAATTGCTGGAACGACACCAATCCAAAGGCGATTACGAAGCTCTTCCGTATGCCCGGATTGGCGACGACGTTCCTCAGCGTAGGAGGAGTTTCTTTTTCCTTCTCGATGGAGGCTCGAATGCGCTTCAACTCGTCTTCCGCTTCTATTGGATCTGCTGATCTTACTGTTACCAGCACCTTCTCGGCTTCGTCCAGTCGACCGGCTCCCACTAGGTAGAAGGGGCTCTCTTTACCTATGAGGGAGAAGACCAGAAGAAAACACGTCGGGAAGGCGGCGTTGATCAAATTGAAGGACCTAACAGAAGCGAAAGGTCCTACTAGATATGGTAGAAAGTTGCCGATGGCCCAGAAAACTGTCAAGGTCATCGAATGGTATCCTCTTTTGGACTCCTCGGATATTTCGGCTATGTACATGGGCAGTATGGTGTACCCCCCGCCTACGGCTAGTCCACCGAAGAGCCTTCCGAAGTAGAAGAGCCACACTCGCCGGGCGAACGCCATTGTACCGTACGCGATTACGTGGAAGACTCCTATGGTTAACAGGGCCTTTTTCCTACCTATAAACCGCGAAAAAAATTAATTAGAAAATTTGAAACGATTTCAGAATATTTACCGAAGCGTTCGGAGATGAAGCTGAACGGGACGACTCCGAGCATGGCTCCGATGTTGAGCAGCGATCCGATGAGGGCTCCTTCTTGGTTGGTGATGGGCCGCGGAAGGGGATTCACCGAGGAATCGTTGGAGGAGAGTTTGGAGAACATCGGAGAGGTCCATGTCATCGTTATGTCCCCGGATGTGGCGAGGGTATCGACTGGAAAAGCGGTTTGTTAGGGGTGAAGTTTTCTCGGAGAAGTTGTACTTAATTACCTGCCAATACTATTAGCGTGGTGAAGCTCATAGACATCTTATCTAATTGGATGGGTGCGAAAAAAATTCATGGAAGTTTTATTGAAATGTTCGGTTTGTTATCGATCAGACAAATTTGCGATTATTTGTGACTTGGAGACATATAATAGGTACCTATATTTTTTGATTGTTATCGTCGGTTTATAATTGAATTAATCGCTATCAAAAATTAATTATCTGAGTGAACACTAAAATTTAATAATTATCCATTCAAATATTCTTAAACTAAAGCAAGTCCAGTATTTTGTATAAAATTCGAAAAACATGCTACCCATTATGTCACACTTATACATGCATAGGAATTTTTTATAAAATATCTTTACGCTTTTCTGGAGCCAAAAATAGACCAATAAAATCTAATTATATTCAAACTATATTGTATACAATAATTATATAACAAATGTATGTACCTATATATATTTAATCCATATTGCATATTTTTATATTTTTTTCTAATAATTCACAGTAGAATTACCTAAATAATAGAAATTAACACAATCCTTTTTATTTGGTTCCTTTATGTGCAGAATTAATATATTTGCGTACAGATTATTTTATTGTTATAAAAACAATGAAAATTAACAAGGTATAAAATCGTGGGTATAAGGCATGTTCGAGATATTTATTAACATCATCGCTTAGTTTTCTGATGTTACCTGAATTTTTTTACTATCACGACAATTTCTACAAGTGATAAGTGATCGAGTTCTAACTCCCGCACGATGCAGAAATTGATGAGTTACACGACCCTTACTGTCCTGGCAGGTAAACATTTTTTTCCATTACTAGTTCCAAAATTTAATAAAACTATAGATGTACAAGTGCAGTCGAAGGGTAGATATTTCGAATTTTCAAAATTTTGTAGACTACATATTTTCCCACCAAATTACACCAAAAGTATTTACATTTTTTATAAATTGCCAGGAAGCGCAAAATTATCGTTAGTAAAATTCGCAAATAATTTGCAACCGTATTAAAGAGCAATCATGTATTCATAACAATCGCGCACATTAAAACTCCGCATATACAGCACGAGTCAAAAAATACACATTTAACCCCTAATTAAATTTCCAGTCGATCTTCTCGCCACCGTAGGCGACATAACAATGACATGGACCTCCCCGATGCTATCCAAATTATACTCCAACGATTCCTCCGTCAATCCTCTTCCTGCGCCCATCACCAAAGAAGAGGACGCTTACATAGCCGCCTTAATCAACATCGGCGCTATGGTGGGAGGGATCCCCTTCAGCATCCTATCCGATAAATTCGGTAAGTTTTTACTTTTACTACACTCATGTAGTTTTGATGTTCAGTCTTCAATATCTGTATCCTTTGCAGGTCGTAAATTAGGATTGCTGACCATAGGTATATTCCACGTGTTAGCTTACCTCACGCTAGCCTTCGCCCGAAACGTTTACCTCTTCTACTTCGGCCGAATATTCGGAGGTTTAGCCACCGGAGCCGGCTACACTCTCCTGCCGATATACATAGCAGAAGTATCCGAAGAATCCAACAGAGGCTTCTACTCCATGACGCTCACGATCTTCTGGGCGGTGGGCAACTTCCTACCCCTGCTCGTCGGCCCCTTCCTCACCGTCCGTACCTTCAACCTCTTCAACGCCGCCCTGGGGCTAGCGTTCTTCGCGCTGTTCCTCGTCTTCGGCGTGGAATCCCCGTATTACCTAGTGGCCGCCGGCAAGACGGACGAGGCCGGCGAGGCGCTGATGCGCCTGCGCTCCGCCGACGACGTGGGCGTCAAAGGGGAATTGAACCAGATCAGGAGCACGCTGGACAGCGAGAAGGAGCATCCGATGGGGGCGAGCAGCATCTTCACCAACCGCGGCCTCAGGAAGGCCTTCGCGGTGTCGGTGGTGTTGATCAGCTTCCAGCAGCTGTCCGGCTGGAACGTCACCACGTTCTATTTGCAGCCGATTTTCGAGGCCGCCCGCACGGTGGTGCCGGCCCATTGGGCCGGGTTGATCGTCGGCGGGGCCATTTTGGCGTTCAGCCTGCCGGCGCCGCTGTTCGCCGATAGATTCGGGAGGAAGACGCTGCTGGTGGCCTCGGTCGGCCTGATGGCGGTGTGCTTGTGCAGTTTGAGCCTCTATTTCTTCCTGGATACGAGGACGGCGGTGAGCGTGGCGCCGATAGCTTGGCTGCCTTTGGCTAGTCTGGTTTTCTTGGCGTTCGCCTACGACCTGGGGATGGCCTGTTTGCCGTGGACGATTTCCTCCGAGCTGTTTCCATCGAACGTGAAGAAGTTCTCGGCTTCGACTACGTCGGCTTTTTGCTGGATCGCTACGTATTTGACGACGCAGTTTTTTAACGTTATGGTTGATTCGTTCGGTATGGATGGGACCTATCTCATTTTCACCGGTTTCTGCTTGCTCTGCATCGTTTTTACCGTATGCTGGGTGCCGGAAACTAAAGGGAAAACCTTCAAGGAAATTCAGGATTTATTGAATAAATGATTTGAATTGTTAGTTAGTCCCTAATCGCTTATAGTAGAAATGAGTTACGGATTAATTTAGAAAATGTTTCATGGTGTGAATACTAGTACTAGTACTAGTAGTTCGTTTTAATTTGTATCAAATGCGCAAACTAGAATTCGCAAATTAATTTTGTGAAGTTAGAAGAGAAACAAACCCTATAAATGTATTAATAATCTGTAAGTTTTCAACAAAAACTGTTACCTACTTTCTTATGGAAATACACCGAGTTTACGTTACAGCTCTCTCATTGTTTGTCTCTTTACAATTAAATATCGCGAGCCGGAAATTAAACATAATCGGACATAATCTGTGAAAGAGGTCGGAGATCAAGTTTGTCTTAGTCGAGACGCTCCGCGACCGTTACAATTCGATCGACGAATCTTTCGATTCGTTAATCCTTTTCGCTCGTTTCACCACGCATTTGTCGCGTTTTTCGACTATTTCATTGCGAAATTAACGTTAATAATGAAGCGAATAGATTGCTCGATTCTCGCCGTTCTCCTAGGCAAGTACAATCATTTACTTATTAAAATTACTTTAAATAGTGATTGGTTTGATTTTTATATTTTCTTTAGTGGACCTTCTGGCTACCACAGGCGATGTCACGTTATCCTGGACGTCGCCGATTTACCCGAAATTGTACTCGAACAACACGGTAATCAACCCTTTGGGGCGGAGGATATCGAAAAGCGAGGACGGTTGGATGGGGTCCTTGTTGAATTTCGGGGCGATCATCGGCTCGTTGCCTTTCGGATACATATCCGATAAATTCGGCAGGAAAGTTGGTCTGTTATCCATCGCCGTGCCTCACATAGTATCCTTTTTAACGTTCGCTTTCGCCAAGAAACTCTACCTGTTCTACATGGCCAGGTTCCTGGGCGGCCTGGCCTTGGGAGGCGGCTACAGTTTGTGCGTTATTTACATCGCGGAAATATCCAAGGATTCCGATCGAGGCAAAATGTGCCTCAGCGTCAACGTTTTCTGCGCTATCGGAAACTTCCTGCCGTTCATAGTCGGCCCGTTCACCTCCATATTCCTCTTCAACGCCATACTAGCGCTGATTCCGAGCGCGTTTTTCCTCCTGTTCCTTCTGCTCGCTCCGGAAACCCCTTATTACCTGGTCGGCGTTGGCAAGGAAAAGGAAGCGGAGGAGTCTCTGATGTACTTGCGATCGAAAACCAGAGACGAAGTGGCCGAGGAGCTCGACTACATCAAAGCGTTCGTACGAACGGACCAGAAGGCTCGCATAATCGACATACTGACGGACAAAATCTTCAGGAAATCCTTCTTGATATGCCTGCTGCTGATCGCCACGCAGGATCTATCAGGCTTCTGCGCCATCACCTACCATTTGCAGAGCATCTTCGAAGCCACCGGCACCAAATTCCGGCCCGATCTCTCCGCCATAATCGTTGGAGTAGCCCTGCTGCTGTCCAGTTTCATAGCACCGTTTCTGGTGGACAAAATAGGCAGGAAACCGCTCATCACCTGCTCCTGCTTGGGCATGTTCCTGGCCCTGAATCTCCTGGCCGGGTTCTTCTACATACACGACAGGAACTTCAGCACGAGGTTCATCAGCTGGCTGCCCATAGTGAGCCTCATGCTGTACATAACGTTCTTCAACGTGGGCATTTGCACGGTGCCTTGGACGCTGATGTCCGAGCTGTTTCCCAACAACGCCAAGCAAATGGCGGCCGCCGTGGCGTCGTGTTTCAGCTGGACGTCGTCGTTTTTGGTGGCGAAGAGCTACCACGACATGAACAACGCCTTGGGCCGCTCCGGGACCTTCTGGGTGTTCTCCTCCACGTGCCTGCTGTGCGCGGTGTTCAGCGCCTTCTGCTTGCAGGAGACCAAAGGGAAGAGCTTCGGGCAGATCAGGAAAATGCTGTCGGGCTCTTCGGAAATTGATTAGGTTAGGAGATTTGTGAATGTAGAAGGGAATTTGATTATGGTGAGGTGGCGGATGTAATGGAATTGTTGCAGGTGATTGTTACGGTTTGGGATACGCTGCTAGTAATTTAATTGTATGGTTAATAAACAGTAAACAACACGAATTCGTGTCGTGTTTACTGTGTAAATGTAGGTAACCAAATTTATCATTGGTTGTTAATTATTTTTGTTCATTTTTTCTACTAATAAAGTCTAAATATTTACGAAAAAATATAAATAATTTTTGTTATGTTATTGATTACAATATTGCTTTTCTCGCTCTTAACAAAGAATATTGTAATTATAAGTATTCAAAATACAAAACATTTATTTTTAAATAATTTGTAAATTGACTTTGATCATACAAAAACATTAGTTGGCCTTTTTAAAATTCTAAAAAAAGAAGAAATGACTGACATATGTCAATAGTGTCAATTTAAAACTCGTCATCTTGTTGTCATTTTTCGCAATTTTTGCGACAATCCTTCTAATTTTTTTTGTAAATAAAAACTAGAAATATGTTTTCTCGTATTTCTTACCTAATAGTATAATTGCGCGAATAAAGACGAGCAAAATGGACGAATTCAAGCATAAAATACTTTCTCTAATTAATAAGCAGGTATAGTTACGTCAATCTGGTTCGAATTTTCATTGTTTTTAAAAACCCTAATATCTTGTAGCCACCGAAAATTCCATCGATGGGCTTCAACGATGCGAATTATCATTTCTCCGAGGTCTCCACTCTATCGATTAACAGCAAAACGGTGCAGGAATCGGACAGGCCTGCGGACCAAGACATTTTGGAAAGCATCGAAGCCGCTTACTTTTCTATGAATCCGGAATTCGACATTTGCAAATTCGAATTACAAGTAATTTTTAACATACCCACAACACTAACCTTTTCTACAACGCTTAATTCGTGTTTAAGAAACTACCGGAAGTTTTGGATTGCGATCAGATCCAAAGGGACTTCAAGAATTTGAAACAGCAACATCAGGTGGTCTCGAAGAAAGTGCTGCAATTGATCCTCGAACACCAGACAGGCTGTAACGGGGAATTCGAAAAGATCACGGAGATCTTACAGCGAGTCAGAGAGGCTCTTGAATTGTGCAGAACGAGTAGAAGAGAATTGAAAATATCCGGTAGCCAATTCACCGATAGCTTGGGAATTTTAGCGAATTATAGGAAGAGGAAAATAGCTCAAAATTTGTTGAATAACTTGACTACGATTAAGGATTTGGTAAATACATTTTAGTCGTTGCTTTATGTAATATTAAAATGCGTTTTATAGCATAGTTTCGAAAAGCGGTGTCAGAACATGATACTGGAGGAAGACTTTGTGGGAGCGATAACGGAATTAAAAAGATGCCAGAAGACCGCTACAAGGTACAGGCATTTTAGTTGCGTCGCTGCTTTAACTTACAAACTACAAGAAACTTTGGAAAACACCGATTCTCAACTCGATAGAATATTAGCTCAAGTAAACACACAATTATGATCGTTTTCATATTATAAACCGGGTTAATTTTTCAGATATGTTTCCATTTCGACAAGGAACGTTACATGAAGCTCCGAGCCGCCTACAACTTACTAGAAAAATCTCAATTATCGATGATCGATAATCTGCACGTTCATTACATTACCGCTATTTATAATTCATCGTTTAACGTAATTCAATCGTATATATCTCAAGCTGACGTTTTGGAATCCACTGAGAACACCGGAAAGAATCCTTACATTGTTCTGTGTCAATCGATCGGCTCAGATATTTTTATTCCATGTCTCGTACAACTCTGCAAAGTACTGTTTAAGATCGTTTTGAGTTATCACCAGCTCATTAGATGGCATAACGAAGAGAACGAATTCGACAATCAGGAAAATAGTGCAGATCACGATGCCAGCAAACAAAAATTAAATCACAATCTAACTAAAATATGGGATGATGTGCAGAGGAAAGTGTCGAGTTTATTGTCGAATGGCGATTTAGCGCAATATAAATTCGAACAGTTTGTTCAAGTCCTCAGAGTTATACATAGGTAAACTGTAACGGCTTGTTAATAAAACGCAAATTTATTTGGGATTTTTTTAAGATTAATACAAGTCGGAGAAGAATTTTGCAGCAGCAGATCCGACGATTTACAAGAATCTATAAGGAAGCAGAGCGAGAATTACTTCATGAACTATCATTCGCAGAGATTGGACGAATTGAAGATATTTTTGGAGAACGAAATATGGGAAATTTGCCCCGTCAAATCGTCCTTCGACATCATGCAACTACAGGTAACCAATCGCGATACATTCTCCGCATTATCTCATCGTTTTTCGAACCCTCCAAAGGAATTCAAACCGCTTCGATACACGATGAAAACGTTCAAGTTCCACCTGCCAACCAGCCCGACCGTCGCGAATTACTCCACCAATTCCACGGAATGTTGTTCTTCCACTCATTCGCTGGACGGCAGCAGCATAATCGGTAATTATTTCATAAGATTCGCCGAGCACGGCACGCCCTTCGACAGCGGATTAGACGATACGATCATCGAGGAGGACATTATGGTGTCAGAGAACGACGGCTCCGGGTATTTTTCGGACGAAAGCGACGAGGATGCCGCCGATATCCCGGACGAATTTCCAGAGGATCTGAATAACTCGAGGTATAACTCGAGGTATACCTCGTTATATGTATAATTTCGAATGTATATTTCAGGCAAACGCTTAAAGAGAGAAAAGACAAAATCCACAACAGTCCAATTTTAACCAACACCACACTAACGGTGCTGCGCCAAATGGGAAAGTATTTGCAAATGTCCCGTTTGCTGAAACCCATAGCGGATAGAATAATTTCCTGCATGAACCAATTGTTCGATTACTACTTATACTCGGTGCATTCATTTTTCACCGTCGATTTGGTAAGTACACACGCACACAATTCTTAAATTAATCCTATTAATCCGATTTTTTTAGAGCGTTTCGGCTACGAATTTGTACACGCAGGAGCTGAACAGGACTTTATCAAGAATCTCAAAGGAACTCGTGTTGGAAAGCGCGCCGGTGGACGGGGAGACGGCGGAGAACGGTAGAGTTTTAAAGCCGGTTTTATCGCCGGTGGTGGATCTGAAGAATCGCGAGAAATTGAACGGTTTGAGCGAGAGGATCGTGGCGGTCGAGAGTCTCGTGTTTCTGGCGAAGCAATACGAAATTCTGCAGGAGTATTTGAACCATTTGGTGCCGGCTAGTTACAAGACTGCCTTGCAACATTTCTACGCACAAGTAAGCAAAAGGATTTGTTATTATAAAACGTTTATTAGATTAGATAAACTATCAAACATCTAACTTGTAACCGGTTAAAACGTATCCTCCTGTGGTCATATTTACTTCTGGGTGCGTCCTGTTCGGAAGAACTTGGTAATTTCTCATAAAATTGTTGAAGACTCTTATGTTTATTACATCAGTTCGGGTTTTGAGGTAAGTATACAAGTCTTGGTGCAATTCTTTGAACATACTGAATACTACGAGGTTTCGGTTACCGTTTAGAAACTGAATTAATTCTTTCACAATATTAACTGGATGCTCTTTCGCCGTGATTATCAAACAATCGACTTTTTCGTTTAGAATTTTACAGGCCCTTTCGTTGTCTAATTGCCATGATTTTTTTTGAGCAGATGTCTCCTCAGTCTTCTGTCGTTTAGCTTCGGGTTCCTCTATTTCTTCCTGTTCTTGGAACGTATTTTTTTGTTGATAGAAGCACCTCAGTACCGAGTACAAATTCACGTTGATGCACCTCTCGCTTTGTTCTTTAGGAAACTGCATGGCAATGAAAGCGTTTCTTTGGCACTCGTTACCGGGGTGCATGTGAATTAATTGGCCCGTCGAGCTATGACCTAAAGCGTTCATTAGAGCTGCCGACATCAATCCCGAGGTACCGCTGTCGTATAGAACAACATTACCTAAAGAATATAATTGTATAAGAAATGTAAAACGACTGCATTTATTTCCATTCTTACCTTCGGAATGTATGTTGGCGTACGCTAGTATTTGAGATAAATCATCTATTCTTATGCCTAAAGTTTTCGTGGGGTCCTGTCTGTAAAACATTTGCGCCAGGATTCGAATGGTAGGTCTCTTGATTTGGACGTATTCGAAATATTTCTTCTCCTTTTTCTTGATGTATTTTTCTTGGCTGTATTCGGTCTTCATCGAGAACGTTTTCGAATTGTTTACGAGCTGTCCGACGATGTTGTTGGAATTTAATTCTTCGTCCTTCAATTTGTCTATGTCCTCTTTGGTTAATACCTGCGAGATTTCGTTATCGTTGGTTATGTGTCTGTTATCGGAGCCGGATTTTTCGATGTTTAGCGTTTCGACGGGCGAATTTATTTGTTGCACCTTTTCCAAAATGTAGTGCTTCTTATTACCGGGCGTGTTTTTCATTTGAAACGTGTCGGAATATTTCTCATTAACGATATTGTCCATTTCGATGTTGAACGAACCCAAAATTAGTTTACTGTGAGCTTTTAGTTTGTGTAACTTCGTATAGCCTTGCCTCTGCACCACAACGTAATCGCCTATTTTAATAGTATTCCTATCAGAATCCATTATTTCCATTTTGTTGTATGAAAATTATTATTTTAGTTTGTAAACGAGGTTATGAAATGTGAGGTTATTTTTTTTGACATTAGTGACAGTTGGTTTGGCGTTTAATTTTGTTAACAGGAAAGGTTTTGCGGCGTTGCCAGGTCGTTAATTTAATAACAGGACCGTCTTCGCTCAACATTTTTTGTTTTGTTTTAGACTATAAATGGTACTGCGGATTTGAGGAATCCAGTTTACATGTCTGTCATCGCACAAGCTTTTGACTTGAGGCAAATTCTAACGAGCATGGCTAAAATCAATTGGGAAGTTCGTGATGTCAGTTCGATGCATAATTCCTACATTGATATGCTGTTAAGGGTAATTTTACGGTATTCCATAGCCTCCCATATACTTTAAGTTAATTTTTATTATTCAGGAAGTGCAAATATTTACCCTGAGATTAGAAGAAATTGCCATTAAAGTACCCATTTCCGTTGAGGTTTATCAAAGTTTGTGGGCGAACGTGGCGCATATTGTAACCCACACTTTAGTACAAGGGTAAGGACTAAGCACCATTCGATTATCTACTTTATGAAATATTGGAAAAATTTGTTTGTTTTCGTAGATTTGCTGAAGCGAAAAAATGCACCAACGGCGGCAGAGCCTTAATGCAATTAGATTTCACCCAGTTTCTGACGAAATTCGAGAAAATATCTTCATTAAAGCCAGTGCCTCATAAGGAATACGTAGAAAATTACGTGAAAGCCTATTATTTACCTGACAATGAGTTGGAAATTTGGATAAAAGAGCATACGGTTAGTACGAGTGTCTTGAGGGAATCACTGGAAAATATTCAACTTTATGGTGTTTCAGGAATATTCCTCCAAGCATTTATTCGGACTGGTCAGTTGCGCTTGCCAAAGCAACAAGAAAACTCGCCAGAAGCTCCTGCAGATCATTGAAGAAGTCGAAAAGAGTAAATTTCCAAGGTAACACATCACACGTCTATCTCCATGACAGATCTATTTCAAATTTTCTCTCTTATTATGTGATATTGTTACATATTTTATAATTTTAAGTTAAAAAAAGGCGTATTTATTGAAATGTTGAGTGATATTGCAGTCTCAAGAGACATATTTTATACAAAACGATCTATTGTGTAAGTGTAAATGTAATTTCATTTCACATTGTACTTAATTTTGTTTTATCGATTAAAATATTTATTTTAATTTGATTTTTAATAAAATAACATTTTTTAGAATATCAAATTCGTAGCTCTAACGCAATTAATTTAAAAAAGAAGAAGAAGCTCCCATTGGCTGTATTGTAGTATAGTCAAGGATTATTAAACATCAATGCAAAAAATTGACAACTGACATATAGTAGTGACAACTGAATCGCTGGTTTTGTGAATTCACTTTTTCTACAACAGGCGACGGAGAAGGACGTTGACTTTAGACGAAGCCAAAAATATCGTGAGCAGGTATGAACTTTTTCTTTAAAAATCTGAGTCATCCTCCATTAAACAGTGTTTTTAAAATTGCTATTACATTTATAAATGTAGGCTCTTCATATAAATTGCAGTATTTTTATGATGAATCATTTTGTCTCGTTCGTATGAATGTTTTAATGATTACAAATTTCAAACTTCCTGATTTTTGTTTAACAATATCAGTAAATTATGTATTAAAGTCTTCTCAATATACATTTCTCCGTTTATTTCAGGAATTTCATCATGAATTACAAAACTTTCATAAGTTTTAACCACGTGTTGCCGTATACATGGTTACAATGAAGAATAAGGGACTATTTTAGCAACATGGAAGTATTAAATTACTATTCCACGTGGACGATACTTCATTTTATTAAAGGTTATTATTTTAATTCTAATTCCATTTTTGTTCAAAGTTTTTATGATGAATTTATTATAGACAAGCATATGACTGAATAGCTGTGTTGATAAATATTTCTGATGCAAACATTGTATAAAAACAAAATGGCTGTTTATTTTGCCGGTGTTTTAATGTTAATTTTTTTACAGATGCTAATTGAAGAGAATCTCCGATGATTACGTTGAATTGGATGATGAAGCTCATCAGTAATAAGATGTAAGTTTAATAACATTATCAAAGTATTAAATTAAAGTATGTTCATCTGATGATAAAAATTACCGTCTGAACTTTTGGTGATTATAAACCAATGGCTGCTTTTTTTTGGCTGATTTATTACTTGATATATTATTTCAATTAATTTGATGAGTACGCTTATTTAATATATGTTAATTTGTTTCAGATGAATTACGTGAGGTGTGTGTCTGGGTGTTTGCTGGATCAACTGGTGTCCTTACAAGGTAATATTTAAGAAAAAAATAATAATTTTATGATCATGTTACTAAAATGATGCCAATAGTTATCCCTGTCATAAAAGAAAACCTTGATGACAATTTTTTAATCTGATTTAAAAATAATTATTTTACAAAACTTGTTTATCTTTATGATCTTTCCTAATTTTTGGTTTATTTACAGGAGAATCTACAATTTTCTTCAATTCAACAACACGATAAATGGATAAGCCTCAGGTATTAACATTAGTAACTTCAACAATTTCTTAAACCCCTGATTTTATGATGATTTTCATATATACGCTATTAAGAAGTGTTCTACACTAATGGTTACACACTTGCCCTCTCTGATATATTGCAATATATAATTGCATTTGTATTTTATCGACAATTTATATCTTACATTTATTTTGTTTTACAGTGTTGCTACAATATGAATCATGATGAGAGACGAACACTGGCAAGCATAATGTAAGTTATGATGGGTACATTATAGATTAAATTAATTTTTAAATGATGTTTTTAATATACGCTATGAATATAAATGATTCATTATTTTGTCTGAATCTGCATAAAATGAAACGAATATACCTATTATGCAGAGAGATTTTATAGTTTTTTATCGTTATATTTTAGGAGAGCATGAAATACCTGTACTCGCTTGGTTGGAGCTGGAAATAAATGTTTACTGAATAAGTTTTTTTTTTGTTTTTTCCTAAAGTTCTTAAGAAATTATTGCAAAAATATTTTGAGAACTATACTTAATGTTAAAATTACAAGTAATTCCAAACTACTACAATGAATTACATTGTAAAGAAACTTCATTCGAATATTCTCATTTTAAGGCATCAAATTAGAGACAGACAAATACCAAAATTAGAGATGCATAGGCCTAGAGAGCATTACTATGTTATTATCCAGCTCCAAACTTTTTTCATATCAATGAGTAGTTCTAACGCATGACATATGAAAATTGTGATAAAAAAGAAGTAGAAACTGTCAAAAATTTAGGTTAGAAAAATGCCGAATACGGACTTAGCAGAGAATGTATAAAATTTCAATAATAATATAACTTAGTGATCTGAATTAAGATTAATTTTGTTGTAGACTAGTTGCGCGACGAATTTAGAGAAAATTTACATTGAAAAGAGGCAGAAACTGGAAGCGTTGAAGCTGGAATTCTTGAAAGACGAAATCGACAACAAAAGGCTATTGAGCAGCTTAGAAAAAGTTAAGACTGAATTGAATAAGAAACTTCAAAACGCTGAGCAATAACTACTAATGCAAGGACTGCATAGTACTCAATAGTATCCTAACAGGGCTGTAGGTTAGTATACCTAATAGTAACCTAACAGGGCTATTAAATATAAAAATGCAATTCAGCATTGCTTCCATAGACCTATTAATAATAGGTCTATAATATAGACTCTATATAATAGTTAATAGGTCTATTTCTTCAATTACGTTTCTATATTGAAAATGAATATCATACAGTATCTTTCCGATTACCTTTTGGGATCTAATAAAACTCGGTTTTCTGTTTGAGGTTTCGTTTAATTTTTATATCAGAGTATACTAAAATAACATAGACTGACCATTAATCGAAAAAAAAGTATAAGAATTACACTTCAAATATTTACATTCATCACTGAGATCTCTGGAAAATCATTGGAATATAATTACAAAATCTTAATAGAAAAAATGGAAAATGTTCGCTTAGGAAATGTTTGGGGAGTCGGGAGGCCGGGTTTGCGGTTTTTTTTGTTTTCGTATAAAACTTTAAGGCTATAATGAATTTAAATAAAACGTAACATAATAGTTAACCTATGTCTAAAGAACGAGTAGAGTATACTCAAAAAATTATACTTATTTACAAAATGATAATTTATGTCAATTTGGTCACATCGTAATGACAAAACTGGCATACATACAGTCTTGTAAATGGTGGATAATGTAGATAAAGTAAATTCACCTTGTAAAGGAATTATTAGAAATAGCTAATTTAACATATTATATTAATCAATTATTAAATAAAACCCGAACCAATATGATTTAACTTATCTCTATCTAAATCATGCTTGTCGATTTAATCAATATGAATTTTAAATGAATACTGTCTTATTTTCAAAACTATTACAAAATCCACCACTAAAATGTAGTTCGACATATTTTACGAACAAAAAAATTCAATTAAATTCCCTACAAGAATGGCTTAATATAAAATTCACTAAATAAAAAGTATGTACAAATACAGGGGGAAAAAAATTCACTACTTATTTATACGACGTTCAATATACTCGAATATAAACAGTCAGTTTACATTTCTTTTTTTTTGTCTTATTATCGTTATTTATTTTTAACAGTCTCTATTTTCTCAATTGCACACTGAATATCCACACCGAATGACACTAATTACATCTACATTTATTTTTTATTGGCAATCATTTTAAATAAACCCATAAACATCCAACCAATCACGTTAATTACGAACCCTTCTGAAGTTGAAATGGTTTGTTGCACTAACTTCTACACTCCGTAATCCAATGAATTCGAAACTCGCTCGGATTTTAACTAAACTCAAAAGCAGCGACCGATCTCTATAGAGCTGCTCAAACATAAAAAAGAAACGAAAAAAATTTAAGCTAAATATTCACAGTCTTTACATTAGTCTTAAAATAAATTTATTCGTTTAACTTATAAAGCAAACGGGTATTCGGGCGAAACCGAAACCCCTTTACGGACTTAAGGCATAAAATCATTTTTTGTCGGTATATTTTGGTTTCGATTTCATTTGAAATACCATTGGCAGTCGATTTGAAATAATTTTAATCAAACCATTATCCGTCTGTTAAATATGAAAAATTATAGTTTTCTTGAGAGTAAAAAATTGTCTACAATTATCACAGCACATTTTTTTCAGTTTTTTTTGTTTTGTTGAAAAAAAAACTGGATGGTAATCCTTTACGGAAAATAGCACTATTATAATGATTCAATATCATGCACTATTAATTTTCCGATTGAATACAAAAAAAACTGCGTAATTTCGAAAGACTGCCAATGGAACGTTACAAAAAAACGAATGAAAAAATTCGCCAGTCTTATCCAACTAAACACTACAAATTTTTCATTCACTAGAACTAATCAAGGCAGTGATTTCTGTACACTGTATCTACAGGGTGACTCGTAGTTTTTGTTTCCAATTTCAATTGCTACGAATTACACAATTATTATTATTATGTACAACACGGACTTTGTTTTATTATAATACATAATAAAAGTTAGCAACTATCGCAAATACAATAAGTACACGTTACGTTTTTTGCAATTAAAACATTTTCATTACCTGTCGTTAAAACGACCAAGCCGGGTTAAACATTAAACAATAATAAAATACATCTAGAAATCGATAAATTTTAGGTGTTTAAACTTATGCAATAGGTCATCTAAAAAACCTTGCCAAATTTTTACTTTTTTTTTTAATTCCAATCCAATTTGAAAATGAAAATTGTTCGTTCCTTTCGAGATGAACTGTCAAAAACCACACGAGTCTAATTCTTAGGCAGATCTACTTGTTAATTTGTTTGTATATGGAATAAAATCACACATTTGCCGACTAAATATACACGAAAAAAACACACACAATTACGTTGGGGATGTTCGTTTTGTCAGCCAGCGCCGTAAATCTTATCAATTTCTCGATTTGCATTGCATAGGATCCCTGATTCGTTAATATTTGGTGTATGGTTGAGGTGAAACACAGATAGGCTCCACTACGTCCGTTCGAAATATCATCATCATCATCGGTTTGGTTTTCTTCATATAGCAATTTATTAGAGACGACGAAAACTGAAAAGACGTAGTTCGACGGACGTTGTCTTCGAACAGCTGCCCTCGGTGGCTTATCAGTACTCCCACTGATAAGGCGACGGGGGTAATTCGGAAGGATGGGCGACCGTCGAGCTGCAAAATTTTTCAACGGATTAATATCGATCAATTTCGAACGAATTTTATAGAAAATAGAACAATCACTCGTTTGACTATTAACTAGTTTGGGTTAAATTCACTATCGGATTCGTCTCGATTGACTGTTTTTATTGTTCTTATCGCACTTACCCGATCCCCATTGGATAGAAAAACATAAAATCTAATTTAAATTCTGATAATCTACAAAAAAATAAACCATATATTTTTTATCTATTTACAAACAAATTAACCCAAATCAGTCGGACGAATTATTTACAATGAACATAAATGTTGTGGTTTCATCGATGTGTGAATAATGAATGTAATATACAAAAATGTAGTGAAAGCACCGTAGGGGAAGTACGGATAGGTAAAAAAAAAATAAAAAAAAAAAAATAAAAGCACTAACCTAAGAAACAAATGCAGTCACGCAGCACAGAGAAAGATGACGGGTGATAAAAGAATTTCTAGGGTCTTCTTGAAAGGTGCACAGCCGTTATCCTTCCTGTACAACAACCATCATCTTACTTGAGCCGTTCAATTTTAATAAATATATTTCGTTTTTTTCGTTAATCATTCAACTATGATGCGCTTAAATTTGTTTAGGGGTCATCGAAATAATCATAATAAATTGTATTGTAAAATGATTACTAACCAAATTTAAACGCATGCAAAACTACGAAATTTTTGTCAACTACTGGTGGTGTTAACTACTCACTTGTAAGTAGAAATCGAAATAATTCTTCTACAATTAATTTAGTAAATGGCTATGTTACACAATTTAATTAGTAATCGTGTTAATCGATTTTAATTGAATGGATAAAAATGAAAAGTTAATGTGTTATTTATTTGAATATGTACAAGTTTGACTTCCATGCATTTCGTTTCAAATCGTTAAATGTATCTTCTAATAAAAAGATAGAAGAGAATGTTAAATATAAATTTACTTACTACTTAAAAATATTTAATTTTTTTTAGTAACTTCTATTAAACTTTCATTTAAAGTTGAATAAAAGTTTTAAATAAAATTGCGTTGTATAGAATTTAAATTTCAAAACAAATCGCTACTTCTAAATACTACTGAAATAAATTAGAATTTTAGAAGCAAAATAGGCACTAAACTCTACATACAATAAAAAGATAAAAATCGGAGTCGCACGCGCCAGGCATGGAAATCATTGTTTTTTTTTTCTAATTCGTTCTAATTAATATTTGCAAAAATGTTATTAAATTATGGTGTGCGTTTGAATGAGTAAAATGCTTAAAAGAAAAAAAATAAAATAACACTTGGGCACCTTCTGATGTACGTCACTTCTACTATTTCGGTATGGAAATTCAAATATTCCAAAGTAGACTGTTGTTTCAAAGTATATCAAAGAAAAAGTGTTAAATTTTTTTTCTCCTGTATATAAAAATGAATAAAATTCGAAGCAATGATAAAGACAATGGAACACTTCAAACCAAAATGCATAAAGCGACTTCTTAAGCCTTCCTGTAACGGTCATAGGGTAATTAATAAAGTTTTTCCGTTGTGAGGCAGCAACAAATCCATTTCCTAAAACATCTGTCGAAATTTCTCTTCGTCTGTATTCATCAAATTCATAGAGGAATTTGTAAAATAGAACCACATGTAGTAGTCGTATGCTTCGGTAATTGACATTGATGAACAGACATGCTAGATCAGGAGCTTTTGCATATTTTTACATATAAATCTCTCTCTCGAGTGTTATTCCGTGTGTTTTTGTCATCACCTACTTTACATCCCATTTATCTAATGGTACTAATCCTACGTCTAATGTAACTTGTAGATGTTAGAGAAAAGAGACATGTTTTGGAAGCCAATCTTCCCCGAAAAAACTTAGTAAAACCTATGACCACTTACAGAAAAGGACGACTTTTCCGCGTTAAACAAAAAAAAAAATAGTGAAATGCAAAATGTACGTGCGTTGTTCGTATGCATTACAAATGAGATGATGAAACGACAAAATAATTTCTAGTCAAATATAACAAAAATAACGTACACCAAGAGGTAAAGTGAAATGTGCGGTGGTCACCTATGCAATGGCGCTGCGCTGGTCTGCGGCGACGGCGATGGCCATCTTACCTGGCGAAACTCTTGAACGCCGCAGATTGGGGATTTATACACAAAGGGACTCGGCTCGTGTTCAGTTGTTCCGCTATGAATTTGTGCATCTCTTCTGCAACGCAAAAACAGAAACAAAAAAAAACGATTCGTATTAGGCGCAAAGGCTTCGACTCACCTTTGACTTGTTGCACGGTGTTGAGTTTCTTCTCCCAACGATCGTCGAAGGGTTGCGGCGCCGTACTTTCGAACTCCGACGTGTACTGTCGCATGCCGCTCGCCGTCGTATAGCAACATTTGCACATGCACGAGTGATATCTCAACCGGCCTTCGTCCAAATAGGGATGCGCCAGTGCGTCCACGACGGAGATTCGTTTATCCTGCACACACAAATACAAAACGACAAATAAAAATTATTCGCTCGAACGTGCAATCGAACCCACCGGATCGAACACCAACATTTGGCATAACAAATGCACGACCTCGTGCGTCGCCTGCGAGGACAACGTGTAGAGGGCGGAGAGCGACGGCGGCTTCGGCGCCCTGTGCAGCATGTCCGATTTGGCCGCCTCGCAGGCGTATTTCATGTCTTCCAGCGACGGCGTGCCCAACAGCTCGGTGATCAATTCTAATTGCTGGAACGGGTTTTCGGCCTACGAAAAAAAAAACCCTCCACTTTAGCAACTACATTTTTTTAATCGTTCGAATCTTTTCGTTTCGACTCGCAATCGCGATTTAAAATTGAAAATCGTCCGCCATTTTGGGTATTATCCAAGTTGACGTATGACGTATTGTTTTGTCATTTTACGCATCTCTTGCGGCCTTTTACTATTTACTACGTCAGTATAAGGAAGCAAAGCCTCCTTTCCGAAGGTTTAGCGAATTCCTACCTGGAACAGTATCCTTCGTCCCAACAATTCGCCGAAGATGCAGCCCACCGACCAGACGTCGACGGCCGCCGAGTAATGCTTGGTGCCCATCAGAATTTCCGGCGCTCTGTAATATTGCGTTACCACTTCCTGCGTCATGGGTTTGTTCGTGTCCGGTTCTTCCACTCTCGCCAAGCCAAAATCACAGATCTAAAAACCGAAAGAATTTAATTAATTACCATCCGTTACGATTTTTTCGCACTAGTTCGTCCGTTCCCAATAAATTTCTTTTATTGGAAACAAACTTACCAGATACGTTAAATTCAACCTAGAAGCAGATAAGATTACGATAATATGCGAGACTTACCTTTAGAACACAATTACTATTTACCAGAAGGTTACCAGGCTTGATGTCCCTATGTAATATCCTAGCCGAATGTAAATATTTTAAACCTGAAAAAAAAACAATGAGTAAGATCCTATTAGTCGCCTAAAATAATCAACCTTATAATGAATACCATTTTAGTTTGTTACCCAATTCTTTGGTAATCTACAGAATGTAGTAACATCTTTAAAATGATACACATCTATTCGCAGTTACAACGCAAGCACACTCGATTGCGATCGATGCAATTTTACGGGCGCGTTGAAAGATGCCTAAAATACGTTTTGCTCGCCGATTGATTAATTATCATTTACATAAACATGTTGTTTCGACGTTGTTATGATCCAATAAACTAACTGGATAACGAAGTCTTTGTAATGGAGAATTACGAATGGGGCAGGTAACGCGCGTGCAAACACGTAAGCGTCTATTATCGTGAAATCGAGACGAAAAAAAATGTAATATCGATTCGAAGAAATGGGTTAGTTAGCGGAAAATGACGGATAAATGTATGGATTTTTGGGTTATTTTGTTCTGTATACGCATTTCCTGCACCGTTTACTGCAACGACAAAAAATGTATTCTAAGATAACGAAACAAAGAATGCTTTCAAGGTAAAATCTAATCGATATTGAATTTTTCAAACGTAAATTCGTAGATTACAGCCCGTATCGTTCATTAGTGTGCTTGTTTGTTAACGTAAATTTCGAAGTAATTTTAATTGGCCAAGTTTTTTTTCAAGTTACTTAAAAATATATTAGTCAAACTTCTTTGCGAGTTCCATTTATTTTTATAAAATAATTTAGTAAACTTACCTCTAAGAATCTGGTACAGGAAAACTTTTATATGGTCCGATGATAGGGGCTGATGCGAAACTATAATTTTATGTAAATCGCTTTGCAGCAACTCCGTAATTACATATCTAATGGAAAATTCGCGTTAAGGAAAAAACGAAATCGAAAGCAACAATTACAAAATTACATGTATTCTCTTTTCGGAATTTTCATCCGTCCAGAAACCTTGCCGAGTGTCCCCAATATAAATAAAAAAAAAACGACGTCGAAGGACGCGTCGTCGCCCGCGCTAATTCGATTTATTTATATTTATTTTTTTCGCATTTAAAACGTAAAACGAAAATAAGCGACGACAAGGTCGACGAGTGGCCGTAGTAAAATCGCTGCCAAAATATCTATCATTGCACGTTTTTCGCATCTACAACTTGCCGTTAAAGTAGACAATGAACCGCTAATTATAGAAAAGTGCACGGACACGCCGTGATTCACGCTTTCCTATTTTCCCACTCACATATTTGTGGATATTAAATATCGATAAATTCATTCGGATTAGACATTTTGTTGAAAAAATCACATTTTTGACATTTAATTGACATTTCAATGACATTTCATGACCAACTAATTTAAATCAAACATAGAACTATAAATTCATAAAACAGATGAGCGAGACAAAGATGACAATTTTATTTTTACCAAATCCAATTTAACTAATATCTACCAATGAATCCAAAATATTGATATATTCCATCAAATACTATTTATTTCTTCCAATATCTAATTTCACATTTTGACGTTTCATTATGACATAACGACAAATGACAACCAAGGCATTCTAACAAATTCCTAGCGATACGAACAAATAAAGATAGTAAATAACGTCATCAATACGTCAAACAAAGACGGAAGTTTTGCCGATTACGAAATTGGCTAAACATCGAAGAGGGCGAGTCGCTACTGAATTTCATTTCATTTCATACGGCAGAAAGAAAAATCCAGCCTAGCTGGGATGCACATATACATCATACATCATTCCCGTCTCTGCTGGGGATTACAACGTAACGAGAGAAGGGTGTGACGTCATCGAACACGTGTGTCGAACGAACGAAGGAAAAAAATGTTGCGTTCTCTTCGCCGTTCTACAATGCATATCGGGATGAAATCGCTTGTATGCTGGTATAGACGAGCGAAAAATAATTGATTCACGAGCGCTGTACGCGAGTCGGTATACAACAATAAAATTTTTCGAGTTTTTTTTTTCCGTATTATATCGAAAGTGGAGCGCGGAAAAACGGGAGACCGTGCATCTGTCTATAGCATCCATGTGGGTCATAAAACCGGGGGGTTATCAACCCCTTTAAATCTGGTTTCGCCGCCTGCGATGCTCTTTAGCTCTTTGTCGTTGTTATTGTAACGCTACCCGACACACGTTCGGAAAATAAACGACGCGACGTCACGTAAAGGTTCAAAGAACATTTCTACCGGGGACATCAAAGTGAAAACGCTCCGCTAATAAACCGTCCGCTTTTTTTTTCTCATTTATTTACATCGCGCCCCACCCTTCGCGTTTTCTCCGAAAAATTAATTAAACGTCTTGTTTCCACGTTAAGAGTTCCGCGCAATCAAAATCGGCAAAATTTCGGACGTCGTAAATTCCCCCTTATACCGTAGGGCGTCGAAATTGTTGTTATCACCCCCTAAAACGAACGGGGAAAGAGAGAGCGGCTCTCCTTCAGCTCGCAGTCTCATCATTAATCCCGGAGTAATGCCCGAAAATTTATCGCCCGAGGGCACCCGTACAGGGTGGACGCCATTATATTTTCCCGACGGCTCGGTAGATTTTTGTACGTAGCGTTCAGAAAGCACGAGAAAATAGACCGGTTTTGGAATTTTTTAAAAACGAACCGCCGGTGCATACGAGGAACGCCGCACGCCCCGGCATCGAGAAAGAGAGAAAGGAAAGGCACTGATTGAAGATTTTTCATCGAAACTGGTATATACGAAACGCAACCGGTACGAACGTGTCTCTCGAAAAGAACAATAAAATCGAACTGGCGGCCGACAGAACCGTAACAAAAGAAAGTTTTACAAAACAATGACATTGACAGCAATAATAGAACTGCCACTTGTCAATTTAGTCGACGCGAAAACGTCGAAGTAGCTCGAAGGTATCGAGATTAGAATGAAATTTGAAAGTTTCTATCCGTCGAATTTAATCGTTACCGACCTGAATCGCGAGACCGCGGCTAACGAAACTTTTTCGTTAATACCATGAAATGAAACCCCAAGTCGAACGAAACGGAATATTTGAATAAAAACGCTAAGTACACGCAATGACGATGATGATAGAACGCTCAACCAGTTCGACCACCATCGTGGGAACATCACGAAATCGATTTACCAAAGAGATTTTCAATATACACACAGTGATATGAGGATTTCTTCGGATTCTCTATCATTGCGGTACGCGATCGTGCTACATTACGTTCGCGCTAACCCCGCGATTCCACCGTGCGCTACCTCAAATGCACCAAGAGGAGCAACCGGCGAGCGGGACATCGAACCCGGCCGGAGTTCGCCCGGGAGGTAGTGCAGCTCGCTCCGCATCATCATCATCATCATCATCCTCTTGGGCACCTTCTCGCCGGCCTTGGTGGAGCGGCGAGGAGACGTCGACGACCAATTCAGCAACAACAACAACGAAAACGCCGATGGAAAAACGCACCGAGCGATATGGGAGACGATTCGTTTCGGTCGCGAACGCGATGGGCTTCTTAAAATACGAAATTAATGCAAGATTCGAGATGTACCAACAGAACGGTTATTAAACAGCTCGTCCCCGGACTCGCTCCGAGTTATTATTAATGGAAATCGGTCGCTATAGCAACGTATTGACCGTTTGCTTGTGCATTATGCCCTTATCCCTTCGAATGAAATGTGGTCAAAGCACATGTCGAAATCCACCCGAATGCAATATTAACAACGCGATATTAATATCTAATAACGCCTGTCCGCAACGGGATTAGAATGAAATATCCTATACGATTTATTTATTCAAGAACTAGATCGTCGAATGACAGATGACAACCGCGGCCTGCTAAGAGAGACGATCAAAGTGAGAATTTAACTTTCAACGCACGAAACTGCCGGTATAGACTTTACTAAAGCAAACGCATCGGTCACGTATGTGGATGCATACAATGCGATGGGAAAGGGTGCGTTTGTGCGGAGAAATTCGATATATTACTACCCCAGCACGTCCATTAATTCCTGATATCGGCGCAACGTCCTCTCCTGCGGATTCGGGCAGGTCGCGCGGAATGCATAATAACGTTCGATGTACCCATAATTGAACGTTCGCAATTAAAATTAGAATTCTAAATTTCGAATTTACTACAAACCTCCCATAAACTATACGTTTTGTTAGCATAAACTCGCGCTATTGTCAATCAATTACACGTTCCGTGTCATGTGTCATTAATTGACAGTTTAAAATATCTTGCGCGCTTATTAAACAAAGCCTACTAATTAAATGTATATATGCAAATCGGAGGAATTTACCGAAATACCTGGAAATCCTGTTTTTTTTTTGGGGGTCGATAAGTGGCAAGTCTCGTTGTTGGTAAAGTAATTTACAACTTCCGGCGACGTTGCCATTTAATCGCCTGTTAAATTAATCGGACGGTTCATTCACTTACTCGGTCACACTCGAGATACATAATTAAGATATCTGACATTTAAATTTCGAGCGCTCGCGAACAATAGTCCTGACGACTCGATTATAATTTGAATAACAAAGATTACGTACGAGTTATTTTTTTTGAAAAGCATCCCAAAAATCGGCCTTCTCGACTACGCGTGTTTTTTTTGTAATCGATTTATTAACTACAATTTAATCGTACGAATGACCTGAATTCGTTGAATAGTTTTTCGGTGAATAGGCGATTATTTTAAACCGATTCACGTTCCACCAAATTTAATAAAAAAAGGATACATTTCTTGAAAAAAGTCCAAGTGCGGAGGCTGAAGGATATCTAAGGCCGAAAGAACCTGAAGCGAAACGAAATACACATGAAATTCTCTAAGATCTTATCGAATTACATACTACATTTTCTCTACGACCGTTTATATCTAAACTGTCAACATTAATTTTGACACCCAAGGCCGACTATTTTTATCCCACGCCTAATAAAAATAGCCTTTACACAAACGATCGTAGAGAGAAATGAATCGATCAATTTCTCGACTTACATTTTCGTGTTTGAAGAAACACAACATCTTCAATTCTCTAAACACCCTCTTCGACGAGATCACCGATGCGAACACTTTTGGTAATTTCTTCAACGCCACCCGTCTGCCGTCCCTCGGATCCGTTACGGCCCTGCAAAAAAAACCCACATATATAAATACGCCACCCTGTATATTCGACTCGACCCCACGAGGGCTCGTCTCGCAAACTCCCACCTCGTGAGTACTATCTATAGTACGGTAAAAAAAAACGTTATTTGAAAACAAAACGGAATCCGGCTGACGGACCGTTAGCTAAAAAATTAATCGCCCATTCTAAATACCTACTTGCCATCTGGGTCAGAACAGATAAGAGTGGATTCTCTATTAAGTTCAAGTGTACGGAAAGTGAATATAGCGGCGTCGATTTTCGCTCGCGAAAATGTGTAACATAACGTTCGGCACGGATAGAAACGCAAGCGGGTACTTTAATTTATACGTTTCGGCGATTGACCGAACGGAACGGACGATCCGTTATGTTATTTATGCACACATTGGCAAATAGGTACCTATCTCGACTTAATTAACTTATATAAATAGCGTCGGCCCTGGACGAGCGATGTCAAATGTCATAAACTGACAGTTGGTAAACAAGCGTAATTGAACTGTCAATTTGGTAGGGTCAGAGCTCACTATGTGCCGTTTAAAAGAATCTAGCTTTGAATATTTATTCGACACGATAAGATGCGAATCGCGCGGTCGTATACATTAAGGTCTGGAAACTCCCGAAGAGAGGGAAGGGTTGTTGCGGATGATGAGACTCTCGACAGAGGGCGCTAGTATGATGTAATGTTGTTTAATCATTCAACAATGACATATTCAATTTAACTCTACCCGACACTAGCGTTCCCAGCGGGGTCCTAATGAATCCTCGGACAAAAATTACAATAAACTCAACACCCCCACTGCCGCAAAATGCACAGTTTCCAGACCCGAATGTACACGACCGTGGTGCGAATAATGTATTGACATTTGACGTTAGGAAGTAAAAGGACAGCTGAAATGCATCTGTATAATAATATTCTGTTCTCACGCATTTACTTCGCATAAATTTCAACGTCTGTGCATGATTCGATTCATCATTGGTGATTTATTTGCGATTTTGAACGGCGAGTTGTAAACCGTATGTTTTGATCGATGCGCAATTTTGTTCTATAACGTTATAAATATCGATTTTGGTCGAAACGAAAGAGAAAACGAGGAAATTCATATCTACCAATCGTGTAATTATAAAAAAAAATGTAGGTACCTAAAATTCGAGATTTAATTAATATCGTTGAATTCTCCGGTAAAATACGAGCCGATGTCGAGTATACTTTTGCGTGAGATAATAGTAATTATTTTGCTCCAATTAAAATGGAGGTCTGCGAAGCATCGCAATCGCTTTCATTGCGTGTTATTTCTCTTTTTTACTCCAACGATATGGCCATCGCGAAACTTTTCCTTTTCAAATTCAATATACAGAGCGACACATTCTTATTTACAGTTTAACGACACTTATAATCTTGTAACAATTACAATGCAATAGCTGCAACAATTAGAAAAAAAAACAACAGCGCTATTGACGCTATGGAAATAAACGACTATTCAATTTGAAATTCAGAACTAATTGATGAATCATCATCGTCACGTCCGCGTTAATGTGTGTACCCACACCGGAAATATCAAACTCCATTCTATACAAATACATCGTCGATATTAATCGAAACCCGCATCAAAAAAATCCCAAAAGAACAGAAACCATACGTGAGAGAAAAAAAAAACGAAAAAGTAACTGGTAAAATTAAAAATTGACAAAAGTAGGGAGAAAGTTATTAAAAGTATAAGGGTTTGTAACACATTTCTGTACCTAGAGATGTGTAAAAAAATTGAAAAGAAGGTAATGGTAAGTCGGTAAGTAAGGATGAAACGGTAACTATACAAATATAAAAATCGACAAAAGTAGGGAGAAAGTTGTTAAAAGTAGGGTTTATAACACTATATTTCTCCAATACCTAGAGATGTGTAAAAAAGTCGAAAAGAAGATAATGGTAAGTCGGTAAGTAAAGATGAAACGGTAACTATACAAATATAAAAATCGACAAAAGTAGCGAGAAAATTATAAAAAGAAGGATTTACAGCACTCTATATTTTCTACTATATTATACTAACATAAAGTACCCAAAACTCAACTTTATGGATAGGTTGCGGCGATAAAAAAGAGGAAACTCAGTGTATTGGAGGCGATAGCGGCGACCTTGAACCCGTGGGCACCTACGTCGGAGAGTGGTCCACGTCCACCGGGGGTCCGATATGTGCGTGCAAGCTAATACATACATTACACACGATGTTATATCCGATGCAGAGCGGTCGCGGAGCCGGTGTAATCGTCATACCCACACGACCGAGACCGACATTCAAGTTCAACATCCTTAATGTCGGCGAAAAGAAGAAGAAAAAAACGTCGTTTTTCGCTCAAAAGAACGGCTGAAAACGCTTGAAAATTGGACGATTCCGAGTCTATGGAGATCCGAGTTTTATTTAGTGCAACAATAGGTTCATCCTATGGACTCGTTTGTTGGGGATTACAGGCTACTCTGTGTTTACCTGCTGGTTTATTGTGCCTTTTATTTATCTAAAAGATTTAAATTTTGGGTCTTATTTTAAATACTGAAGAGGGTCTGGATGTTTGTTCCGAGGAATGGTGCTTAGAAGAATACTTTTGAATAGCCCAAATGGTTCAGGTATTGGTCAAAACTAGCCACTTTAGACCATACATTGAGCACCAAATTCACAACATTTTATCAAATAATTGAACAAATCGTGCCGTATACAACACACCTACTAAATGACTCATAAATATGATTCATTAAAAAAATAATTCACAAAATTTTTCGTTATTTCTCTATTAGGTAAAAACGCATTTCGGTAGAGCGGATTCCCACGATATTTCCAAGGTCTCGTTTCCCTCTAGGTAGACGCCGGGTTAATATTCGAAAAATAAATTCGGACCATCCGAATGGCTGAAAGGAAATGCCAATGCCAAACGAGAATGCGCCATCAGCCTTTCTAGAACCCACAAAATCGTTTTTATACCTGTTACCTGCCTTCGAAATTTTTGTTTGTGTACCGTACGCCCATTCGGGTTTCCCTCTTCCCCCAGAGCTCTCTACTAGCGACACCCAAAAAAAATATAATAATAATGGGAAAGATTCTAAGGGAAGATTAGAAACGATGTATGCGAGATTGGATTAATCGTAGGTTTGGTTACGAAAAAGTAGTTTAATAAATTACATGTTCGGACTATTTCGGGTTTGATTGATTATGTATAATGAATAATTATTATTACTTCCAACCATCTTTCCACCAACACAAATTCTAAACTTGCAAAGTAAATCAATACGTTTTGGGGCAAAAATTTAGCAAGGTTTGAAACATTCGCTGGGTTATTGTGATCGCAAAATTTCAATTCGTTTTACGATAGAGCACCACCCTGTATGCTCCCCTACATCAACACAAAAGTATATACAGGTAGTTTCGAGTTTGGACGACGTCGACGCGCGGTTTCAGGGTCCACGTTCTCTAGGCACAAAAAAAAATAAACAGGTAAATCAGAAAACTCGTCCGTCGAGTACCTAACAACACCTGTGTTTATGCATTGTACGAGGCGAGGGGGGTCTAAATACGACCAGACACAAAACGTATTCCACCAGATTTTTCCAACAGATACGCCGTTTTCCTTTGGTTAAATTTCGAATCGACAATATAACGACTCGTCTCCAACGGAAATCCAACACGCCACGTGATAAGACTGGATATGTCGTAATATACATACAGGATGTCCCGATACAATACTTCTAAATAAACTATACAATCTTAAATGATGTACGATATATCGAACGACCCTCGTACGCCTACGGGAAGATTATATACAGAGTGGCACAATATAGTGAAAGGAAACCGAGTAAGCCACTTGATAAGACTGTGGATATGTCGTAATATATCCGAATGTCCCAATAAAACAACTCTTAGATGAAGTATCCAAATGTAAACATGGATGATATTTCGAACGACCCTCGTACGCGCATATTGGTAGACTATACAGAGTGGCCCAATAAAGCGAACGATTCGCCGTTGAACTATAGCAAGCGGCGTTGAGACATATGTCGCTGCTAAAATTATAATACAAGCTAAAATCGTGAAAATAGAATTGCAAAACCGACGCCCCGCGCGCTTCTTCATATACATATATTTCTTATTCTCGTTCTTCGTTCTTGTTCTTCTTTTTTTATCAGCGAACGCGCGCGCGGAGGTTACGAACTTTTCGAGGCCGTTTACCTAAATATAAAATCGCCGTTTATTTACTTTTAAAACGTTAAAATTAATCGCAAAAGGTGGACGGACCGGAGAGGGCGATCGACTTTGAGGTATTTAAGCATTAGTAACGAGATGAATTATTAACATTTAACTCATCCTGTGTATGTATATGCGAGAGAAAGAGAGATTGGTATTTTTCTGGCTGTATTTTTCTCGTTTTATAATCATTTATCAAGTTCAATCTGAGTGACAAACGGCCTAATAATCCATTGATATTTACACGAGAACCTGGTCACAATGGGACCCAAATTGAAAGACGCGTCCACAGTCATTATGTTTTCTACGACAATAAATCCCTTTTGTTAACAATAATTTACTAATATATAATTTGCATCGTATATCAAACCGCTGCTAAATTGTACCAATAGATACTTTTTTCCTAATAAAATCGCATTAATTTAAACCGAACAATTACTCAATTACATCGAATTTTTACATCGCATCCAACCTACAATAAAATCCGAGCGCGCCCATATTTTTCATTAGGCGCATTGAATATTGAATGCGTACGCCCAGCCCGGCCGGAAAATCTGCATAAAACCGTCGAAAGAATTACTATTTAGTTATACGGATGGTAAAATAAAATCCCTCGGCTCGGCGAACGAGGCGCACGCGAAAAAATGCGGCCCGCTGTCGGCGTTCGAAGACTCTCGCAAACTCACCTGGAACAAAAAGAAACGGTAATTTAGTGGAGGAAATGCCGAGGGAAAAAAGTGATGTGTGTAAACAGGCACAATT